GATTAACACTGCCCATAGACTCAACACTGCTCACAGACTCAACACTGCCCATAGACTAACACTGTCCATAGACTCAACACTGCTCACAGACTCAACACTGCCCATAGACTAACACTGCCCATAGACTAACACTGCCCATAGACTCAACGCTGCCCACAGGCTCAACACTGCCCATAGACGCAACACTCCGCACCTCTGATTAGCACGCTTGGCTACGTACGGTATGACAAAAGTTCAACACACAAATACATACGTACGTACGAAGCAAGACAGAGAGAGGGGGGGCTTTGCAAGGCTCGCAGTGACCGAGTGGAGGAGGTTGAACCCCGCCCCCCCCCTCTTGCGATGTTGGTACGCCGAGGGGTGGGAGGGGGGCAGCACGGGAGGAGCGTGGAGCAGAAACGACAACAACAACAACAACAAAATGATCCGCTTGAAAGTCGGCTCAGAAGAACCGAGGGACTGCATCCATCTTCAGGGCCCAAGATGAAAGGAGGGATTTTTTTTAACTTCTCTCCGTACAATCAAAAGGCCTCTGTCAGCTGTAAGTGTTTAAATAAACAGGCCTCTTTAGGCTGCTTACAATCCCCGACCCTTTGAACGTGCGCTCCTCCGCTTTAATATCCCGACAATGACGACAACGACGATGATGATGATGATGGGTACACGAGGAATGCTCGCGAGAATCGGTTTTCATAAACGAGAACGGGATACGGTGTCCAGCCCGCGCCAACGAAACTTTTTTTTATTTTATTTTACAAGCCCTCTTGTGCGGATTCATATCAGCTCAGCGGTTTCTTTTGAGCCCCGGGGTAGGCGTGTAAGCGATGTGAAAAATTTGTCTTTAAAGGGAATATGAAGGCCACTCGCAGCATTACACATTTTATGCTTTCCCGTGATGTTCCACGGCCTGCAGGTTGGTGCCACCGTGGGTGTGACAGGTCAGCCGCTGACGTGCGGCCCAGATGTCCACTCGACGGTCTAAATGGGTGCAGCGCAACCACAGGCAGTCGATGATCGGCCGGTCGTATGTGGTGGGGTGAAATGTGGGTACGTACCTCCACCGCTTCCAAGACGCCGGTGCGGAAGAGTAGGCCAGATACACTCCAGAAGGGCGCTCTAAGAGCTCCCTCTAGTGGAGGCCACTGTCGCCAGCGAGCACTTGCAGGGTCTGCGCCTTCAGCCCTTTGCTTTTTCAAGCCTTAGTTCGCGTCCACGTTTGTGATACGTGCCGTAGGAAATTTGTCGGCGATTTTAAATCATCCAGCAGCGGATCCTCCGTCGGCTGGCGACTACGATTATTTGTTCGAGTCACAGCGCGTGGGATTGAATTATCTCTCTTGCAAGAGGGGTATCCGTATCGGCACGGACAGACTCGGTATGTATGGAGGGTGACGGTTTTGTCTTACATTTCTGAAACGTTTTTGAAATGTCTCATAATCATATCGTCAGAAGCAGGCAGCCACGATGTATCCACCGCTGGATGAAGGACTCCAGAAGAGGGGGGGGTCGCCATCTATCGCCGTTTGTGCGATCCCGCAGACCATCTCGCTCCGTCTCCTCTTGTGCGCGTCACCTCCTGAGGCTGTCACTCCGGCGTCAGCCTCAACACCCACGGCCATCGTCGCTTCGAGCGGAGTACCCTGCCCTAGCCAGCCTCACTTTTCCTTTCCCTCTATGACCCGCATTTTTTTGGAACGGGGCTTGCTGTTGTGTGTTCAGTGAACCTTGGATTAGCACCGTGTCACCTTGAAGTCCTTGAACGAAAGAGCTGCCATGGAAGTCCTTGAGTGAAAAGTTTGCCAGGGAAATCTCCCCACGCAACTCGTTACGATGGCACAAGCTGATGCCTGTGGCGCATTGAACACAATGAGATATCATGGGGGGGATATCTCTCGATACCGGACGAGGGGAGGACCACATGTGAATACATATATTGTCCTGGGTGGTGTATCATTATTATAGTAGTTGCCACAGTAGGGGGCACAGGTGGTGCATCGGCCAGTCATCTCAGTCAGTCGACCAATGGCACCTGGGTCTGTCCCGTAACCTCCTGCCGGCGGGCGTTCGGCACTTCACGTGGCATCAACGTGCACCTAGCCTGGCACAAGCGCCGTAGTGACGTCACCGCCACTTAGTGGCGAATGGCGGTTGTTGTTAACATGATAATTTTGTTTCCTTCCCCCACACCTCCAATTTGCACGGTTGGCTACGCACGGGTGCGAAATAAGTTCAACATATGTCCTCTGATTCAAGAGTTCCACTCTCTCTCTGCTGCGATTCCAAGCACGCATTTCCCCACGTTTCTTTGCACACTTTTCAACTTTCATTCCATGCTATCTATCAGCGTCCGCATTTCCGATCGTGTATGTCCTAAAATTAAATTCTCACTGGTTTAAAAGTCTCATCTGGGGACAATACTCCGATGATTTTCACCATCAAGTTTAGCTTTACACAAAATCCCCTCTCACTTCTTTATTCCATCACCTTAACAAGGACGGCCACCGCATCGCGCGCTTTCAGGTGCGCTTCCTGCGGCCGTCTGGAACGCTCTTCCTTTCGATATTATGAAGCCACTGGGGGCTACAGTGAGGGAAAAAGTATTTGATCCCCTGCTGATTTTGTACGTTTGCCCACTGACGAAAAAATTATCAGTCTATAATTTTAATGGTAGGTTTATTTGAACAGTGAGAGACAGAATAACAACAACAAAATCCAGAAAAACGCATGTAAAAAATGTTATAAATTGATTTGCATTTTTATGAGGGAAATAAGTATTTGACCCCCTCTCAATCAGAAAGATTTCTGACTCTTAGGTGTCTTTTATACAGGTAACGAGTCGAGATTAGGAGCACACTCTTAAAGGGAGTGCTCCTAATCTCTGCTTGTTACCTGTATAAAAGACACCTGTCCACAGAAGCAATCAATCAATCATATTCCAAAATCTCCACCATGGCCAAGACCAAAGAGCTCTCCAAGGATGTCAGGGACAAGATTGTAGACCTACACAAGGCTGGAATGGGCTACAAGACCATTGCCAAGCAGCTTGGTGAGAAGGTGACAACAGTTGGTGCGATTATTCGCAAATGGAAGAAACACAAAAGAACTGTCAATCTCCCTCGGCCTGGGGCTCCATCCAAGATCTCACCTCGTGGAGTTGCAATGGTCATGAGAACGGTGAGGAATCAACCCAGAACTACACGGGAGGATCTTGTCAATGATCTCAAGGCAGCTGGGACCATGGTCACCAATAAAACAATTGGTAACACACTACGCCGTGAAGGACTGAAATCGTGCAGCGCTCGCAAGGTCCCCCTGCTCAAGAAAGCACATATACATGCCCGTCTGAAGTTTGCCAGTGAACATCTGAATGATTCAGAGGACAACTGGGTGAAAGTATTGTGGTCAGATGAGACCAAAATGGAGCTCTTTGGCATCAACTCAACTCGCCGTGTTTGGAGGAGGAGGAATGCTGCCTATGACCCCAGGAACACCATCCCCACCGTCAAACATGGAGGTGGAAACATTATGCTTTGGGGGTGTTTCTCTGCTAAGGGGACAGGACAACTTCACCGCATCAAAGGGACGATGGATGGGGCCATGTACCGTCAAATCTTGGTGAAAACCTCCGTCCCTCAGCTAGGGCATTGAAAATGGGTCGTGGATGGGTATTCCAGCATGACAATGACCCAAAACACACGGCCAATGCAACAAAGGAGTGGCTCAAGAAGAAGCACATTAAGATCCTGGAGTGGCCTAACCAGTCTCCAGACCTTAATCCCATAGAAAATCAGTGGAGGGAGCTGAAGGTTTGAGTTGCCAAACGTCAGCCTCGAAACCTTAATGACTTGGAGAAGATCTGCAAAGAGGAGTGGGACAAAATCCCTCCTGAGATGTGTGCAAACCTGGTGGCCAACTACAAGAAACGTCTGACCTCTGTGATTGCCAACAAGGGTTTTGCCACCAAGTACTAAGTCATGTTTTGCAGAGGAGTCAAATACTTATTTCCCTCATTAAAATGCAAATCAATTTGTAACATTTTTGACATGCGCTTTTCTGGATTTTGTTGTTGTTATTCTGTCTCACTGTTCAAATTAACCTACCATTAATATTATAGACTGATTATTTCTTTGTCAGTGGGCAAACGTACAAAATCAGCAGGGGATAAAATACTTTTTTCCCTCACTGTATGCACTTTGAAATCATCTCGATTGAAAACTCCTTACTTTCGAACTGCTTTTTGCGTTTAGTTTGTTATTTATTTTATTTTTTACTTACGTGACTTTACCGAAAGAACCAAAGAGTATGGATCCCTGCAGTCACGAAAACTTCAAGTCTATATTAGTTTGCCATCCTTCCCCCCGCACCTCCGATTAGCACGGTTGGCTACATACGGTGCGAAAGAAGATCAACATACATACATTGACTACGATCCACGTTCAAATGCTAGCCGAGGTGAGCATCGTCATTTAAACAACAAACATGTTTCAAGAGGAGCCCGACAAGAAGTCACGGTTTTTCCCAAAATTATTCACAGACGTTCTGACGGACAGCGGGTACCTTTCATGGATGTAACGGATGGCAGAATGGTCAGCACACTTGACTTGCAATCCAGTGTATGTATGTACCTGTTTTGAACTTATTTCGCTCCGTACGTAGCCAACCGTGCTAATAGTGTAGGTGGTCGCCGGTTCGGTTGAAGATTTCGCGGCACGGCAATTGAAACAAAAGGTGCAATCTTGATTTGTGCAAGTTTATTACCCCCCCCACCCACACACCCACTCTGATTCTCCCAAGATGCCTGTCAAAGCCCTGTCCAGCGTGGTAGAGTGGTGCTCCAGAGAGACTCTCCAGCGCTCCCCTCTTCGAGGAAGGCTCCTTTTGCGTGAGCGATAGATCGCAGAACGCGCACACGTGGTGGGTGTCTCTCTCGCTCTCTCCTCTCGGTTGTTTGCGAGACGGATCGTCGGCTGCGTCGCGACAGAGACCGAGCAAAGGGCACCCGGGCACGAAAGCGTTTATTGAGGGCGCACGGGGTGCCCGCCGTTTAATTCGATACACTTCACCTTGATACAATCCCACGGTTCCATATGACACGTGAGTTTAGCCTACATGCGATGCGTTTGGCAACTCTGTACCCATGGACCGTTACCAACGAACACTACAAATCCCATTGTTACGCTTATTAAATATACAAAACACCATGCTACACGCGTCAACACAACGCCACCACAGCAGTGATATATTAAGAGATAACTTTTGCACAAAAAAAACACGACGGTGACAACGACAACCGCAATAATATAATTAATATTAATAACACAGTATCATAATAATTATAATAATTAAAAAACAAGTTTTGTGTTTAAAACAAACAGCAGCCTTTGATGACAACGTTACTCAGCTTGAGAGTGGAAATGATGGCACACCTTTGTGCCGGACGCAGCCTGCATTGTGCAGTACGAAATCTGTGATGTGTCGTCCCACGGGCTACTGGATATATATAAGTGAGTTAGGAGCCTCAAAAGTCTTCTCGGATTTATGGAGAATCCTCCCGGCTCATCACTCGCCATGAGAACCAAAGCCATGCGCACTGCAGCCCTTGCCATCCTCATCCTAACGGCGTCGCCGCCTTACATAGGATGCCCCTGCCCGCTCCGTTTAGTGGCTCACTGAATTGTTGAGAGGTGGCACGGTACACCGGGGGTTAGAGGACTGAGCTGGTGGCGCTGAGATCGTTGGGTTTGAATCTGGGTCTCGGCCGGCCGTGATTAAACCGGGCTCATACTTCCATCTTGGTCGCCAAAGATGATCGCGAATTTTTATTTTATTTTTGATCTTGGAAAATTCTATTTTTGAGAAGGTAAAGAATCATGGTCTGACTGTCATGCGGCCAAGATCTCTACAGCAAGGTGCTTGAGCAGCTGTAGCGACCTTATAGGCGGATAGGTGGTCGTTTTAAAGGACCTCACAACTCGTACCGTGAAATCTATTTTCACGGCGCCGTCCTCCAACACGGCGGGGCAATGCAACGGTTGTGTGAGGATTGTGAGTCGCGCCGTAATCTCATGCCAATGGCAGCCAAAATTGGAATAAAATAAAGGAATTAAAGTTGAGAAAGATGTCTTCCAAAAAGTTATTGAGAGGTTTACTTTTTATTTTTATTTGGAAGAGCGGGGGGGGGGGGACCGTGTGTAGCATCTGCTAGCCATCTCCCCGCAGGACCTCACCCAACCAACCACCTGTGCTACTTTTTTTTAAAGTTCCAAACGCCGACATGAGCGACCTGAGCCCGCGTACACTGCGCACGCTGCGTCCACGATATCTGAGCAACATTAAATACAGTTTTCGTATAAGTGACACGCGACTACGTCTACAGTAACATGAGCAGCGTTCAGTGTACACAAAAAATTGAACAGCAATAAAATAACAACCCCCCCCCCCCCCCCAAACAAGACCGTATTAAAGAATAAAAACATTTAAATCCAACACCGTCTTCATCAAGCAGCACGAGGGAACACGGGAGACGGTGCGGTGTCTGCCCCGTCACGCACAGCACGGGGGGGGGGGCCCATCTACGGTGTGCCACCCGTCCCGTGCACAAGACTGGAAGCTGTATGAGGAACGTGGAATTTCCACCACTGGCTCAGGACCGCGTCAGAGATGAGTGCCCCCCAACCCCTCTCACTCCCCAGCCTCCGGCCTCGCGATAAAAGCCCAGGAGACAAATTGACCGTTGCCTTTTTGTCCGGGCCCTCTCGCAGAGAGATGTGTCTGGGTGTGACTGCGCCGCTTTGAGGGCTGTCCCCTTTGCGATGTCACGCCACGGCGTTACCTTGAGCGCGCCGAGAGTGTAGTTCGACAGATACAACTAGCTCACGATATCATGGGACGGGGGGGGGGTGGGGGTGGCCGCGGGGGTGGGGTGGCTTCTACACAACCGACCAATGTGCTTGTCAGGAGAAGCACGCCGCGTGGGTTATCTCCTGAGATGCCCGGCAGCAACCGCAGTGCGGACTCCTCAAGAATTTTGGCGATGCCGATATCAGAGGCGGCGTGGCCTGCGCAGACTGCTGGGAAGAGACCATCAAGGTTGGGACAGGCGACGCGACGAAGGAGAATATCTGAACATGCGTGGTGAGCTGCGGTGTATCAAATGAGACACTGCAACAGCAACAAAAAAATAAAACAGAAGTTCACTCAACATCCGTTAACTATCTGTCCACTCGCACGCTCGCGGCGTACGGCTGAGAGGGTAGCTCGTTCTTCGCAAGCAAACAAGACGAACACTCGATCGTTTCAGGATGCCCGACAGCCGAAAGGAAATTACAATGGCACCGATTCACCGCCGTCAGTGGCCATGGCTAATTCCACTGCTGGGTGAAGTTCCTCCCCAAGCCGCTGCCGTCTCCTGCAATCCCGCGATACATCAAACCACCCAAACCGATGTCCATGCCTCCGTCTCTGTCGCTGGGTGTTCTCTCCGGGCTACACTCCGTCGCTATCCGCTGACCATCCGTCCCTTCCAGCGATGCGCCCTGCCCACTCCCGCCCACTCGCTCGCCTACACACTCGAGTCGAGTCCAGAACCCGTGAACGTTCGCGAGCCCACGTGCTCCTTTTTTCGGCAACATATACCATCTCAACACCGAACGTATAATCCCCAGAACCTGAATGGCACACGCGTGATATAGAGTAGTACACACACGTGGTATAGAGTAGTACACACACAGAGAGACAAATAGACAGAGCGGCGGGGTAACGACGACTCGAAGCCGGGTGGAGGGGGTGGTGAGAGCCGCTGCCCGCCGAGGCCACCGGTGCCGTGGCGTGCGAGCGCGGGGGTCTTGCCCCGTGAGGGACGTGGCGAGTCTCGGGGGACGGAGAGACGGCGGAGGAGGGGGGGGCCGGTGGGGGTTGTGCCACCCACGGCCGCCGTTACCAGATGTAGTTGGAGTCGCTCGGGGTGTCGTCCTCTGGCAGGACCTTGGCCGGCGGCGGTGGCGGTGGCAGTGCCTTCTTTCTGCCGCCAAACTTGTACGTGCCCGTCGAGGCGCCTGCCACGGAGTCCACGGGGGGAGGAGGGGAGGGGGGAGTTTGGCGAGCTGCACGCGGCTGGCAAAGGGTCTCATCCGCCGCCGATGGCGCCCGTGCCACGTGAAACACACGCGGCTTGTTCGGAGCGAACCTCCTTCCCGCCTCACTCCTTCATCACTCCTTCCTCACTCCTCCTCGTCCTCCTCGTCGTCGTCGACTCGGGCAAGAGTCGTCGTTGTGCGTGCCCGAGGGAGGAGAAGGAGGAGGAGGGGGGATGGAGGTTGCCCGAGCGCCTTTGCGATGCAGTTTTGCTCCAACGCGCGGTTTGGCACGCGGGGAATTTGGGGGCTGTCGGACGCAGTGAGTTGGTGGGTGGAGGGGGAGAGCGTCCGTCGCTCGCCACGTCCCACACAAAGTTGTATAGACGTCCATAAGATAAGTTTTATTTTGGGTTAGATCGCGTAAATATATAAATGTGTCGTTAAACCACCCGACACAGCCAATTTGTAATGTTTGTCACGTAAACAGAACGTGACAATTCGTTATTAGTACAGCACACCGGTGTATTGGAGAGCAAATCCACAACATTTGCAATCTGAGTAAATTACAACTAGCTTCATCAGGCGGACAAGCAGGATTCGTGGAGAAATATTCCTGTTTCGTTCCTTGAATCGAGGAGTAGATGCGGTGGTGTCCCTCGTGAGCCCTTCACGTGCGAACGGGCATGGGGGGGGGGTGATTAGTGAATGCATCTACATCACAATGGGTATCCGTTGCCGGTTGGGTTATTCATTTGGTGATCAACGCACATTATGCATGCACGTTGTTCTTGCCGTTTACGTGCAGTAGAATAGCAGTAGCTGTTGTTGTCTGCGCTACAAGTAATCCCCATTGACGTGTGGTGACCGGTTATAGGCATGCATTGAAATAATTATTAGATGATTCGCTTCCGAGCAGCACTAAAGGTTGCAGCTTATGTAAACGTTGAGTCGACCTAGGGGATGCCCAGGACCGGTTCAAATAATCGTCACCGGTGTCGGCCGTGAGCAGGAATCGAACTCGGGTCACCGGGTTCGCAGCGCAGCGCGCAAACCGCTACACCACCGCTCCCCACCACACACACACAGACAGACACGTGCACACAGACAGACATACACGCGCGCGTGCCCGCGACACTTACGCTTGTCGCAGAGCTGCCCGTGCCACCCCTCCTCGCAGCGGCAGGCGCGGGGGGCCACGCACGATCCGTGGGGGGCGCAGCCCGACCAGCACACGGCTGCTCGCGCCCGGCACGCGGCGTCGGCGAACGAAGCGTCGGGCGGCGTCGGCGCACGGTGTAGCCCGGGTCATAAACACCACACAAAGACAAAGGTTCCCCCCCCCCCACGTATAGCCTTTAGCAGATTGTTGGGGCAAGTGCTGTGAGCGAGCAGCGCCTACGAAGACCGGCATGGCCAGCAGCACATCTGCCGAGTGGTGGTATTCACTGCACACCGCGCCAGGTACTCATTTGAGGCTGAATAACACACACACACACACGTGTATGCCCGTGTATGCCACTCACGACCGATGCCATCATTCACGGTTGGTTTCTTTTGGGTGAGATCGTCGTGCGGTCACAATGTCAATATTTTACCGTAAAACCGTGAAATTGTCAAACATTCGGCTCGCTTCTCAGCATGCCAGTGTTTGCTCGTAAACCAAATCGATGTGAATATTTGCCACGTGCATTACGGCTTCATTTCATCCATTCGCTGTGTTGCGTGGTGGAGGGCTATCGTTAAACAATGGCATCGTACCAACACGACGAGCTCACCCGAGGGGAACCGATCGTGAACGAAGAAGAATATCACGCGCCGCCTTACAGGACGACGAACGTCGAAGGGTTAAGAGAGAGAGAGAGGCATCACAGTATCTGGTAAGTGGCGTTTGGCCAGGACATGGCCCGGCTAGCAGAGATAATGGCCAGCGGTCGAGGCTCATGGCTCAGTGGCAGCCACAGCAGAGAACGTTTCCCTTGGAGAGGACGGAGTTCACGGAGATGGAGCAATGAAATGGGCTCGCGTGCAGATCAGAATCAGAATATGTATTTACACTGGAGGAATCCGATGAGCTATAAAGCTCCTTTTTAACAGATGCCCAGTAATTTGTTTACATCGCATGATAGTGATGATGATGACAAGTCGTCAGTATGGGGATTTAGGGCCGTTGCCGAAACGTCGACATTTTTGTTTTACTTTTTAGGTCAAACAAAGTATTATTACCGAATGCGTGAATTATATTTTTTTGTACGCATATCGACAATTCCCCGGATGAATTTTCAATGTTCACAAGTGAGCATAATAAAGTTTTTTTTGGGGGTTATATCGGCGTCAATATGTTTACGCGATCTAACCCAAAAAATATATATTCTGGATAATATTGGTCGCGAAAGCTCTACGACTCCTACGTGTTACATTCACAAGTGCGGTTTGCATAATTGGCCGAAACGCCCTCCTGCATGTGGTCCAGGGAGACGGCGGCTGCCGGGCGCTATGACAGCAGCCACCCTGCGTCGGCGTTCCACCGATCACGTGCCACGGTTCACGTGCCACGGTTCACGTGCCACGGTTCACGTGCCACGGTTCACGTGCCACGGTTCACGTGCCACGGTTCACGTGCCACGGTTCACGTCCACGGCGCGGCGCTGCCTTCGTTGAGAGCAGCCGCGCGGCATCAACCCGGCGGCGCTGCCGCTCGACCGACCGAGCGACTCTCTGGGAGGGTCTCTCCCCCAGCGACGTCGATGGCGTCGCGCTCCGAATATCTCGCCGCGGCCCGGCATTGACTTCCTGCGGCGAGGGCCATGAGCGATTCCGCGCCTGTGTCAAGGGTCCCTGCGTCGGTTGCTGCTGGCGTTACGTTTCGTCTTCCTGTATCGTCAAATTGTTGACGCCTTTCTCGGCTCCGTCCAGCGATGATCGAGCGACTTGTGTATATTTGTCGTCCTGTGTTAGGTCGCATTCATCGCACAGAGAGCGATTCCCACGAGCGAACCACAATTACCTCGCTGATCTCCGTCAAGGAGCGTAAACCGTCACGTGAACTCCGCTCATCCTCCCAGCAGCAGCAGCAGCGGCTGCTTTTGGCTCGGCCGTCGAACAAAGGCGGTGGTCACTACATCGCGCGGCGCTTTCAGATGCGCTTCTGCGGCCGTCTGGAACGCTCTTCCTTTCGATATTAGGAAGCCACTGGGTAGATATCCACTTTAAAATCATCATCCAGATTGAAAACTAATTTCTTAAGAACAAAAATTGTTGTGTTTAGTTTGTTGTCCTTCCCCCGCACCTCCGATTAGCACGGTTGGCTACGTACGGTGCGAAAGAAATTCCACACACACATGCGCACTTTTCGCTCGAGCTTCGTTTGGTGACTTCCCCTTCTCCCCAAACCGCCGTGTCAGAGTTCAGCCGCGCGGCACCCTCACGGCTACCGAGATTAGCGGGGTCGGTAATTTTGCCTGCGGTCGAGTCGAGGCCCCGTGTCTCGCCACCGCAGCCGATCATCCATCATCGAGGGTCGTGGGGGGGGAGAGATTAAAAGGAGGTGGTGGTAGTCGTGAAAGCGAGCGGACGGGCGTTCACTCATTGAAGTCGCCCCCGTGTGAACCGTGTGAATCGATCAGTGGGCATCTTTCTCCTCTCTCCCTCGCTCTCTCTCTCTCTCTCCAAGTGGCGGAATGGGGAGAGATAAGAGCGCGTCCACACAATCCCCTCTGCGGGCCTGCGCGGGTGCCAGGTGCCCCTTTCAATCCTCCGCAGTGGGAGGACGACGAGAAAAGAAACTGGCGACAAAAGCGGGGGGTGGGAGGGAGGGGGCGGGGTTGAGGGGGGACACGGCGAGCCGCTGAATGGACCGGCGGCTGCAGTTGATCCAGGGGGGCCTGCGCATGGGTGGCGCGCGCGCCGGGTCCCTCTGGGTGCATCGAGCCAAACATTCCTGAGCCCGCGCCCCGCCTCCACCCATCTCCCCGTACCCCCCCCCCTCCTCTCTCTCACTCTAGTCGATGCTCAGTCGCCCTTTGATCACATGCCACTCGCTGATGGCTTCCGCCTGTGTGGACGCCTTTCATCTCGGCGCCCCCCCCCCCCCCCCACTTCTACCCCCCCCCCCATGCCCCACGCGCGCGCGTGCCCGTGCGGCTCCGTGAGCGCGCGCCCGCGATCTTCCCCGCAGAGGCCGAGCCCTGAGCGCCTCACCGGACTTAGTCCCGGCCTCGGCTCGAACCGTCGCCGCAGTCCTGGAGCCAGGCTTAAGCTGGAAACCCAAACACTGACTCGAAGAGTCCGACCGCAGGTATTGTGGTCAATGCAGACATGATTCCTTGTAAAAGGTTTCAGTTTGGTGTTTTTAACATCTTAACACCTGTTTTTGTTGCCGGAAAAGAAGGGGAAGACCCCTTCTCACTGACTCGAAGCCTAACACGGAGGCCCCGAGCCGAGCACCAGCCCGAGCCATGAGCCCGCCCGATCCTGAGCTACCGACCTTAACCCCAGCACTAGCCCAAGCCCTGGCACTCGCGCAAATCCCTCGTGTTCACCCTAACTCCAGCCTTGATATTAACTCTAAGCTTAGCCCTAGCCATCACCCTAGCACATGAATCCGAAGGGAAACCCGAGCCCTAACGCTAGCTCCTAGACCTAATACTAACGCCTAACCCCAGCATTAACTCTAAGCCAAGAATGACCAACTACACATAGTCCCTAACACAAACCGTAGCCCATAGCCTAGCCCTAACACTAACGCGAGACATTAACACCCTAGCCCCTAGCCCTGCCCCTAACATAAACCCTGAAGCGACCCCAAAAAAGCAGGCGCGTGGCGGGCATTGTATAATTCTGGAGCTCTGCGCGACGCGTTACGATCAGCTCTTTAAATTAACCCGGCGCTTTGAAATACAATTTTGGGTCCGCACAATTTTTCACACTTATGGAGTTCACGTGGCGCAACGGCAGAGATGTACATCACATCTTTTTTTTTTACAAATTTAAATGTAAATTCTACGCATCTATTATTCATTGTGATTTTTCTTTCTTTTGAGAATCGCCATAAGCTCGTGGCACCGTGGAGAGATCCTTACCAGTGAGCCGTGCTGCCTGTGTGAAATGTTATTGCCTATTTGTTTATTTATTCCTCCTGCTATATTAATATCCCTTCCCTTGTGGTGGCACCTGCGCGCCATCCATCTTTGGGAAATTGCAGAATTCTCATGGACCGGGCTCGTAAAAACGAGATGCATCGTCGACATTTGAATAGCTGCGAGCCGTTACTGGCTGTAAATTTAATCATTTGTGACTTTTCCCCCCTTCCCTCCACCCTCTCTTTCTTTCTTCGTCAAAGTCATTTTGTAAGCCTCCACCGCCGCCCTGTGTGGTCTCCTTGAGTCACGGCGCAAAGCAACGGCGCTTAGGCGGAGGCCAAATTTCGCTCGCAGGTTTTTTTTTTTTTGCGAGGAAGTCATCATAGCGCAACAGGTTTTGTCTTTCTTCCCTTTTAGTGTTTGCGGTTTAACAAAAAAAAAACTTTCTCCGAGGATCAAGGCCGCCGCGAGAATTGCCCCCCAACACCCCCCCTCTCCTCCTCCTCCTCCACCCCCTCGCCCCCTTTGAGCCACAGCACAGAGGGGGCCCCTCTTTGTCCGTGGCACCTGCGCTCGCGTCACGCTGGAATTTCGGTAAAGCCAACAACGTGCCCCGATTCCCGCCGGGCAGCTGCCGCGACGCACACAAAAGCCTCTCTCCGCCACCGGACCGAAGACCAGAACACACTCGGTTTTTTTTTACCCCGCTCGGGCATTCCCACCGCGTCCCGCCACTCCGAGATGGCTCCGTGACGTCACACCGAGCCCCCCCCCACCCCCACTCGCCCCCCCCTCTCCCCCATCGAGATAAACGCGACGGCCACAATTGGTGCGGCTGCTCCCCCCAAACGAAGGAGAAGGGCGGCAGTGATCGCCACCGTCGGACACGAGCGCCTCGCAGGAAAGGACGGAGGTGGAGCAATGAATCCGGGCTGCCGAGTCAGGCCCAAGTGCGGGGACGCCGTGATGTTTCGGGCACGCGACCGGGGATGAATGGAGACCGCCTCCGGAGGATGGCGATGGAGGCGGGACCGGAAGGTGATCGGGGAAGACCACGCCACGTTCCGACCGTAGCGTCAAACGATGAACATTTGGAGGGACGTTAATCCGCCTTGGTGCGAAGACGCAGCGTGAGCGGCGGAGTAGAAGCGGAGAGAGGCACTGCAGGAGATAACCCGTGGAAGGGAATGGCCACGTGCGCCCATCGGCCCGCAAGTCCGAGGGACGAGAAGAGGAAGATGAAGAAGGAGCGAGCGTGCGGGGTTCTTAGAGAGAGAGGGAGGGGGGGGGGGGTTGTGGGTGCAGTTGCTGTTTGGTCGACTGGGGGTCTGCTGCTCACAGGCTGCCACCGTCAGTCCCGGACATGTCCCATGCATCAGTTCCCCGGGGGTGCGGGCCAAACCACCCTACCCCGCAACCCCTCCATCATGCGTTGCCCTTAAACGAAAACAGAAAAGCAAAACAAACGGAAACTAAAAAAAATAACAAAACACACCGGGGCACGGTGGCAGCTGCGGTCAGTTGAAAGCATCCGGCTGTTTGTACAACTGATGCGGCCGTGTTTGCTGGACTTCCTGAAGGTGTTGTGGTATTTGGGGGAGGGGGGGGGCGGAGGGGGAGTTGCGTGGGGTGGGTCAGGGTTGTGGAGAGGGGGGGGGCGTAGGGGGGGCGTAGGGGAGTTGGGGGCTGTCAGGGGTAGAGACACGAGGAGGATCGTGGGGGGGTATAGGGGATTTTGAGGACATTGAGGGGCTTCTCCATCTCCTCAAAGCCCTCACCGCCCGGGCAGGGCGACAGCTCAATGGAACCCCAACCCTAGAGGCCTCCCTCGCACACACACCGCCCCCCCCCATCACCCCCTCTAACCTACTTTACCACTACTGGGTCAGGTGCTGATGGCGAGCACCTTTCAAGGCCCGCACGGAACATTTGTTGCAAGCACCAAACAAAGGCTGAGATCCTCCGTGTAGCCTCATCGGACCGTCGCGGAAAGTGCTGATGATATCGCGTGCCGGCACGGCACGGCACGCGATAGGATGAGAGCCCACCACTCGGCCCGGCCGCCTTATTCTCCCCCAGTGCTGACGTTTACACCACACACCAGATCCTCATTTGAGGCTGAGTCGACCACCTCGGGAGCCTACGGATCAGTTTAGAGTTACACCACCGATGTTTAGGCATGGTCAGGAATTGAACTGAGGCCGCCAGGTTCGTAGCACGGTGCGCTAACCACATGCTCCACCGCTCCCCTAGTACCACGCACGCACGGGCGGCGCCTGTCTCGCAAGGCAGACCGAAGCACATCCCACGGGGTTCGTTTTGCACCGTGACGACGAAATTTCAAAGCTTCCGAGTTTTTTGTTTGTTCAAACGTCCTCAAAATAACTCCGGGGAAAGTTTGCACTTTGCCACCAATTTACCATCAAAGCGCTCTCAGTGATGGTGGAGTGCGGCTTAAATATACAGCCGCAGAGGAGATGGAGCCGGAAGGATTTGAGCGTCGAATCACGCGCGATATTTTCCACGGGATTTCCCCAAGGACGTGAAGTTCAACTTGTGCTACTCCCATCGTAGGTTTTGTTGTCGCTTGCGCCGGTTATAGCAGGCTCCTGTTCTGATACGACGTGTCGTGACCCAGCGCCTAAGGAAGCTCTCGGCACGTGGAGCGAAACGTCGGATATGATGCCAAACACACGAGGTGCATCGTTGGACATTTCCACGAGACTGGCTCGCCCCTCCGCCCAGTGTTATGGAAACTAAATTATTTGTGTGCGTATGTTTAACTTCGTTTGCGCCGTACGTAGCTAACCGTGCTCATCTGAGGTGCGGGGGAAGGACAACAAACTAAACACAAAAAGCAGTTCTATGGAAATGAGTTTTAAATCTAGATTTTACAAAGTACGTATGTTGAAACAGAAATTTAAAAGGTAAATCAAGTAAATCAACCTGCATCCCTCGTGGGGCATTGCTGGATGAGGGCTTCCCCAACGCCGTGCCAGTGATAGGCGTCGTTTGACCATACTTCACCCTGCTGGTCAGTGCGGGTTGGTGACAGCGGGGAGCACAGACACAATGGATTTTCTTTTTTACTTTTCCAAGTTGACAGGGCAGCCTCGCTGCAGCCTATAGCACCTGTCATGCACGGTCATCGGCCATCCAATCGCTAACCAGGCTCGGCCCTTCTCTTTGGTTCCGATGATGAAAGCAAGGTCGGGCGCATTGTAGGTGATTTGGTCATAGGTCAAGGGTCAGTTCACCGACTTACCCACACTGCGCCCCGCCACCACGGGTTCAGCAGGCAGGCAGGCAGGCCGACAACGGAACGCCCGGTTCACCGGCGGGGGGCGGTGGGGGACGACGACCGATCGACAAATCCAACCGGCGTCGTTGTCGCTTTGTCGTTGGCTCCGCGGCGCGCAATCGCTCGAGAATGACCGCCGCGAAGTGGAACCTCCATCCGCAGGGCGACGACGACGACGCCGCTGCGGCCGCGGCTCGCGACGACGCCGTCAGCTCCGACGACTACGGCTAGGACGTGCCCGTCCACTTGCCGTGCCCTTTCCTCGGTCTTGCTCCCGCATCGTGCTCTGTTTCGTTTAGTTGGTGCAAGTCGCTGACCCCCGCCCCGACTCGACGTCTGTGAGAAAAGAGCTTCGTAGCTAACCCGATTCCCCCCACCTCCTCCTCCCTCCTCCTCCTCCAGTCTAAATGACGATTCCGATTCTGAAACAAAGATTCCGCGAAGACTCACGTCGAGCGCAGTGGTCACCATCGTAGCCCTTGGAGCACTTGCAGCGATTGGTGCCCACGCACTTGCCCCGGTTCTGGCACGGGGGGCTGCACTTGCCTGCAGGGGGAGGGGGGGGGGGCAGGAGACAGAAGCGTGGTCAGTGTCCTGCAAGAGAGAGAGATCTCAGTCGCTCTCGAGTCACCCATCGCCGGGTGGCGGCGTTGATTCGTGGTCCAGCGCCGGCTGCGAGCGATTTTGTGGCTCGAGACGCACGCACCGGTTCCTGGCGCTTCATTGCCCAGTGCGGACACTCCTCGACTTACGAACACCCTCGACTTACGAACACCCAACGACTTATGAACACCCCTTCCTATTAGCAAGCCAAAATCGTCGACTGAAAATTAATATATTTTTTTCTCTATCTCTTAATGTTACTGTAATTTACGTTTTATTTACTATACATTATTTATTATAGTATTACAAGCAGGTGTACAATATTTATTCTTATTTAATAGTGAAACGCTTCCCTTTTTTGTTGTTGAACCGTAGCACGTTTGAGAACACTGATCGCATGGGCATTTAAATGCAGTACATTTTTGCGTCCCGAATTACAAACCGTTCGACTTTACGAACGGGCCTCAGGAACGGAACCCCGTTCGTAAGCTGAACAAGAGCTTTGTAGCTCATCGGATTCCTCCAGTATAAATACATATTCTGATTCTGAATATCTTCATTGGAAGGCAATGAAGATTCGACTATTATCACGTGGAACAACTCGGTGATTGGGCAGAGCGCGTCACAGCCAGAAGCGGGTGACGGCCCAGCAATGTAGTGAGTCCGAGAGAGATGGAGCGATGAAGCCGGCACCTCGGGTGAGATCGTGACATCGCTGAATCACCAGACGTGGCGGCGGCGGCTTGGTTAAAGGGACAGGGGGCCGTCATCCAGCAGTAGATTTACCGTGGCTGACGATAAGCGCTTTGAGGCCTCGTGCGAATTGCGCTATAGAAAACCGAGTTTATAACTATTATTATTAGATGATGGTGACGTTGATGGTGACACCAGTATCATTTGACACATCAGTTATTGTGCACGGTCCACAATTCCCGTCCGGTTGTTTGTGGGCACGTGGCTGTTGCCCCCCCCCCCCCCCCCGCCAAGTGGCTAGTGGTGGGTAGTGGTGAGGGGAGAGGAGGGTGGGTGGGTGGGCAGGTCGGTGAGCGGAGCCCGATGCGGCGTGACCACTTTGCCGGTGCGGTGCGTTGGTGTGGGTGGTGGGACGCCGGGTGGGTGGGTGAGTGAGTGCGCGTGCGTGCGTACTGTGCTCGCAATGGCTGCCGTCGAATCCCGGCGGGCACACGCACTTGCCGTGGTGGTAACACGTGCCGCCGTTGAGGCAGCTGTTGCTGCAGTTGGCTGAGGAAGGAAAACACGGGCGAGCGAGGAGGCAGCTGAACAACCAAACCGCAGGGCGTCGAGGCAACCGCTTTCGCGGTGTCATTCGTTTAAAGTGAACCGGATGTTGCCCGTGACTTTTCAAGATTCCCCATTCTCCCTGGTGAGATGTTAACTTCCTTGCCTGGTATGCAGGAGGTGGTGGGTTCGATTTCGAGCCTGACCCTGCTGTATATTTGGAGTCTGCGTGTCACTCTCCCCGTGGTCGCGTGGATTATTCTCCGGGTTCTCCGGTTTTTCCCTCCATATTTAGAAACGTGCATTGAGAAAATTTGGCTGCTATAAATTTCCACGTGATCAGCCACTTCGTTGGGCTATCATTTGTGGCCAGGTAGCTTCTGAAGGAGCTATGTAGCTCAGTGGGCCTTACATGGTAAAATAAAAATGTTTTCAAGTTTCTAGTTTAAATTATTATTTCTTATCATTACGCTTGTTTGCCCACGAAAGCCTCGCCGTGTCTCAAGGCTATTTTTCAGGAGGGTCCTGCCATGTTTTTGCAGTTGTAGGGGGCGAAGTTGCTGCAGTGCGCGATCCCAATCGAGTGACGTGCAGTGTAGTTTCTCATCATTGCGGTTGTTGTTGCTCCAATGCCAGTGACGTTGTACTTTTGTTTAGTGATGGGAAGGAAAGACCAGAGAAGCCGGAGGATTTGCAGGCCACAGGACGTCGAATCCATTCAGATCTCTCGCAGAGGCGCGCGACCCCTCCCGTGATAGAGCAACGGCCCCCAGAAGCGGATATCACGGAGCTAACTCGGAGATCCCTTCAGGTGACCTCCGTGCCACGCAGGAGGGGGGAGGGGCAGGGCTTCCCCTCGTCACGCGAGGAGTCAAGCAGATACATTTAATTCTCAGCGATGGAATTTATCCAAATTAAGTGGAACACCAAATGCTACGTGATGGGTACGGTCATTTGTGACCGGGCTGAGACCATCAACTCACGGCACTTGGAGAACCTCGAACTGAACCCCGACCCGACCGTGGTGTCACTGCAGTGTGGGGGGCGGGCGCGTGGGGGGGCGGGCGCGTGGGGGGGGGGGGGCTCACCGTTCTCACAGTAGACGCCGCTGAATCCGGGGGGGCACAGACAGAGTCCAGGGCTGATGCAGAGCCCCCCGTTCATGCAGCGGGGGGCACACAGAGCTGCTCCCGGCACGGACACACGCGCAGGCACGGGCTCGTTACTCCACCCACAGTCAAACTTCGCTCAGTGGGAGATCGCTCATTCTCCTCCACCGCCCACACAATCTGGAGCTCCCCTCCCCCAGCCATCCGTGCTGTCGAATCCCTGCCCCTATTCAAGTCCGGGCTAAAGTCCTTCCTCCTTTTCTCTGCCTCTCTCCCACTGCTTCTATGTATATTAAAAACAATATATATAAGGCCAACTTATTCCACACCGCGTCTTGAGACCCAGTCGCATGTACGCGCCTTATCAATCCCAACATTGTACTGCAGAATAACATTTCACTTCATTAGCCCGGGAAAAAAACCTCGCTTAGTCTCAAGGCTCCGGTTCCAGGCGGCCCCACGTGGTGGGATGCTCGTCCACGCGTGAGCACAACCGCGCTGCATTATTTCGCGGTCGTCCTGCGCAGCTCTCCGGCGTGTGTTTGGAGTTGTGCCGTTTGTACATTCGACGCCGTAGGTACCGACCGTTCCCACGTGCCGGGGGCTTCCGTGGTTCCCTGCGGAAGCTTCCAGCAACCCGAACGCACGCGGGAAAGCTGTCGCGCGTGTTTGCCCGCGTGGGAGTAACCGGTGATCGCCTTCAATATCGCGCTGAAGTTTAAACCGTCGTGACGCCTCCGTACCAAAGAGTAAAATATCAGCACCCTGGTGCCTATGTTGGGTCTGCGAGTCGAAAGCCACCACCACCACCCCCCAATCCCCGCCACTGACACCCCGGGACGACGCCGCCGCCGCCGCACACAGAACCACGGAGCTCTGTCTCGCAGAGCACTGCCACCTTTCTCGCAGCTCGCCCCGAAGAACCCGTCCGGACAGTCGCACGTGTCGCGGTCGGTGCACACGCCTCCGTTCATGCAGCCCTCCTTGCAGCCAGCTTCACACGGGCAGGTGGGGAGGGGAGCGGCGGTAGGGGGGGGGGTACAGGGGGGGCGGGGGCAGCAGGGGAGGGGGCAACAACATTAGGGCAGTCATCATCGTTGTCATTGCCACTTGTTATTTATGTATCGCATCACATCTGCATGGCAGGGTCTCGAGATTCTGAGAGCCGCCAATGAATACCCAAACACGCGGGCAACATAACTGTCTAAGAGACCCATGGATGTAATATATATAGATATATAAGTAAGGAGCCTTGAGACGTTTCACCCGAAGACGGCGGCACCGCAGGACTCGCGTTCGATTGCGCGTCGCCACCAGTTGATTGTCAAACGACGCTCGCCCCGCGACGACGCCGTCAAAGGCGGGAGAAAGATTTTTTTTAAAACCCCCACGGCGTTCCGTTGGACGAGTTTCCGTGGTCGGGGAGCGCACGGCGGGGAAGACTGGAGCGCGCGGTTCTCGAACGAGAACGCCGAGACGCGCGAGCCGTGCGTCCGTCTGACGATCCCTGCGAGTGCCCTTCCCGCGGTGACGGCGCCCAAGTGATTCAGGCGGACGATCGCGATGTCGCGCCACCGGTACCGCCTGGGGTTTTTGTTTTGTTTGAGACGGAGGTCAAACGGAACGCAAAGTTCATTTCTGCGCGGTCCCGCGAGAGGCCGAGCCGTGGTGGTGGTGGTGGTGTGGTGGTGGTGGTGGTGCGGTGGTGGTGTGGTGGTCGGGTGGTGGGTTGTGGTGGTGGGGTGGTGATGGGGTAGTGGTGTGGTGGTGGGGGTGACTGACGATCACCTTTCTTGCACACTTTGAAGAAGATGGCGTTCTCGGGCGTGCTCAGGACGATGTCGCCGTCCTGGTTGATGATCTGCACGATGGCCTTGAAGGCGGCCACCCCCTCCTGGGAGGCCAGGCACGGGAAGCTCACCTGCACCACTGCGCCAACGCGCGACGCCACGCGGGGCGGGCAGCCGTTAGAAGGCCGTGCGAGGCTTTTGACGACGACAACAAGGATGAGGACGTTTCGCGCCTAGTAGCAGTAGGAGGCTTTCGCGACCAATACCATCCATAATAGAGGTTTTTTTTTTTTGGGGGGGGGGGGGGGGGTTAGATCGCGTAAATATATAAATGTGTCGTTCAAACCCGCCACCACCCGACACAGCCAACTAGTAATGGTTGTCACGTAAACAGAACGTGCCAATTCGTCACTAGTACAGCACACCGGTTGTGTGGTGGAAAGCCAAGCCACAACATTTTCAATCTGATTACGACGTTTCCAAAATTTGGCTATCGCCTGATGAAGCTGGTTGTAATTACTGGCGAAACGTCTTCCCTTCGTAGCCCGGTGCCTCAGTTGCCTCCGGCCCGTGGACCTCGGCGGCGTAGTTGGACCGCCTGCGCCACGTGTTGTGTTGCACCGCGCCACACGCTGCGAACCCGTTCATATCGCTTGGCATCAGCGCATCCATTCCATCAACCTTGCCAGAAATAAAATGTTTTTGCTGCTCGCTACTGCTCGCTGCTCGCTGCGGTAGTGTGCGAACAATGTCACTTGTTCGCAACTTAGCATCGCCCGTGCTGTGCCTGCCAAGGTATTAGTAATACCCTCCCTCCCTACCACCACCACCACCCAATTGTGGTTCCTCGAGTGCGACCGCCCACCGGAAATGTGGCGAGGCGCAATTTGTTCAAACAGCCCATCGCAGCAAACGCCACTGCTCATCGAAAGCTCATGCGGGAGGTGCGATCCACTTTACACGTCGAGCAACTCATTGCCATCGGATTACCAACCACGGCATAGACGGTTTGACAGCGGCTCTTCCAATGCCGTAGGAGAGGTGCAGAAAGAGAGAGACAGAGAGAGAAAAAGAGAGACCCACCAGATGGCTCGTTCGGGATGGTGCCCAGGGCTGGGATGTTGACCACAGGGTGGCCCATGATGTCCTCGTCCAAGGACCTCATGAGCTGGAACTCGTAGAAGTACTCCGACTGCCGGTGCGACAAAAGGAGTCTTGAGACTCGGCGAGCCTCCCTCGTGGGTAACAATGTGAGGGACAGATAAGGCGGCAGTTGCGTTCCTCAAGAACGCCGCGTTGTGGAAAAATCGCGTTATAATAAACAATATATGATCTAGGGTTAAAGCACAGTCCGCGATAACGCGTGAGACGCGTAGGCTGAACCAAGACCGAGACGCGTGGGTAGCATCTAGAAGCATCCAGCAGCATCCCGCCCTGTGTGATGACGCTACGCCGAGGCAGCCGTACGACCGCTTATTCCTACTCGCGCTGCCACGTAGTTCCGTTCACTCGATCGCGTTGCTTCCAATTCGCATCCGCGTTGTAAAAAAAAAAAAAACTTGTTCCCCGATACGCTAATCGCGTTATATCCAATTCGCGTTATGAAAACACGCGGCGTTATAGTACAACAGACTGTATATATATATACTTGGTAGCGTCTACCAGATAAATGAGGGAATGCCGATGTGATCCTGACATGCGAGATGACGTGGGGCTTCCTGTTTTTACGTTGCAGTTTAAAACGCTTCGTCTCTGTGCGTCTTATCATTCGTGTTTGGCCGGCACGCATTTCTTTCATCTCTTTGGGTTGTCCCATCCATTTCAATTTGTGTGTGAACTCCCTCCCTCCCTCCACTCTCTCCCCGCACCCTCCCGCACCTGGTCCTGGAAGCACACCCCAATAGCGACGAATTATCTCGTTATTCTGCTGCTGCGTTGACAGCGGTGCATACGTACAAATAGCACCAAATAAAGTCAATGACACTGTGGCCTCAACAAAAAATACTCTTATATAAGCGCACAACTTTATCTGTGGTGAATGCTGCACTTCCCCTCGTTTTCATGCAGGGGGCGCTGCAAACCTACGCGCCCCCTGCATGAACGACGGAGGCGCAGGGACAGACGTTCGATCACGTTGGAATCGATCTGCAGACGGCGGTCTTCTCGCACGGCCAGCAGCTCTACGTCGCCTTATCTCGATCCCGCAATCCTAAACAGGTGAAAGTCCGCATCGAACCGAACCCCCAGCAAGGCCATCCACTTGACGACGAGAGAAAATTCACACGAAATGTCGTTTTCGATTAAGTCTTCCAGATGTAAAATGACATAAGCCGTTAATGAAGAAATACAATTATCTAATTCAAAACATAATACAATAACAAAGATGTTTCATTTTAAAACTTCAAAACTGAGCATCGTCGTTCGTATGCAATTTTTTTCGTGACTTTCCTGGCACGAAGGCCGTAAACGGTTGTGAGGGGCGCCACAGGCGCCTTCGAACACCCCCTAGTTATGAATATAAAATAGGCGACGGTTATGGCAATGGTCCGTCTTATTCACAGACAGCGCATTCTTCATGAGCCGTGCAGAAGAAGAAAGAAAGAAGAGCCATTCCCCGAATGTGTTGGGAGGTTGTCCCCCCCCCCCGCCCCTTCCCCCGATATTGATGGAGTGCACCTGGGGCATACATCACACTTGACCCCAGCATTAGTGCCGCTGCACCAATTGAACGGAGCCGAAAGCGGCGGCCTTGATGGATCGCTCGTTTGGCCTTCAAAGCGCGATCCCAACGGCAGATCCACCCCGCGAACCACCGCTCATTCAACGCGTTGCCCTTTTATCTAGCCAGGTGACGGCCCCATTGAGATTCATGATTTTCCTGGGAAATGGGGAAACCTTGGCAATTAAACTCCGGAATTTATATCCGGGGAAGGAAAATGTGCTTCCCATTTGTTCTGAACTGGGAGGGGGGAGGGGGTGGGGGAGCGGTGGCGCTGCGGTTTTGTCGCGCGCCGCCCGTATTCGATTTCGCGGCCACGGCTAACATCAGTGGCGCGTGATATCTAAACCAGTTCCGGCCCTTCGCTTCAACAGCAGCCCACGCTTACCGGCGTGGCGAAGTACGGTCAACCAAACACTTTTAATCCAGCAGTGGATTGACAAGAAAGGGCCACACGTTGCTCCAAACGTAACCCCCCTCCCCCAGGCGTTACGTGAAGGCCAAGAAGGCGTTCGCATGTTCCACGTGGAATAATTTGGAAACGGATCCAAACGCGACGTTCTCTTCTTTCATCTTACGCGGGGTCAAGCAAGAGGCGAGTCCCCTCGAGAAGCCAGGGAGCGGAGGAGGAAGCGTGTCGTGCATTATACAACGCTCTATCGCGAACGGCAATCAACCAAACAACCACCACAGCAGCCTGAGCCTCCCTCCCAATCCGTCACCCCACGTAGAAATGCTTTCAAGTCTTAATATGTAAAAAGTAATATACGTAAAACAAAATATGTAGAAATACAAATGTTTTAGTGATGAATTGGCATGTTATGTTGACGTGACAACCCTTACCAGTTGGGTGTGTCGGGTGGTGGCGGGTTTTAACGACACATTTACATATTTACGCGATCTAACCATAAAAAAACTCTATTATGGAATATAATAAATGTTTATCGCTTCCACACTTTACCAATCCAACTGTTGAGTGTAGCTCCCCCCCCCGCCCACGCCGTGTTGATCATGGGGTTGTTGACCGTACCTCGACACGCTGGTCAGTGCCGCCACGGTGGCGAGATATTAACTACCTCGCCTGGTATACAGGAGGTCGTGGGTTCAATCCTGACCGTGACACCTGCTGTATATTTGGAGTTTGCGTGTCTCTCTTTGCCCGTGGTGGTCGCGTGGATTTTTCTCCGGGCCATCCGGTTTTTCCCCTCTACATTTAGAATCAACGTCACACGTTTTGAGTATTTAGCTGCTTTAAATTCCCACATGATAAGCCACTTCGTTGAGCTGTCATTTGTGGCCAGGTCGCTTCTGACAAAGAGCTATATATAGCTCAGTGCGCCTTACCTGGTAAAATAAATAACAAAAATAGTTTAGTTTTAAATAGTGTATCGGGTTAAGGGGATGGGGCGGTAGGGCAGCCAGTGCCAATTCAGATGTCACCCGCCACTGATGTAAGCCGTGGCCGGGAATCAAACTCACGTTACTGGTGTTCGTAACGAGTGCGCTCAGGAATGCGCTAACGCTCCACCCACCTGCATATATAAATAAATAACCCCAAATCCGAAATGTGCCACCTCACATCAATGTTGAATTGTATTTCAAGTTTACTCGTTGTATTTCCTTTCAAACTGTTCTATATTTTGTTCCTCGTTTTGTTGCGTATTAGGTCTTAATTTTGCACCGTTGTTGTTTACACGTGGGATCCTGTTAGTGCTCTGTGTATTCAACGGTATTTATCGCCACATTTTCATCTGCCGTGCTCCAATCTCATTGGCCATTATGAGGCATTTTCGCCAGATCTCCCTGGCAAAGGAGACGTCTGGTCCAAAATTGTCCTTTAGGCTAGGGGTGGGGAACCTTTTTTTCTGCCAAGGGCCATTGGATATTCATAACATCATTCGCGGGCCATACAAAATTATTAACTTAAAAATAAGCCTGTTATATTTGGTCAAACATTTAATTAACTCACCCCTAATGTGATGGCTGGAACTGCTTCTCTTTGGGCGAGGCGTGTGATGATGTTAGCTGGTATTGATGATGTTGCTACTCACAACTGCTTTTCCAGTTTTGCTCCGAGGTTTATTGAATTTCGAGTCCCGCCTGCGGTTGCCTTGGCAGGGCCAGAGACCAAATGATTTCGCGGTGCCTTATACGGCCCGCGGGCCGGACGTTCCCCACCCCTGGTGTAGGCGGTCTTAAGGAAAGGAATAGAACTGCAAGGCCAGCGCGTAAATACATAACACGACCACAGCCTCTTGCCTGCGCGATCTGGCGCCGATCAAGCAAAGCGGCAATCTCGCTTTGGCGTCTTCTGATCTGACACTCGTGGCGAGACAATGCCACAAAGAAGGATCCTGTCCCTGGCCTAGGCCAATCGGTTTCAAAGACAATGCATTTAAGTATTATCAGGGGATGTTCGTTCGCGTGTTTCGCCACAAGTACACGTGGCTCATGCAGACTTGATGTCTCGCAATCGGCATCTAATTGATGTGTGAACATCTCAACACCTCCTGTTTCATTTCCAGAAAGGCTAAATAACATAACAGAGCTGTTTTTGGGTGAGATCGCGTAAATATGAATGTGTCATTAAACCCACCACCACCCGACACAGCCAATTAGTAAGATTTTTCACGTAAACAAAACGTGCCAATTCGTCACTAGTACAGCACTAACCGGTGTGTTGGAGAGTAAAACTCACAACAATTACAATTCGAGTACGACGTGTCGCCAGTAATTGCAACAGGCATCATCAGGCGACAGCCAGATTTGATCGCGAAAGCCTACGCGTTGAACAGAGTAAATACACATTTTTGTTCATCAGTTTTGATACTGTCAAAAAAAAGAGTCCCGTAGATATAGAGCGATGATTTGTTTTTTCCTCCGCCCTCCCCGCAAATTCTCCAGAAACCCCGGGGGGTGATTGGAGAGGGAGCGACGATGCCCAGGCTGCCTGGCGCTCTCCTCTCCGCGAGCCATCCAGCGGCTCGCAGCGACCTCACAAATAACTTCACCGCTCCACCAAAGCGTCCCACGTGGCTCGCGGCACTGCTGAGAATGTGGCACGTTCCCTTTACGGGGGGGGGGGCATATTTGCGCCGCATACGAGGTGGGGTGGGGGTGGTGGGGTGGTGGTGGGGGTAATGGGGTCATTAATCAATGGGCTGAGCGGTGACCTCACCGTGCACAGCGCCGAGTCTCGGGGCTCACCGCCCGCTCATGTTCCTCCTCCCAGTGGGAGCGCCTCGATGTTGGTAAAAGATAACACGGATCATACGGCGGCGGGAGGGGGTGCATGGAGGTTTATTGTTTATTTTTACTTTTTTTTCACCAGCTGCCCGAGGGTTCGCGGACAATTGAACCTTATGGCGGGACCCCGGGGTCCCGCCATAAGGTTCATTTACATCCACGTTGTTTGACTCCACGTGATCCTCGCGCGTGTTGGAATGTTTTTCGTGAAGTTCCAGCGCCGAGTGGTTTTTCGCGGCTGTGCTGTTATAATCGATCTCAGACGTGTTTTTTTTGCATCGTATTGCGTGCCCGTGTGCGTCTTTGTCGGTCGGCATGATGTCACGATGTCCGACGTTTGGCGCCGGGCGCTGAAGAGAAGTGCCCCCGACACGTGGAGCGAAACGTCGGACATAGTGCCGGACAGCACGCGACCCAAAACGAGTTAATTTTTTTCATCGAGTTTTTTTAACTTAATCGGTCCCGTTTTTTTTCTTCATGTTTCCAACAGTATAAATAAGTTGATTGCTTAATATAAATACGATTGAGTAATGTGCAGCCCTTTGTCAATCCACTGCTGGATTAATGCATCCCCAATCTGGGGCATTGTTTTACGAAACTTCACACCGCACAGGTCAGCACGGGCTGGTGGAATTAAAGATCCCCGGACTGGTTTGAATCTTTCTCGCCACTCCTGGAAGCATTGGGTGGGGTTCCAACTCGGAGCGCGGTGCGTTAACCGCTGCGCCACCACTCCACGTGCCACAAACATTTTCCAAACCGTCGAGCAAAGCGGCAACGGGTCAAACTTAATCCCCCCACCCCCTCAATTCGTGAAATTGACCATCGTGACATTGTCATCATGAAGACATCATTATCGTCGTCGTCTTGCCAGCAGCTAACCGCAAACACGGACCACCTTGGATCTCCAAGTAACCCTCGCGTCAGTCACGGAGAAGCCTTTCATCGTTAGCCAACGCCGACATCATTTAGTCAGTACATTTAAACACATGGCAGTGAATTGACACATCAGATGTTGTTAGTCGCAGGCTCCCTGCGAGGTTTACGCACTGGGTGTTAATCCTCTGCCCTCTCCCGGGCAAGCAGTGCCCCATATTTACTCGCTCGGTGCGGCTTTCAGTGCTCACGTTGGGGTGCCACCCGCAATGCACCATGGGGGTTTACGACTCTCCGGTCGATTCTCGCGGTCGCGCCGTACGTGCGGCTCTCCCATGATGGTCGGGGGGGGGGGGGTTCGCGGTTGTTATGACGTCCGACGTTTCGCTCTGCGTGCTCGGTGGGAGGTCGCCGATTCTCCTACGCCGCGTTACCCCCCATGGTCTGGAATCCCCCCCCCCCCACCTTGCCTTAGCCCGTTCGTGCTGTGCGATATCCCTGCCCCCCATCTCAGCACGTGGAGCGAAACGTCAGACACCGTGCCAAACAACACGCGGTACAGCCAGAGAATAATACATGGGTATACTTTTTTATATATAAATAAATATATATTTCAATTCTTACAGAGAGGAGTGACAATACCAATGTATCTGGGTACCCTTTGTAATCGTAATCTGATACTGGAGGAATCCGATCAGGTATAAAGCTCTTTTTCACAGATGTCCAGTAATCACAATTTGCTTCCAACCAAATCACCCGTAATGCACCCGGTCTCTTCAGATCCTGGTATCTAAGGACGCTCGACCCTCGATGGAGCCTCAGAGTGTTGCATGGATGGGCTGTCACCGTGCATGATAGGTGTCATAAAGCTGCCACACCTCTCTGGCAGCCTGCCACGTGAAGTTGATGGAGGGGATGGTGCTTGGGATGGCTGGCATTCTCTGCTGCGCCCTCTTGAAGTCGTGCGTGAACGGGGCCATCTTCCCATCGGAGACGATGTAGATGTTTTCCTCCAAGCCTGCGCGACATTTCGGAAGGCAACTTATCGAAAATTGTAACAAAAAAAAAAGAGTTTTGATTGGATCGACAAAAGACCCATTTTTTGTCATTCCACTTTTGTCAATCTACTGCTACATGAAGGTCTCCGCGTGCCACGTCAGTCGGGGTTGTTGCTTGACTATACTTCATCACGATTGTCAGTGCGGGTTGGTGAAGCGGGGCGCGGGAAGGCCAAGATCGGTTCAGATGTCACTCGCCACTGATGTTAACCGTAGCGGCAATCGGTTCAGATGTCACTCGCCACTGATGTTAACCGTAGCGGCAATCGGTTCAGATGTCACTCGCCACTGATGTTAACCGTAGCGGCAATCGAACCCAGCTGGTTCGGCTTCATACCGCAGTGAGCAAACCACTGCACCACCGCATCGCCATTTACTTTATGAAGTGTCGAAATGAAATCTCAAAATGCTTTTAACGGCGAAAATGTCATTAAAAACACAACTTAAACGGGACCGTGAATGTTGAGTAACGCAATTATAAGAATTAAAACTAGACATTAATTTTTGTTTAACAATAAGTAACCGCAGCACGATCGTGCTTAATCATGAGCAAGTTCCAAAAGGTCGGGTTTCACATAGGCTTGAAGAGAGGGGTGGAGAAAAGGGATGATATAAAGAGGAGGAGGATTCCAGTTACAGGTTCCACAGCCCAAGGCATCTACGTTATGCAGCCTGGAGCCGATTTAGGACATTCCACATGACTATGACGGTGAGCCAGTCCACCCATCAGACGGAACATTATTTGGTGATAGTACTACGTTGGCAGTGGTGCACAATCAACTAACACCCAACACATCCGTCAATAACACAGTGATAATACGGGTTTATTTGGGTTAGAGCGCGTAATGCTATCAATGTGTCGTTAAACCAGCCACCACCTGACACAGCCAATTAGTAAGGTTTATCACACCGGTGTGCTGGAGTGGCTTGGCTCTCCAACACACCGGTGTGCTGTACTTAGTGACGATTTGGCACGTTCTGTTTACGTGACAAACCTTACTAATTGGCTGTGTCGGGTGGTGGCGGGTTTGACGACAAATTTATACATTTACGCGATCTAAACCAAAAAAAAACTCTTTTGTGGATGATATTGATCGCGAAAGCCTCCTGCGTGTTAAAGAACACAGTGACCTTAAAGCTAAAACATAGAACATATATCTAATAGCCCGTGTGCTATGAAGAAGGGCCGTTACCTAAAACGTCACCTATTTATATTTATTTACATTCATTTATTTTCCCTGTAAAGGCCACGGTGTTAGTTTGTTGTCCGTCCGCCGCTCCTCCAATGAGCACGGTTGGCCATGTACGGTGCGAAAGAAGTTCCAACGTACTCTACGCGTTCGACGCACTCTCCACGCATACGAGCCGATGTGTCGAGTGTCTTGTTAACACACGAAAACACCGACGTTGGCTTCCCAACGCTATTCAGTACCTAAGCAGTCGAGGCGTTATTAACTCGTTGTCCAATGTATTTTTGAACGCTTGGAAGTGTTTTTTCATATCTCTACGTAATACGCAAGGTGTTCATGCCCTTTGTTTAACCCAAGGAAATCTCTCAGAATCTCAAGACTCTTTTCTTCCGGAGGGTCCTGCCAAGTTAGGATCTTTTTTTGCAATTTCCATCAGATGAGCATTTTATTTCAGCGGGAGGAATCTGGTAGAGTGTCTGGAGAAACCCCACGCACACCCATGTAAGGCTTAACGCTCCACACAGATGGATTCAAGAAAATCCATTGCTGTGCAGCCATCTGGCCAACCTCGCGATGAAATAAATAAATAAGCACACCATATGTCTCTGCATGCATAATTGATTTGTATTCAGCAGGACAAAATTTAACTTCCAAAATACCACATACCTCGTATGTCCATACGACAATTCGTTTTGACAAAATCACCCGGAATGTGCACAACCTCATCATATCTCGGAAGCTATGCAGGGCAGAGCCTAAATAGTGGTTGGATAGTGACCGCCTCGGGCTTTGCATGCGCAATTGGCATTGTTTGGTAGTAGAGCGGTGGTGGAGCGGTTAGCGCTACGAACCCAGCGATCCGAGTTCGATACCCGTTCGCGGTAGACATCAGTGACGATTATCTGAACCGGTGCCGGGCCTCCCCGAGGTCGACTCGGCCTCAAACGAGTCCCTGGTGCAGTCTGTAAACATCACCACTGGGGAGACAAAGGCGGCCGGTCGTGGTGCTGACCACCCACCCCCTCGTATGCCATGACGGCCTTCATAGGTGCTTGCTAATAACACTTTCCCCAACAGCCTGTTTAGGCTACACGGGGTGGGGATCTTTGTCTGTTTTGATCGTAGAGGGAGTGCAGCGAACCCAATGTTGTCTCGCCCTACCCCTCCCCTCCACTTTCACCCACCTGACAAAACCGGGGGTCCAGCACATGAGAAGTTCTTACACTCATATGGAAAATCAACAGCCAAGTGTCCGATGGACCTGACCGACTCCCGCCATGGGAACGTGGAAAGTTTCACCGTCGGTCCTGATCCGTCGACTGAGACGATCGCTCATCAATGCCGCAGCGTCATCAGCATCATCGGCAGCAGCAGGGGCTGCGATCTATCCCCTGCTCGATGAAGAAGGCCTCTCCGAGCCACCAACCATCGCAATTCAACATCATTCCATACAGCTCCAAGATCACGCGAGCCGATTCCAGGGCTCCAACTCTTCGTTGGGCGTTCTCTCGATCGTTCGCCCTCCTAACCCCACCTTTGGCTGTCGCTCCGTCGCAAGTCTCGACCACCGGGCATCGGCCATCGTGCCCCTTCTAGCGACGTGTCCTATCAAAGCCCAGTGTGTGTTTGTAAAAAATAAATAAACGCAAGGATAAAGGCGCAGCCCTGCAATTGCTTGCTCAAGCCACTGCTGGCGGAAGGGGCCTTCGCTCACAGAAGCTATAGAGACCGAAACAGGGAGATTTCTTCACGATTCTGGTTAATCGCCTAATGAAGTTGGTTAGTAATCACCAGCTAAACGTCAGGGTACCCGAAATATAAATTATGGCCAAGGCTACGATTCTGTCGCGGTAATCTTGAGCAACATTTATGACCCCGATCCACGGAATTTCTGAATGAAAACAAAGAAAATACGTAATCCATCGAATGGTAAATGTTGTGGATTTACTCTCCAACATACCGGTGTGCTGAAGTAGTAACTAATTGTCGCGTTTTGTTTACGTGACAAACTTTACCAATTGGCTGTATCGGGTGGTGGCGATTTTAACGACGCATTTTTATTTTTATTTAAAGCTTTCGTGACTGCAGTAATTCATATTCTTAGTTTTTTCGGTAAAGTCACGTTGTTGTTTCCCTTCAACGTGACTTTACCGAAAAAACTAAGAATATGACGCATTTATATTTAAGCGATCTAACGCAAAAAAACCTCTATTATGGATGATATTTGTCGCGAAAGCCTGCGTGTTAAACCAAGCCCATTTACAAGTAATTCGGCCCACTCTTCCACAGTGGCCAAATATCTTCTAAGAGGTATACCCCCACTTTACCCCACCACACGTGACCTTCCAATATTGCTGTGGTGTGTGTCCATTTGATTTTGTACCGTTCGGTTGACAGCGCCGGTGAGATTCAAGAAACCTCTCCCATTTTAAACAGCCGCGCCAGGAGGTCGAATCGAACCGGCGACCTCTGGAATGCAAGTCCCAGCGTGCTCATCGTCAGCAGCAGCATCCTCAGACGAGTGTATCCATCTGCAAATAATGAAATCCCTTCCCGTGCTCTCTGGCGCCGATAGAGCATCGCACATGTGAATCGGCATTGTCCGAATCAGCCCCCTGGTGCGCGTCTAGCGGAGTCTTGTCAGATGCGACGATATATTAAAAAAACGATCGTTTGGTTATGGTCTCGTTTATTTTGGGGCGCAGGTAAAACTCATTGGGCAATAGATTGATGGGGACATATCGCATAGACACCCTGATTACAGCAAAACAACACGGACAGTAGCACTCCAAAAGCTGTAGTCAAATTGCGAATGGCAATGTCGTGCATCAGCATCGCGATACAACCAGCAGACAAAATACAACACGGCTGGTAGAATTCATCACAACGTGCGAAAAGTATTGGGTGCACAAACAAAAACAGAGACCGATTAAGATCGGTGAAATTATAGAAAACAAACAAACAAACACAATAATCCCATGTGTAACTAAGGGTCTGCGGAGGAGAGCGATCAATTGCACTTAAATCCGAATGCATTAAACACACACAAACATGCACTTGCGAAATCAAGCAAGTGATGTCGACGTTCATGCTGTACACTGTCTCGACAATTGACCACCGCCATCTGAATCCGAGTCCGCGCGGCACGACCCGTCCCAGGAGACGGAGCGATGGAATCGGACCGCGTGCAGGAGGCGGATGGCCTGTTGCGTCCCAGGATCGTGAGAGATGGCAACGGGCTTGGGGATTCCTACATCCAGCGGTGGATAGATCGCGGCTGATGATAAGATTGGCGATTTACGTATTGAACTATGCGTGCATGCTCAGCCGAGTGATGTATGAACCGTGGTGAAGTATGGTTGAATAACCCCCATAATTACCTCAGCATGGGAAAGGCATTCGTTCAACAACTGATTGATTCGAGGCTTTCGATTTACCATAGCAAAATACGATAATTATAGTATCTATGTACATGGCATTTCGTCTGAATGGATTGGCACCTGGTTTAAAAACATTTAAATACATTTAATTAAATAGTATAGACTTTATACGGTTGCCAAGACAAATAAGATTATACTAGAAGAAGTATTTCTCAGGTACTGGGAAAAAGTAACCTCCAAGGTAAATAATTGCCAATCAAGACGATATTGTGCAGACTACTCAATATTGCCAGACTATATAGTGCGCACAAATTGCTTCGTCGTGATCTTTCACCACGTGACAGCTTCCCTGCATTGTTTACAACTTTTTTTTATCCTTAAAGGTCCAACGCTGACCAAGATAGTGTCACTGTCCTCGGCACCGTGACTGAAATATCGAAGTTCAATGAATGTTGCTGGTCACTCTGCACCTCATTTCTGTACGGGCAGAAGTTGGAAAGGATGATGATGATGACAGCCCGTTATCTCGACGTACGACGGAGTGGCAGCCAAAGGAGGAAGGAATCGCGCCCGGAGAAGGAGCGGTGAACTAGTCATAACCTACAACGCTAGACATTACATTACTCCGACACATTATGGCAAGAGATGTAGCGGTCTTTGGTATGGGATTGTGGAATTTCCACCACTGGCTTAGAACCATTAACGGAGGAAATCACCGTCCCACGCGAGTCCATTCTCCCTTGAAATATAAACCCTTAAGTTTCAATGGGGGTTTCCTGAAAATATCAACGAAAACTGAAAGAGCGCTTTGTCACGGTGGCGAGATGATAACTACCTCGCGGGGTATACAGGAGGTCGTAGGTTCGATCCAGACCATGACTCCTGGATATTTGGAGTTTGCATCTCTCTTGCTCCGTCGTCGCATAGATTTTTCTCCGGGTCCTCCGGTTTCCCCCTCCACATTTAGAAACATGCGCTTGGAGTATTCGGCTGCTATAAATTTCCACACGAGAAGCCACTTCGGTGAGCTATCATTTGTGGCCAGGTGGCTTCTGAAAAAGAGCTACATAGCTCAGTGGGCCTTACCTGGTAAAATACAAAGTTTATAGTGTTTTAGTCACTGCTAAATGAATGGGCTGCCACCCCAGCTGTTAAAGTGTTACGGTGCCGCTATGGCATGCAGGCTCTTACCGATCAGGTCCCGAGCTTGGGTCGCGTCTATCCACAGCGCCAACGGGTCCTGGCTCATCATGGGTCCCGCATGGATGCCCGGGGCTCCACACACGACCACCACCGTCAGGGCCACCATCGCCCACAAAGGATCCATCGCTAATGAACTACCTTCAATGGGCAATGATGAGCTACAAAAAAAAGCACACTGGAGCTGTGCTCGATGAGTCTTGTGCTTAAGTGTGGTTATGGTTCAGCAAAGTGAATGTGCTCTCAACTGTCGTGATACTAACAGAACGGATGTTAGGCTAAATATAAAATATTTGGTGAATGTATGTCAATATGCGTTCTGGAACATATCTATAAAATATATTCTTTTATGAACGATTGCCCTGAACTATTTCCCTGCATAATGTGACCCATGTAACAATAGACAATGTGTAGTTTGTTATATTTATGTAGCCTGTGTATGGTTGGGAATGTATTGTTTATGCATATACTCAGTATAGATCTAGTAAAATTTACACGTATAATCAACGTATATATCTACTGACTAAAATTATTTATGTATATCCTAACCTATAGATGTATTTTATTTACGTATAGTTTACTTAGAGATGTAGTTACTTACTTATGCTTTTACTATCTACTACACATGGAGCGTGACACAAACGTGGGAGCTTATGTCCCATCCGAGTTGCAGGGTCTCTCTTATCGGTTGTTCGAGTCACTTTTGCTCGACAAGTGCTGCCCCTCCCTCCCCGTGAGTCTCCGCGTCTCTCTCTCTGTTCGCCGCTCTCCCCCTCTCCACCGACTGCTGTTTCTGCTCTCTCTCTCTGCCTTGCATTACCCATAAGAAGGTGGTGGGGGGGGGGTGTACGTAGGAGGAGGAGCCGATTGCATCCAGGGGCCCTGGCTGGGCACTCGGCGGATTGCAGCTCTCTTGATTAGGAGCCCTGCAAAAGGGAAAACACCGCACACGCACGCACATGCCAAACCCCACCTACTGGCTGGGTGTAGAGCAATCTTAACTTTGATGGGTGCCCGGGGATATGATGATTTGGGGGGGCTCTTTTTCCACTTTCGATTCCTTCCCGCATCATTTTGTTCACCTCCACACATGCCCAGTGCCAACCACTCGCTCTCGTGGTTCAGCCACCTTATGTTATTATCAGTTATCTGGTTTCTCAATGTTACATACAAAGTGTAGGAGCGTTACTGAACAGTTGAAACGATGTTAGTTTTGGCCCGTAACTGGAAGAAATACATTCGTAGTGGTGCGATTGGTTTTAATGATCAAGTTACCTCGAGAAATTATCTTCGTGGGAGTAATGCATCTCAACTATTATAAGACGGTACATGTATATATTTAAAATATAAATTGGGCTACCCCCACCCCCCACAAAACACCCCACCCCCGCGCAGGCTGCAGCGTCAATGCAGTCCGAGTGGGTGGCGAGATATTAACTACCTCGCCTGGTGTGCATGGGAGTCGTGGATTCGATCCCAACCCTGAAGCCTGCTGTATATTTGGAGTTTGTGTGTTCTCCCCGTGGTCGCATGGATTTTTGTCAGGGTCCTCCGGTTTTTCCCTCCACATTTGGAATCAACATCACGCGTGTGGAGTATTTGGCTGCGATGTATTTCCACGTGATTATGAGCCACTTCGCTTTTGAAAAAAATATGTGTTTAGCTGAGCGAGCCTTATCCGATATAATAACAAGGAATTGTTTTAATTTAGCCTGTCGACGAGTTTTGTATACAGTACATACCCACATGTTTGCTCATCCTCTCCGCGTCCCTATCGCGTGAAAAATCGAGCAGTGTGCAGGCGGTGCAACTGCACCGACGGCGCCCATGGCGATGGAGGGGGAGGGGGGTCCAGGAGCCTAACCAGCGCCCGTGCCATCCGTGGCACGTCACTGATGTGGCACGAGGCTGGGCCACGCTCTAAGTTGCTCGCGGTAAATTTGCATTCGAGTCGGGACGGTGTTGGCGCACGGCCGCAATCCAGCACCGTGGACGCGAGGGTTGTTGGTGGATCGCACAGAATGCCCGCTGATGGTCGTGCCAGGCTGGTGTCCAGGAGGCGCCATAACCCTGGCTCGCCAGAAGAAGGCAGCAGCATCGAGCACAGCAAAACGTGTGCCTCTGCTCCACCTCGGTTCTGCCCGTGCGGGAGAGAGCGTTTCCCCCCTCCCCCCTTTTCTCCAGGTGCTCCGGTGTCCCCCCCGCACGGCAGCACTCGTTCATCGGCTGATAGCGCAGCACGATACGGAGAGGAACGATGATCTTGGGCCAACTGTCGATCACGCCCGTTCGCGACGTGGATTCCTTTCCTTGCGGGTGCATCGTGGTTCCTCCGCGCGCCCCTGACTCGTCCTCGCTCTCCGAGAGTGAGCGAATGCCATGCGGCGAGTCGCAAAGACGAAATTATAAACGTCGATCCTAAAGTCGCGATGATTATGCGACGTAACGGTGGCACACGCTGATTTGAACTGCAGTCGAGGAACTTATACGAAGGATATTTGTTTGAAAAGCAAGTGCAGCAAAGCATAAAAATAATACGATATAAATACAAATTACAAGTACAAAGGAACGGGAGACTGATATCACCGTAACGTCATATCATAAACATTGGAATCATTGTGAACAGTGCCATTGTGGCAACGCTGCCAGTCTCCGTGATACCTTTAAGATGCAGTGTGGTAATCTATTGCCTGGCCAATGTGCGTGTGTACAACGTGCAGTGCATAAGTCATTGTTCCTGAGCTGCAAAACTCTCTGATCCATACAGCTTTGGCCACTGATGAAACAAATCCACACCGTCCAAAATGAAAAGAAAGACAAGCAGCCTTTGAAAAAAAAAACACTTGGTATGCGTCCGATCTCTTCAGCACGATTCACAGCGTATTATCATTACGTTTGCGGGAGGTGGGGGGAGGGCACTTCATGGTTGGCAGCGGAGGGGAGGTGCGGCAAGAAAAATTGTTAGCCTGTACTCCTATGCTCTCCACCGTCGCCATCCCACACCGAGCAGCGTGGGTGGAGTTTGATCAAAACCCGCACCGCCTGCACGCAGCCTGGCGAGGCCGCTCACTCATCCAGCAGTGGATTGACAAAAAGGGCGGATTGGTTGGTTGCACAAATATTATTATTATGAAGACTACGATTTTTTGCATGGAGGTCACAGTGGTTACGGACTTCGTGAATTGGAATAACGTCTCAAGTGGAATCTTGCAAATGGCTCGAGAAACACGATGGATTATCCATAATGGAAGTTTTTTTTGGGTTAGATCGCGTAAATACAAATGTTGTGTCGTTAAAGCCGCCACCACCCGACGCAGCCAACTAGTAAGGTTTCTCACGTAAACAAAACGTGCCAATTCGTTACGACTTCAGCAACACCGGTTTGTTGGAGAGTAAATCCACAACATTTACCATTCGATTAATTACGTATTTTCTTTGTTTTCATTCAGAAATTACGTGGATCGGGGTCGTGGGGGGGGGGGCATTCCCCCCCCCCCCCCCACCTTATTCTATCTCGGTCATAAATGTTGCTCAAGATTACCGCGACAGAATTGTAGCCTTGGTCATAATGCACTGTCCAGTTGGGCCGGGGCCATGTGCTCGACTAAAAGTGTGCGACCCTTTGTCCCCCAGAATCAAATTGCATACCCATAAGCTTCACCCTCGAGGAATCGTGTTTTGCGTTAACAAGCCTATCCTGGTGGGATTCACAGGCACCTTTAACGAGCACGATCCTGTGGGAATAGGGTTGCGTGTTAACAGGCTTAGCGCTCGCCCAATCCATACCCATGCACATTAAAGGTTAATAAGACGGGGTGGGTGGGGGGGAGTTGGCAGCTCGAGCTGTGAGCCAAAGGGCAGCGTCATGCCTGGATCGGTTCCATGGGGATCGGCACGTTGACACGCACCGTACGATGTCACGTATTCAAGCCGCTCGGGACTGGGTGACAGGTGAGTGCGTGTGACAAGGTGAGATATATCAGCCGTGGTGGAGCGGTTAACGCGCTGCGCTTCAAACCCAGCGACCCGAGTTCGATTCCCGCTCACTGGCCACCAACACCGGTGACGATTTTCTGAATCGGTCCTGGCTCACCCCTAGGTCGACTCAGCCTCAAATGAGTACCTGGTGCGGTGTGTAAACATCGTCACTATGGAAACAAAAGTGGTCCAGCATGATGCTGGCCACTCACACCCTCTTGTGCCGTTCCGGCTTTCATAGGTGCTCACTAACAGTATTTGTCCCAACAGTCTGTAAAGGCTATACGGGAAATCTTTGCCTGCGTATGTGAACATCTGTACACAAACAAACTCCTGAACCAATATAAAGCACACATTCGCCTACTTTAGGCGAATGTGTGGAGGATCAAGGTTAAGTTGCTGTATGTGAAAAGGTCAGATCTGTCTCCCACGACTCTGCTTTGTGTGTGTTATAATTCAGACTGCTTATTATTAATGATTTTGAATGTTTTTAATAAAATGGAAGTTATGTCGTGCACAAATTCTGCACTGGGTGTGGGCGGCTAATTGGTCGGGAAGAATACGTCGCTCTGGGATATGCAACGTTGACATGTATTTTGATTGCGCACGGTCAGGTTTTGTTGACAAATTATACGCAAAGGGATTTCATTTGAAAATAAGAGTTGCTGACACGAAATTTAATTACATTTGGGTAGGTACTCTGACATGCAATTAAATTAACACATTATTGCAGCATCAGGCTGGAGTCGCGGCACAGCGTTTGGCGTCCTGTGCTGTGAATCCGGCGACCAGAGATCGATTCCAAGACTAACCCTGGCTCCTCTCCATTGACCAACACACTAGCGTGGTGCAGCATGATATAAAACAATTCCATATGACTATCACAGAAGTGGACTGACAAGGAGAGCGTATAAACATACAATGTCATTCCTCTACAAACTTTAAAGGCGTTGCTCGGGAGACACTCAATTTTACAACGGTTGTGGAATAATGGGGCATCTTGATCGACAGTTCAAATTCTTCAAAGATGTTTGTGATCTCCACCACGTGAACAAAAAAAACGCCTTTTGGCGTCCTCTGGTCTAACACCGTTTGAGACGAGGCTCGAAAGAAAAGCTGTCTCTGGTGTGGACCAATCAGTTTCAAAGACAATGCAAAAATTATCAGTGTGTTTTTTTGTTTGCATTCTGACCACAAGTATTGTGGTTAATGCAGACACGATTCCTTGTAAAAGGTTTCAATTTGGTGTTTTAACATCTTAACACCTGTTTTGTTGCCAGAAAAAGGGGAAAACCTATTCTCAAAAAAAAGCTTCTAAATCATATACAACAAAAAATAAGAGAAAAATGCCCCATAGAGTCTTTAACAGAATGTTTGGGCAAATCATGTTGGTGAGCACCTATGAAGACCAGCACGGCACACGTGCCTGTAAATTGAATCGGCGACCTTCGGATTGCAAGTCCAGAGTGCTCACCATTACACCATGGCATGATCGAATTTTTCTACTTAACAAGGAATTGCAAAAAAAAAGTAATTTTTACTTTAAATAGGGAAACATCACACTCAGTCGTCTTGTCTCCCCCAGTGTTTATGTTCTACAGACGGCACCAGGTACTCATTTAAGGCTGAATCGACCTAGGGGAGGCTCCGAAGCAATTCATATATTGGCTACTGTTATCGGTCGTGAGTGGGAATGGAATTTGGGTAGCTGGGTTTGTAGCACAGTGCGATAACCATTACACTACTGCTCCCCACTACATTTTATATAGTATATACACATACATACGCTACACTTGGCAATAATAACTCCATTTCATGAATTACAACTTCGTGAATAACATCACCTGTAAATCATACAAGTTATTAATGTCAGCCACCGAAAGCACTCCCATGTGGAAATCTTACATTTGTATTACCGCGTACTGATTTTCCTCGACTGATTTAAGTTTCAAGGTGCTACACCTTTGTGTATTTTTTTGTATTCGCCGTGCAACAGTTTGAATGGCTGCTTCTAAGTTTTAAGTTGCTGCTGCTGTTGTTGTGGTGAATTTTCCTTTTCAAATTGCTTCGCTGTTGCATTTTTTTCAACGTTTCATTTTTCTGCATCCTACTTATACCCCCCCCCCCCCTGCTGACCCCTTGATAAACATTTTTTTTTAAATCTCAATTGGTCCCTACCCCGGGTGAACAAAAATAACGCGGTCATCCTTTTCACGAGGAATTCAAATGTGGCCCTGTGTCTCTGCCACTCAGCTTTTGCAATCAGGCTGCGCCCTCTGATGGTAGTTGGCTGACACTGCCACTTTAAGTCGACCTGCTGCTACTTCAATTCGAAAACTAAAAACACGTGCGTCAACCACACAGAAACAATATAGGCGGCGTTTCGGTAAATGTCCCTTCTTTATAGCACAGCAGAGAGATGATATATTTGCTGGCAGTGTAATGTGTTGAATTTTTTTATTATTATCTGTGCTTGTGTACCGCTCCCAACGCAATATATCACGAAACATTTCATTCCAATTCAAGAGGACTTTAAATACCTTTAGCGAGCAGCCACACGTTAACACAAACCAATAATAATTGGCAAAAAAATAGCATGCGTGTCAACCCGAGTATAAAGTGTCACTCGTCGTGAAAAGAGTGACTGAGCGAGCCAAAGCTGCTTATAATTGTACGTTTGGACGACAGTCCCCCTCCAGTACCCTATTATTAGTGCCGCGAAGATGCTTGCAGTGACGGATAAAAAAAAACATAGTTCACGGGCTCTTTCTGCGTGGTTAGGCCTAGTGCGGCCAAGAGGTCACGTTAAATTTGTTTAATCTTCATTTGAAGCTTTCGTGACTGCGGGAATCCATACTCTGGTTATTTCGGTAAAGTTACGTAGGTAGAAAAATAAAACAAAAAAATAATCCAGAGTGGAACTCTGGATTAGAGTGGAGTGGAACTCTGGATTATTTTTCCGCCTGAGGACGACCGCTTGTGTTGCGATCGAAACGTCGTGATATATTATTTTTTGTTTTATTTTTCTACCTACGTGACTTTACCGAAAGAACCAAAGAGTATGGATTTGTTTAGTTTGTTATCCTTCCCCGCGCACCTCCGATTAACACGGTTGGCTAAGTACGGCGCAAATGAAGTTCAACATACACACGTAGGTTCTCCACCCCTGAATTTACAGGATAAATGAAAAAAGAAGCATTGCAGTTTTGCCAATTACAATCACGGGGCATTGAAAAAACCCACCGAATTCATCACTGGTTATTGTTCTTCTAAATCGAATCTCAATGCCCTCCATCAACATCAAAGGCAGCGTATTCGTGGCTTGATGTGAAAAGGGCACATCTCTGATGCAGAAGTATCAACAAAACACCACGATTTTTTGAGGTTTTTTAACGTTTTTTTCTTTTCTAGGACGTTCTCCTCCTCTCTCAGCCTTAGATGTAGGAACATCCAACAGGTACGGGTGCATATTGTCTTTGATCCTGCACTCAGACATATATGAAACGCAACACATTCATCAATCACACTATTGCCCTTCATGAAAATGGCCATTAAGTAAAACGTCGCCTCTTATACATTGGACAAATGTGTTGAGTTTTTGTTCATTTTGCTTGTGCACCACTACCAACGAAGCATCACCACGTGATTTGTATCGGGTCATACTTAAGGCATCTCGCCGACAAGCAGACAAGAATACAAACGGTACTCTACGTATCTGTACTTATATGCCCTTACTTTGGGACTCCTGTAAATAACAAACATTAATCTCCAGGTAGTTGCGAGTGGTCATATTTGCATATTACTAATTTATTCAAGACAGTGACGGTCCTTGCCAATAACGTCTGGCAGCTTACCAGCGCATTGCTTCGAGCAGGTCTGACAGCTGATGAGACACGGTGTGTTGAAACCAGTCTAGTTTGCTTGAACTGAATGCTGATTAAATTATGCACTCGCAGGGCATGTGGTTACGTGGCCCAACGTTGGGCCAACGTTGGAGCAAAGTTGGGTCAACGTTAATCGTTTACTGGGAGGCCTTGGGGCTGATGGGTTGAGTAAAATAAACATATTTTACGTGGTAAAACAGGTTATGTGAAGGAGGCATTCTTTATCTGTTATATTTGCAATAACTGTAACTTTTCATATTCTTGGTTCTTTCGGTAAAGTCACGCAGAAGAGAAACAATAAAACAATAGAAAATTTTAAAACAATAAAATTCTCACACCTGATGATAATTGCTTGTGTTGCAGTCGAAAAGTCGTGAGAATTTTTTTTTATTGTTTCCCTTCTGCGTGACTTTACCGAAATAACCAAGAATATGAATCCCTGCAATCACGAAAGCTTTAAATCAAAATATAACTGTAACTTTATTGACAACCGGGCATGTGTCGAGTGCGTCTAAAAAGGGCCGTCCATCGGTGCAGTGCCCAGGGCAAATCCCACTCTGGGGCCCCCAACGCCTTATAATTGGGACAATACGGAAATAGCGGGGGGGGTGCGTCTTATAGTCGGGACAAGATGGTAATAGTGGGGGGGGGGGGAGTACGTCTTATAGTCGGGACAAGATGGTAATAGTGGGGGGGGGGGGGGGGGAGTACGTCTCATAGTCGGGACAATATGGTAATAGTGGGGGGGGGGGGGGGGGAGTGCGTCTTATAGTCGGGACAATATGGTAATAGTGGGATAGTGGGGGTGCGTCTTATAATCGGGACATTACGGTAATAGTTGGGGTGGGTCTTATAATTGAGACAATACGGTAATAGTGGGGTTCCGTCTTAAAATCTAGACAATACGGTAATAGTAGGGGTACGTCTTGTAATCGGGATAATACGGTAATAGTGGAGATGCGTCTTATAATAGGGACAATACGGTAATAGTAGAGGTACGTCTTATATTCGGGATAATACGGTAATCGTGGGGGTGCGTCTTATAATAGGGACAATACAGCAATAGTGGGGGGTACGTCTTTTAATAGGTACAATACGGTAATATCTTATTTGGTTCTTTCGGTAAAGTCACGTAGAATGAGAATAAAATAATAAATTAATAAAATAAAATAACTATTAAATTCTCACGACGTTTCGGCCACAACACAAGTGGCCTTCATCAGGTGAAGGGACGAGACTGTCTGGAGGACAGCGCTGGAGCTTCGATCGCTTCGATCGCTCCATCGCTCCAGCGCTGTCCTCCAGAGTCTCGTCCCTTCACCTGATGAAGGCCACTTGTGTTGTGGCCGAAACGTCGTGAGAATTTTATTGTTATTTTATTTTATTATTTTATTCTTTTATTCTCATTCTACGTGACTTTACCGAAAGAACCAAAGAAGATGAATCCTTGCAGTCACGAAAGCTTTAAAATTGAAATTTAATACGGTAATAGTGTGAGTGCGCCTTATAATCGGGACAATACGGTAATAGCGGCCTCGCTCTCCCTCGCACGTGCGTGTCCCGTCGCGTGCACATTCCGCCACTTCCCGTTGCGACGACGTCACGTCCGACTCCCCCTCCCCCACGAGGTGGGGGGGGGGATGAGGAGTCCCCCCCCACCCCTCCCCCCATGAGAGTAAGAAGAAGATGGCGGCGCGGGTGAGGGACGGCGTCTCGCCTCGCTCCGCCGTCGCCTCCACGCGGCTGCCCGCACGCAGCAGGCTCGGCAGGCGGTCCAAGGACGGAGACGGAGGAGGAGGCAGCGGCGGCGGTGGCGGCGGCTTCGATCAACGCGACGACGATAAGGAGAGGGAGAGCCGAGTTCAGCAGCAGCAGCGTCACCTCCACCCTGAGCAGCAGCAGCAGCAGCAGGCGAGGTCGGTAGGGAGGCCGCGAAGTCGGCGGATCGGCGTGGGCTTCAGCTCGGACGAGAGCGAGGGCGAGGCGATTGTGTCGCACCACCACCATCGCCACCACCATCATCATCATCCCGTGTCCCCGTTCCCATCCATTCCGCACCCACCGCCGCCGCCGCCGTCTCCTCACTCCCCTCCTCGCTACCAACATTCACCACCTTCTCCTCGCACGGCCGCACTCAACAACGGCCTCAAGCGCGACTCTCCGCGGTTCAAGGCCCCGGCCTTGCCGAGCCCCAATGGCCGAGGAGGGGCCAAGCTTGTGCCGCTGCAGCCTGGCGGCGCGGCCCTCGAGCACAGCCGAGGAGGCGAAGGAGGCGCCAATGGGAACAGCAGCAGCGGTAGCAGCAGCGGCAGCGAGGGATATTCGGCATCCGACGGCGAGGACGACGAGGGGAGGAACCCCACTGGTGCCGCGAGGTTGCACGGGGACTCGAGGAGGCATCAACACCCTCGCCACCAGCACCACCATCAGAAGCAGCAGCAGCAGCATCAACACCACCGGTTGCAGAGGCAGCAGCAGCAGCAACAGCAGCAGGCTGTGGGCAGAGGGCTCGTCAAGTCCTCGCCGGGCGTTGCGGACTCAGTCGTCCAGCAGAATCCGAGCGAGAAGTTGTTTGGGGCGCGTTACGTAGCTGATGGAACAAACGGCGGTGGAACTGGACGTGGTGTTGCAGTTGATGGCGTTGCTTGCGACGGAGTGGTGGCTGGTGGCGACGGTGGTGGTGGTGGTGATCGTGCCACCAAGCAGGGTGACCATCACGGCAACTGCGTGGTGCGAAACCGGCAGGTTGCGGGGTCAAGCGAGACCCACGCACCCATGGTCACCACCACCACCTCAACCTCGTCTTCGTCGTCGTCGTCTACCACAACCACCACCACCCCGGACGCCAACCACTCTGGCACCAACCACACGCGAGCGAGACGCGGCTCGGAGACTGAGCGGGAGCTGCTTCGCCAGTTCAAGGTGGAGGAGGGCGAGGCGGTGACCCGCCGGCGAGCCTTCTGTGCCCAGTACCTGTCCATGCTGCTCCTGCTGAGCACAGCTCTCTTCTTCCTGTGCCTCGCGTTCGTCTACGTGAACATCAGGACGGCGAGCGAGCGTCAGGGCAACGCCAGTGAGTTGTTGAGGCTGGGTGGCCGTGGTCAACGTGGGATGGGGGAGGATGGTTGTGTACTGTGCGTGTGTGTTGGACTTCTTTCGTACCGTGCGTTCGCCAACCGCGCTAATAAGTCGGGGATGCGGGGGAAGGACGACAAACCGAAGGCAAAAAAGCAGTTCTAAAGAAAATGTGTTGGGTTTTTTTTTTATCTGGATTTAAAAGTGCACGGCTACCAGTGGCTTCCTAATATCTGAAGGAAGAGAAGAATAGGATAGTCGGTTGTAGATGCAGACGGAGATAAGATAAAGAAGGGTTAGATTAGATCATCTGTTTAATGTTATGACCAAGTAGGAGCCATTTGAGACCAGGAATCCTTTTTGAAAGGGAGACTTGGGAGTTAAATGTAAAGGTTAGATAAGGTCATAGCCGGATAAGGTCATATCCGAGAGGACGTCCATAAGAATAGGATAGTCGGTTGTAGATGCAGACGGACGTCCATAAGGGAGATGGAGTGATAAAATACACTCCAGTGCAGGGTGCTAGGTGGATTATTACACGGCAAAGTTACTTAAGCTGGTGGTGCTTTGGAAAGCCCTTCATTCACGGTGGATTAACCACGGTTGATGATTTGCATCTCGCCTGGAATGCACCAATATCTCAGAAGCCAACTAGGCATGAGCCTGACTAGGGCTTTGGTGGGTGATCACCACACGTACAACAGGTTGTCATAGGGCTTGCAAGCATGCGTGGTTGGGCAGTCTAGCAACATGTGTTGTTCTGTACCTCTGATTCCACGACCATACTCCACACCATTGGGTTTGACGGCACGATGGGGGTGTTTTCACATTTGTGTAGTGTCGGGGGGGGCGCACTAAAGGCCACCAGGGGCCGCCAGTGGCCTGCAGGCCTTGCAATGAAGACCGCTGCTCCACGCCTTAACCAACCCGCACTGACCAATGCGGTGAATTCTGGTCAAATAACCCCACGTCTCATTAAGATCAAGAGTCTATTTTGCAAGGGAAACATTTTAAATATAATGTAGAGGGTAGGTAGGTTTTGTAATATGTGGAATCATAAGTCTATGTAGGTACCCTTTGACACCAGGCATTTAAATTTGGGTTTAAATTACTACATACGAAACAGTAAAAGTAATTCAACGTGTAAGAAAGGCAGAGCGTCCAAAGAAATGTGTAGCACTGGGATAAATAGTAAAGAAAACCTTAAGCATTTTCATCAATACATTGAAAAAGCCATAAAACATTCACCTGTTCACAAAAAGGTTATAAGCAACTAACTGCTATGTTGCACCAGTAAACAGGTGTATGTGTGAACTGACACATCTTCTCTTTGTAACGTTCTAACCTAAACCCAGCTCTGCTTAGGCAATGCGTTGTAGCATCCTTAATGGATAAGAAACTTGAAAAAAAAACAACTTGATTTCTGGCACAAATATAGCTGACCCCAAACCAACTCAGACTCATTCTGTTACCTAAACTGATGGCATATAAACCAAAATGCCCAGAATTTTCCCGATCTCATCAGGTCTTGGAAGCTATGCAGGACTAAGCCCGGCTAGTGCTTGGATGGGCGGAATACATCCACAGATACATGGTGCCACCGGACTACTTGGTGGGTAGCATAAAGCAGTGCACCAAAGTGCATTGTTATGCTGTGTACGTCTATGCTCTCACATCTGTGCGGTCGGTGTTCACCAACCCCACACCGCACCAGCGTGGGTTACTTGATGGTCAAATGAGCCCGCACGGCGTGGGGGAGGCCCTCGTCCAGCAGCGGATGAGAGGGCCTTCCCCCAATGCAGGCTCACGTGAAGCTGAAGCGAATGCTAGGATTGCAAGCGTGGGACGCGTGTGCAGTTTGGTCGCCCAGTCGTGGTGCATATTTGCTGCGACGTTGGGCACCTTTTTCCAAAACAGACGTATGAGGAAAATGAGGTCGAATGGGTTTCTTGTTTGAATTAAAGGCTCGACCAAACCCTTGCATTAACCCGCACGAGCATTAGTGGATGATAGGGAAAACCCACTTTTCAGGAAGGGGCAAATATTTTTTGCCGTGCTACACAAATGTTTAATTGCCAATCAGTGGTCAAATACCACAGACCATTGCTAAATGTGATTTAGTCGACCTGCTTGTCTTGAAATGAGAAGTTTATATTGGGCTTCATTATCGCACAGAATATATTTCTGTGTAACCTGTTCTGACCAGCGTGGTGAAGTATGGTGAAAATAAATAATCGCCCATGACCAGCAATTGTGTGGGGAGGCCTTCATCAGTTGGTTGCCAAAAGGCTGCAGAAAGAGTAATTTAAGAGATTAAACACACCTGTTATGTGCTTCAATGTTTTCTCTGTTTTTTTTTCTGCAGCATCAAGCAGTGCTTGCTGTAACCATTCTGCCTTGGTAAGTTATCACCGCACCAACAACTTGCATGTGCCAAGACTAGAGTGTGAAACCTCTGGCAAAGATGAGGGACAAATCTTTTCACCTGAGGAGACGAATACGACGGGCACACCTTGGCATTATCTAGAAAAATAAGAGGACTCGCATTAATGCCTCGTGTGATTTTTTTTATTATATCACGTATGCTTTCCTCTCACAAGCATATTGTGAATGGCAGGCTGCAGTTCTGAAATAAGACATGTGGCTATGATATTTGCAGTTGAAGGATAAATATTTTTTGCTGTCCATGTTGAAGTCAGTAGGCCTTGTGTGACACCGGGCTGTATTAAGTGAAGTCATGGGCCCTATCTGGGCGATAATTTGCTCAACCCTGCATTAGCACACGTGGTTTTTACACAAAGGGGCTATAACCCCCTGTTGTTAAATGATCACGTTGTTGGTGGTGGTTTGTCTGGCAAAAAAGAGATAGGCTTCATTAAACCCACATTACAAGGCGCAATTCCAGCAAAGTAATTGGCCTAAATTAGCCGGCAAAACTGCGGCATTAAACTGCTGCTCATTGGTAACCGGGCACTGGAAGGGAGAGCCCTTGGGGTGGTGTGGGATAATTTAAAATAAAATGTGCCCCCCCCCCCTTCTTACCATTACACTGTGCTGAATGCTAATGTATAAATACATTTGTAACTTCAGAGTGCCTGACTCTTTTCAGCTGTCGGCTTTGCGAATGCTTGATTGAAACATAGGTTATCTGAGGCAACTTGTGATCAGGCACAGCTGCTGCTCCGTTGTTGCCGCAGTTTTCCTGCTTATGCCGCCGCTTGTTTAGGTTTTGACTATTTACTCATTCTGATCAATACGAGTCCCCCTCCCCCCCACAACAGAGGTAAGCTGAGGTTAGCTACCATCTCCTTATGACCTCTATGCCTTCTCTTAATGTCAGCGCAGTTCATGGCGTTTCATAGAACGTTTATTGCGCATTGATTTTTTTTACCAGTAAAAATTTAAGGTCAAAAGCTGAAAAGTTGAGTCCGATGTTCTGAAAGCCTCTCTCTCGTACCAGTGTTTGCCTGTGCACATGATATCTGTTCAACTTTGACCAGATTGGATGGTGGTTTTATGGGTTATGCCAGTATCTCAAACTGATGGCGCTGATTGCAGTTTAGCTGGTAGGTCAAAGGTCAGGGGCAACATGCATTTTTTTTCTTTTTCGTATGCCGAGGAGTTGATCAACTATGTTTGTGTTCATGTCCGAGGCTGGTGAGTGAGCCAGTGGATGGCGTCAGGAGTATCTTCTTGGTGACTATCAACATTTCTGCCAGTCAGTTATGGAAGCGGGCAGTGGCATTACTTTGTGCTTCTTTTTTTCAGATCGAGTCATTTCGAGGCTCATTGACTCGCATACTCTATTCTTGCCTCTGGCGGTATGTTCAGTAGCTAAATGCCTATGTTTGAGGTCTGCGAGCCACAAGAGGGCTTCAGGAGAGAGTTATTGTAGTTTTGCTATTCCTCTTCCGTTGATGAAGCATAAACTACGGTGGTGTACTATGTGGTCCATAGTTTGGGTTGCATGGCCATAATTGCACTATGGCTTGTCTTTAATCTTTCATATATTAATGAGATGGGTGCATCGGTTCATTAATTTTCTGTTGTCGTTGATGGTACATCAGTGTCTTTGAGGAATGTCGAAGCCAGTAAGCAAGATATTTGGGTCTCGAATTAGGTGTTGATTCTGGACGCGCACGTTATTCCACTCTGTTTTTTCACCATTATTCCGGATCTGGGTGAGATTCTAGGAGGGTAACAGCACGATCCCAGAAGAGGGGAGTCATCAGGACTTGTCAGCTAAGAGTTACTTGGTGTGGACCAATCAGTTTCAAAGACAATGCATATATTATCATAGTATGTTTTTTGTTTGTATTTTGACTGCAGGTATTGTAGTTAATGCAGACATGAATCCTTGTAAAAAGGTTTCAGTTTTGTTGCCAGAAAAAAAGGGGAAAACCCTATTACATTTTGGTACTGGCAAAGAAGGTCTAATGATGATGATAAGAGTTACATTGTTGAGGTCTTCATTGATGGGCGGGTTGTCGTTGGCAAGAAATCCATGTACATTTATTTTGCAGTTCGCATCTCCCTGCAGATATTTGGGGTAAAGGTTCACCATAACAGGAAGCCAGCGGATTTGTGTCGGTTGCAGTGTACCAGTTATGGTGCGCATCACATGATTTACTTGCATATAGCAGTTTCGGTTACAAACTCTTGGACCAGGCTGGAGCGCGCAGTACTCTGTCACCAACTAACATAGAGACCCACAGACTTGAATACAGAGTTCTTATTTCGTGCGACAGGGCGTTGATCGGCAATTTCGTATGACAGGGAGTTGATCAGCAATGTTTCTATATTCATGTTGAGGTTGGTGGGTGAGCGAGTGGGAACCTTCAGGAGTAGCCTCAAGGTGAGTATCTGAAATTCTGCCGTTGAATGATGGAAGCGGGCAGCGGGCATTCCTATGTGGTCCATGGTTGTGAGACTGGTGACCTCGGTTGCACTCTTGGCTATTCTTAATTGTCCACCGGTGTATGCGATAGCCGCATATGCGATACGATGTTCTGGTGCGGTTCAATACAGGCCATTGTTTGCGTGGGTAAATTGAAACCGGGAAGTTTCTTCCATGGGGTCGGCGATTAGAGTGCTTGTTCAGAACATTGGCATTGTCCCACTGGGAGACAGACATGGGGTGAGCAAGTGAGGAGTTGACGGAGGTCTCGTGAACAGAATTACTGGTTGTATCACGGTGGCTGGCACCGGGTAAAGAATCGGCCTGTTGCCATAATATGGGGCGCCCAGCTCTTTAAAACCTAGGAAGTGGAAATATTCATAAAAAAAGAGAACACGGAGGATTGAATTATAGTGTAGCAACGGGGGGCTAACGATCATTCATTCCTGCTGCCCTGATGAGTGCCGCAAAAGGCATTCAGCATTCGCAGTTCTTTTACAAAAGCACTGTAGTGCCCTTTGCAAGCATGCCCGTTGCTTTTAACGCTTTCCAAAGAAGGTTGAAAGCAATTCATGCGGTCGCTCTGTCCGTCTGTGGCAGGAGGGGATCATGTTTAACTCTTAAGAGGTGATCCAATACGAACATGACTTTGGTGTAAGGGTTGTGTTGCTATTAGAGACTTACCCAAATCGAGAAAACCAAGGAAGGTGATCAAACGGTTTCCCCGGGCAGAGCCGTTATCCGAACGCCGGTGCCTCATGGTGGCCTCTGAACACACCGCTTTCCGTCTGCCTCGTGAAAATGCTACCGATAGTGTCACTTTGAGGATGAGCGTATGGCGGAAAGCTTAACAGAATCCACTCGTTTGCTTGATTTCCTTGCTTTCTTTGCCCCCCCCCCCCCCCCCCCCCAATAAACACGGAGAGAAAAGTGATGATTACGGCACATACGCGTGATGTCCAAGCCAAGTTCCGGCAATGTGTATTCGAGTTCTGTAATGGGGGGGGGGGGTCCTCTTTGCTTTGTGATAGACTTGTGTAGCTGGAATAGGTTAAGTCGATGTGCGATTAAGTGCTAGGAGGATGTGAAGGGTCTGTTAGGAAGTGGTGGGGGGCGGGCGGGCTGGCGGGCGGGCGTGTCCTGCAGCTAGACAGGAGACTGCCAGGAAATGAGGCAGAAATGTGCAGAGCTGTCTGTGAATTCGAGTCATGTGCAGTTGCACGCGTGCTTGTTCCTTGCAAAAAAAAAAGAGATGTCTGGCATTGTTCCACTTACACGAGAGATATCCAGTGACTCATGTCCAAGTCCGGCTACTTATTTGTGTGAATTCTGAAAGAGATTGAAGTTCAAACCCATTGTGAATTCCACTGAATGCGTTTCCTTTTTATTGGCATAGAACGAGTTAATTTTAAATGGGAATGGGGAAAATGCACTTGAAATATGTCAGTGCTTCGCAGAGGCTAGGTTTGAAAAAGGGAAAATAATATTCAAGTTTAGATTTTTTTAAAATCGAGCGGAATTAAGTGTTGAAACATACAGCATTGTTTCGGCCTTATATGAGGTTTGGTGTGGCATCATCTGAAGCATGGTTGTAACACGTGATACATCCACTCCCAGTCTGTGCGACCGAGTCTGAACATATCCACAGTTAAGCTCGATGAATATGCATTGTACTGTAATGTAATTATCGGACCACTTGTGGTTTGGCAGTCTTTCACTGTGGCTCTGTCACAGATTATAAGCTACTTGGTACTCTGAATGTCAAGCACAGCATTCCTTTACCTTACTGTACTAAGTTAATATACATGCCACAGAATAAGCAGTTGACTCACTCGACAGGGCCTGATGATATCGTGCCTACAGTTTGTGATTGGATTAGGAGCCTCCGTGGCGGGGCGGGGGCATATTACAAAAGTGCGCTAGATTAATCGCTCCATGCAGGTTGCACCCCTTGCACATTGTGAGACTTTGCAAGTGTATGCAGCCAATTTGTAGCAAGAAAATCGAATTTGTGCGCCGCTATGGAAGCAGGAGTCGTTTGGGTCGTACTTGCAGTAATGCCTAGAAGTGTGGAGCCCTCTGCTCTTGTTCGTGCCCATCTGCCGATGTCACCGCTGTACCACGTGTTAGGGCCTCGCTGTCAGACGTGCGTGTATGTCCTTGTCATTATTGCTGGACCACCTGATTCTTTCAGTAATAGAGAATGCGACCGATTTTGGGGTTGATACTCGAGTAGTCGGATAATGGCAAAATAGTTGGAGGTAAAACAAGTCTAACCTTACCTCATCGCCATTATCAGATGCGTCATGTTGGGCGTTGCTTATTGGGGGTTTCCCACCTTAAGGAGGCAGAATGTCACGGTCGTTTCCATTCTCAATGCGGCCTGAGCAATCGAGCTTACAAAAAAAGTAGTCGTTGACAATTTTTAGGAGATAAATTGACTTTATCGGCTGATCGTCCCAGCTTCAATTGGGATTTATGGTATTGAGAGCGATGGTTCAGCAGCGAGGGTTTTGTTTCCGTCGTGGCGTTCGGTGCCTTGTAAACGGAATGCTGCCACGGACCCCCGGGGTGCATAATGGATTGGGCAGCTGCGGCGGCACTGCCAGGGACGCGCGGCGGTATCGGTGCGCGCTCGCTGGCGCTCGTTTGGCGGCGGTCGCCCTGGCCTTGTGCCGGTGACGGGTGGGGGGCGGGCGGGGAGTACGCCGGTCCGTGGGCCTGGCGCGCAGAGCGTCTGCGTGAGCGCCACTCTGTCCCCGCTGACCCCTGGATGTGTCTGTCCCGTAGATATTTGAGATGCGCACTTAGAGGCATTAACGTTCAATGCGGTTGGTTTATTTTAGTTTTTCTGCACTGCAATTTGGTTATGACAAAATCACTCCCGAGTTCACTCTGTCTCGTCAGATCTCGCGAACCAAGCTGGTTTTCGACCTGGTTTTTACTTGGATTGGGTTGTGAAATGGCCAGGAGGTGGTAGTAGAGCACTGGATACGTGAATCCATCTGTGCAGAGCTTTGAGTGTTATCGTTTCATGCCAGTGTGTTCTCTGGATGCTTCAGTTTTCTCCTGTTTGTCAAATGCGCAATACCATATTTAACCAAACATCCCAATACAGGAGTCTCCAAAAAAGTCTTGAGATTCAATTATGGGCAAATCAAGGGCGATTTTAAGTTAATGTTTAAAAAAAAACGTTGCCCAAGTCAACATAAATAATGCAATATTAATGACCAAAGTATTGGGAGTCTTTGTTGAATGGTTCCTTGTTAATATCTACATCCTCACATTTCTGAGCAGATTGTTATTGCATCATTAGTTTTAAAAAAAACAATGCTTGACATTGCCCTGAATGAACAAATTTGAGTTGTACGTAAGCATTTAAATAATGCATAAATGCGCATTGACACCGAGCAGAGCACTGAAATGGTTGTGAAACGGTTGTAAGAGCCGGTTGTTTGTGTGTTGACACTTGCTATGCTTCTTCCCTGACAGGACGATGGCCCTGAGTGGCAGATCCTCAGCAAACTCTACGATCATCTGGCCACCATCGCCGGTACAATGACAGCAGCAGCAGTAGCAGCAGCTGGTTCTCTTTGACACGAGTTGTCTAGCTGTACACAATAATTGCAGCACAGCATATCGGATACATTTTATCTGTACATTCCAAATTAGCTGATAAATTATACGCTGATACTCCAGCGGTGTTTAATTTAGTAAAAAAAATATTTTGCCAAGGCAATGTGCGAGCAATTATTTCTTGAGCGTGTCCTCAAAGTTCGTGTAAATTTTTTCCAAGGCACTCAAAGAATCCAGTGAATAATTGAACCTAGAATTACCCGCGGGCAAGAATAAGTTGTTTTAATTGCCCATTTAAAGATGCACCCAAGTCAAGGTTCTTTCACTTGCTTGTAGACTACAGCAGTGCAATTAGTGGCGATTGCACATTTAGGACACTGCACAGGTAATTACACGTGAAACGCATGAATAACTTGGAGCTCATTACAGCTAAATCTGAATTGGCGCAGCGTAATTGTTGCGCGGCGAGCATAGCGCCCGATAGCCGGAGCGGCGCATGTGTAATTGAGTGCAAGGTACCCCCCCTTCCCCCACCTGCGGGTGCGGTCTTTTATTACCGCACCGCAGGGTTTCTGGGAGACTGTGGCAAGGGCCAGATTTCCCCCCTCGGGTTTTAATTTCGAAGAGATTTCTCTTGGGTGGGGGCAGTGAGCACCACGGTGCCGGTAACAAGGGGGGCAGTTTCCGCATATTGGGGCAACCTTGGAGCAAAAGTCTTGGGGTCCTCCACATTTAGAAACGTTAATTCTTTTGATTATTTTGCTGCTATAAATGTCCAAATGATAAACCACTTTGTTGAGCTGTCATTTTTGGCCTAGGTCACTTCTGACAAATAAGATAATACCTCAGTGGGTTTGACTGGTAGGATGGGAATGGTTTTGTTTTATTTGTATGTTTGGGTGATTTATTTACCGTTCTTGTACTTTGCACTACTATCGTTTTTTGTATTTTTTTGTAATGTTTTTACCCGCCCCTTCTGGACATTTGTGAAAAAGTGCTTCATAGCTCATCGGATTCCTCCAGTATAAATAAATATTCTGATTCTGCTCATGCACATGGAGTGTCATTTTGATGGTAATTATAGTTTTAGAAAATGTGGCTTATTTATGGAATGAGTGAATGGCACACGTACGTGAAACTTAATGCACAACTGTCGTCCCTGCGCTGATGAAATCGTGAGTTCGTCTGGGTGCATCCGACACCGCGGTATTTCATGAGCATTTCTCCCGTATGGGGAGAAAGTTGGACACAGTATTTATATCTAAATTACAGTCCTAGTTAGTTGACTCGCTGCCCACTGTTCAAGTGCCTGTGAATGAAATGTCCAGTATTTCTACACCGCATAATTTGCGGAGATACGGTAGCATTTAGATGATATTGGCATCAAATTGTATTGTAATGTATTAAAAAGTTAGTTCAGCTGGGTGTCAGACAATTCAATATTTTGAGCATTTCTCCCTATGACACATTACTTTTGCTTGAATTGCAGTCTTGGTTAGTTTATATGCCATACCTATGTGAAAAGAAAAGCCACTTAGTCGCTATAGCAATGATTACTGGCATCGATAAAATGTCTGGACCTGCTCACAAACGCCACGTGTCTCCCACAGGTGACCTGGACTGCGGGGACCACGTTCACATCAAGAGTCGCAGGATTTCGTTTGTAGATGCATACGCGTTCATCACGGTAACTTTTGGTCGGCGCTGCACCATTCTCGCATCGCGACACTGAGCGATCCTATATAGTCGGGGGAGGGGGTATGACATCGGTGCCATTTAACTATATACCCAAACCGGCTCAAGCCTGCCGTAAAATCACGTGACTTCTGTGTGGCCACCCCCACTCTAAATCCCTCCCCTCTCCCCCCACCCCCTGTGAAAACAGACGGTGCTCCGTGCGGGTCACTCTTCTTGCTCTTTCCTCATCACTCCCTCTCTTCCCTCCCCTCTCATCACCCTCTCATCCCTGACATCTTTGCCGGGTCATGCCTTCTCTTCCCCTTCCTGTCTGGCGCTCCCCATTTCTTCCCGCTCCTCATCTTGAGCCATGGCCACTTTGTCCGTCTTGGGGACTCTTGTCCCAGCGGCCCTACCCTATCCCAGTCTACTTGCTCATCTGCCTTTCTGTGCAACCGACTCTTCTCGCCTTCCCGTGGTATCCCATGAGCACAAAGTTGTATCAATCATTAATTAAGTTATGTGTAATGTATATACTATCCTGATTTTTTTCCAAATATAGTAATGATATAAAATCAGCTCCCGATGACCACATCACCCGGAATGCACCTGATCTCATTAGATCTTGGAATCTAAGCTCGGTTAAGTGTGGATAGTGCTTGGGTGGGTGTCAACTATGCACAGACAGGTTGTTATAGGACTTGGGAGGAGATGTGGTGGGCATTAGCTTGGGAAGAGCAGCAAATTCGATTAATTTAATTTTCGCCTATTCTTCCGGTCTTATCGAAACCTGCAGCTATCATCGTGGTAAAGTATGGTTAAATAAGGTGTGGGGAGGCCGTCATCCAGCAGTGGATTAAAAAGTGAGCTGTAGTCATGCAGCTGTGTGCAGTGTACATTGAATCTGCTACACCATTGCTATATTTTGCGAAGAAACACGACGGGGAGAGTGTTACCCCCTCCCACTAGTACGGTTTTTTTTGCTATGTTATCTCCACTGATGTGTTTGATGCTTTTAGACTCAAATTTTCTCTTGTGCCTTGGGCGTAGACACTGAGAGGTCTCCTAATTGGTGAGCGGCGGACGTCGTTGGCCGCTCGTAAGTTTGCGTCGTCTTTGTGTTGCAGTCGACATCCCCATTGGTCAACGAGTCGATGTTCAACGCTTCACTCCAGACGATCATCGGGAGCGAAGCCGACCTCGGCATTCGGTGAGTTTGCATCACCCCTCAACACTCTGTGCACAAGACAATGTGAGCAGGACCTCGTGTGAAAGATAAATATAGCGTGCTCCATGAATCGCAGAGCAGCCGGCTACGGGTTTACAAACGACGGTCTTATTCCCACAACTGATCCCAGCTGTGCTGTCGTCATCGCGTCATGAGACGAAGCATCCATTTCGCATCTCTTGCAGGGCAGTGGTAACCCTTCACGTTCGAGGAACGGTCCATGAAAGACGATGTTGCAGAGCTACCTCTGAAATCCCTTGAAGTGTCCTCTGGTCCAGACAGTAGTGGACAGCAGTTTTCCACCTGCCTTTACATGACAGTCAAACCTATATTTTTTATTCCAACCAAATTAGGTACAAAAGCAAATGTGATTTATACAATTTATTTAGTGCAGTTATTGGTGACCAGAACTCACTTTGATTAAACTGAACCCAAACTCTCAACGTTTGAGTCACCGGGCCACCTAGGCAGGTGGCTACATTTTGTGCAATTCTACAGTGCGATTCTAATTCACGGTGTGATTCTAATCCCGCATCTCCGTTCAGCTCGTTTGGCTACGTACGGTGCGAAAGAAGTTAGACACGCCTACATTTTAATCCGATTGATGCTACTTTTGACGTTCACCACCATTCTGTGTCTCACTGCGTGTCACCAGGTTGCTTGGTGAGGACACGGAGCAGGAGGTCGCGAACCTCGTGGACGTTCGATACCTCGAGTCGACGCACCCGCAGAGGTCCTTCATCTGCCGCCTGCGCAGGGCCTTCCTCACAGTGCTGCACAAGATGTTCATCGTGTTTGCAGGCGAGGGGCCACACACACACACACCCTCTTGCCACCTTTGTCGCCACCACCAGCACCGCCACCACACTTGCGGAGCCGTGAAGATAAACTAAAAACGACATTATTTTTTATTCTACCAGGTAAAGCCCACTGAGCTTTGCAGCTCTTTATCAGAAGTGACCTGGTCACAAGTGATGGCCCAACGAAGTGGCTTATCGTGTGGAAATGTATAGCTTGCCAAATACTCTAAACGCATGTTGATTGTAAATGTGGAGGGAAAAACCGGAGGACCTGGAGAAACATCCATGCAACCACAGGGAGAGAGACATGAAAACTCCAAATATAGAACTCACAACCTCCTGTATACCAGGCGAGGTAGTTACCATCTCGCCACCGTGGCAACATGTTAATTACCTCGGAAAGAGGTGCCAATGTGCTGTAAATCAACGTAGGCCTCACGGTTTGACAATTTTTTGTCAAACCGAGTAGTCGCTAAGGGCATTTACATGGTGATGGATTATTTGCATTGCAAATTTATAGATGTATCGAAGTGTTACCGTATCTCAAGATGTGCTACAGCAACAGTCATCATATTTATGTAATAGAGAAAGGCAGTTTGCCAATGGCAGAGGAGAAAAGGATGTTTTTTTAGCCTGAACATGAAGAGGCTTGGAATCAAAAGCACGGATGGCTGGGGTAAGGGAGCTGCAGATTGGGCAGCAGTTTGAAAAAATATTGATGTAGCCTAGATTTTGTGCTAGGATTAAATGCATGGCAAAGGTGAGAGCTAGTGATATGATTACCTCTAACCTTCAGGTAAATTCCTCAATGTAGATAATCTTATCACCTCTTCCCTATCAATCCACCCTCATCGAATCGATATTTGCGACATTTGCGACGCTTTCTCGTGACACCACCGGTTGAATAATCCCCATAGCCGTGTGCACACAGCGGTCAAACCTGGACGCGTGTTGTGTGCGCTTCAACAGGTGTAGGGATTGTGCTGGGCGTGCTGGCCTACATGAAGTATCGCTGGCGCAAGGAGGAGGAAGAGACCAGAAACATGTATGACCTGGTCGAGAGAATCATCGGTAAGTAAATCACGTTTCTTTCTTACTTAATTTGAAAGCCTATAACTGTTATGGTGAGTTTCTAAGGCCGTTCAATGTCATCTTGCATTTATTTAAGACCGAAACGAGGAATTATCCACAATTCTGGCTATCGCCTGATGAAGCTAGTTGTAATTACCAGCGAAACGCCACGGTACTCGAATTGTAAATGTGGGTTTACTCTCCAACACACCAGTGTTCTAAATTATTGTCTAATTGGCATGTTTTGCTTACATGACAAACCTCACTAATTGGCTGTGTCGGGTGATGGCGGGTTTAACTCCACGTTTATATGTACGCGATCTAACCCAAAACAAAAAAACTCTTATGAATCTATTATATTTTGTTTCTCCTGCAAAAGCATCCGTGGCGATGTTTTGTGATGCGAGAGAGATTTAATTTCACTTGACTGCAGTCACAATTTAGGTGTTGGAGGGAAGTACCTGCCACGTGTCGTGCTAACACGGTGGTTAAGTGCGGCCCAGTGCCTTTTGAGACGAGGAGAAGCCAGGTGTAGTTCCTTTGTTGAATCTCCAATTAGGTGACTTGTTAGGATCATCGCATGCCGGCCACTTATCCTGCCCCACCGGCTGTCGCTGCCTGTCCCGGCTGACAAAAGCGTCGAGGCGTCGAGTGGGTTTGAAATGAAATAGCTTGAAGGAGAGTTGGCGCATTCCTAATTGGCACAGTTACTCCAGATTCCGGGCTTTGAAGGTCGAACATATTAATAGCTTCGCTTTCGGTGGCCGGCTTTCGCTTTGGCTGTCGGCAGATCTCGCATGCCTCGAACCTCAGGGGGATGGCCCGTGTGCGAAATCTCGATTGCGTTCTTTCCCCCCACCCCCCCCCCGGGTACAACGCAAGTTAACACAGCGGCATGGGACCAGTCGCTCCGTAACACCGGTGCTGGCGGCTGCCGTGGTGTGCGTAACGATTGTTACTTTGCAACTGGTTTACATGCGTCAAGATTACGAAGTGCCATTTGTAAGGAGTTTGAGACATGACGGCGATTCTGTGTGTGCGTGGTTTTTTGTTTTCCGTTTTCGTCATAACGTGCACATTGATGATCGCTGTTTATTCCTTGTGACATTTCTAACAAATTTTTTGACCTTCAATAAAACAGGAGGAATTATTTACTTTCATGTGAAAACTCAATATGCACAGAACATATTGCAACTAGAAATTACTGGTGTGGTTATATATTTAAATATAGAATGTTTAAATCTGTTTAAATACCATTATGTGTGTGTGTTTCGTGTAGCTACATGACAACTTATCTGCAATGCACTCAATCTCTTCAGATCTCAGAGACTAAGCTGGGGTTGAGCCTGGATAGTGCTTGGATGGGCAGCCACCAAGCATGACAGCTGTGGTGGCTATGTGGTTGTGGGCAGCAGAGGGCAGTGCAGCATGATACAATGATGTACTGTACTTCTTTGCTGCCCACCATCACCAATCCACACTGACGGAGCGTGGCGGCGCGGTCAAATAAACCCCACAACCCGCACAGCGCGGGGAGGGCGTGATCAAGTCGTGGATTGTACGTTTGTGGAACGTCTCTCGCACCGTACGTAGCCGACCGCGCTAATCGGAGGTGCGGAGAAGGACGACAAACGATGAGGCTGTAAGTGTACAGATAAATGAGGAGGGTAAATGGAAGATGTGCGTTCATTTGTAACTGAAAGGCCCGCTCGTTGTTGCAGACATGCTGCGGAGCCACAGCGAGAACTGCGTGGAGAACAAATCCCTGCAACCCGTGTTGCCTCTTCCCCACGTCAGGGACACGCTCATTCCGCTGCAGGAGAGGTGAGTAGCTCGTGGGGAAACCCCTTTTTAGAATCGGAATCTTTATTTATCCTGGAGAAATCCAATGAGGCTATGAAGCTCTTGACAAGGGCGGGTTTCTCAAAGACGATTCCGCAAGGGAAGAGGAAAGAGATGAGGAAGGGAATGGATCGGTTTGTGGGACAATTTGAGCAGTTGGACAAGACTTTCCATGAGAGACGAAAGGTTGAAAGCATCTTTCTTGGGACACCGACCCACCCATCCTCCCTCACTTATGAAACAAGCTCGGCACATTCGACTGATGAGGATGACAGTAGATGTGGGCAGCGGAGAGTAGTGGAGCAAAATCCATCATACTGTGGTTTTATGCTCTTACATTACATCAATGCTCCCTGCATTCACCAACACGCACTGACCAACGTGGTGATTTGTTTTTTTTTTAACTTCCACGACCCACACGGCATCGGGAGGCCCTCATCCAGCAGTGGATTGACAAAAGGGGCTGTACATGTGCGTGTACAACAGCACTTGTTCCAACAGTCTCTGCGGCAGTGGGTGATGACGTGGCCCAGTGTGAGCGTGTTCACCACTTTCTGCAGATGTTCACGGTATGAATCAGAATATTTATTTGAGGAATCCGATGAGCTGTAAAGCTCTTTTTCCACAAATGTTACGGTATAAATCCAGCGACCGCCCTGATTAATACTGCGGTGAGCATTAACCGCAAGAATACGCTCCGTGAGTGGGCCCTTGTGTGCCGGCATCGTGTTTCAAATTTTGCCAAATAAAAAAAAAACGCACGCATATTACTCCCATTTGTTGACATCTATGGATGGAATGCGCCTTACAAAAGTAAATAATCATTATTGCTCACAAATGTGGAAATCTGGCAGACCCCTCCTGAAAAAAGAATTGTGCGATTAAGTGAGGCTTTCCTGGATAAACAAGCCTAAATATGACAATGGAAAAAATGCAGGAGGATCTTTATTTTGTGGGTGTGTGTGACTACGCACACGAACGACACTTGCTCAGACAGTCTGCTAATGCTATACGGGGGATCTTTGTCTTCGTCTTTGTACGCAGGCGGAGGATGGGCCGGGTCTGGCGCCGCGCCGTGGCGTTCATCGCCGCCAACGAATCGCGCGTGCGCACGGAGCGGCAGCACATGGCCGGCGAGGACTGCGAGGTCTGGCGCTGGACGCAGGCCGCGGCCACGGCTCCGCCGCCAGGGAAGCTGCCCGCCAAGATCTGGCAGGGCAAGGGTGAGCTGCTCGACGTGACCCCCCCCCCGCTTTACTCACCCGTGCACACGCGTAGGGTTCGGGCCTTTCGTATGTCCTGCATATTGAACTTCTTTCGCACCGTACGTAGCCAACCGTACTAATCGGAGGTGCGTGGGACGAACCACAAGTTAAATACAGCGTAGGCTTCCCAGGGGTGGAGAACATGCCACCACGGCCCACCGATAACATTAATGATAATTTCAACTTGTAACACACCGCCCTGTTATTCGCTCGCTCTGAAAGAGCGAGAGATCTACTGAGGCATGAGGAATCGCAGGCAAGCCGGAAGGCGGCAGCCACGCCATGAGCCGGCGCCAATTATTTGCCCCAGCTCTACGTGAAGGTGTTAGCGGACATTTACTGAGTGTGTTTACTTGCAGGAGGAAACCGGAGCATCCGTGTTTTCGTATCCACTAATCGGGTACAAGAGTCTCAAAAAATGTTTCTCATACTGGTTGCCATGTGTAGCAGTAGTTGCGAGTTTTGGCTTTGATTTTAATCGATGACTCATTACGTGCCTATCATTCAGCCCTAATTACAATGCAACGCTTGCCTTGGGAGTTTATCATACTTTACCCTTGAACATTTTTTTCTGATATTGCTGTAGTTTAATGATTACTTGGTGTTTGTTCTTCAAAGTGCATGCTGGCATGCTCTGACTGACGTGGCGATGTTTTTCTGTGCCTCTATGCAGCCTTCCACCTGGATCGGAGGAACTCCCCACTGCACAGCCTCACTCCCTGCCTCAAGATACGCAACATGTTTGACCCAGACATGTATGTACACTGTCTTAAGCGGATTAGCTTTCCCGTCTCGGAGGGGGAGGGGATGTATTTGTAGTGAAGTAGCTTACTTGCAACTGGAGTGGCCGCAGAATACAAATGTGCCTGTGTAGGAACGTTCGTAATCAATGCATACGCCCTTCTTTGGCGTGTGGATCAAAAACATATGGACATGAAAGAAATGAATTGAACTAAACCTGCGAAGAGGCACACACAGATACGTGCTTGGAAACACATTGAGAAACAAAGGGGAACATAGGAATTAGACAACACGTGCAGGTTCATGATAAAATTTTGGCTGTTAAGAAAAATTATTTGGCTTGGGCAGCACGCGTCGCTCAGAACGACGGAGCAGCAGCCACGTCCGGGAGGACATAGGCTGACATGGAGCGATGAAACCAGCTCGTGTGCAGGTGCTAGGCGTGTTATATCGCACGATCATGAGAGACGGCAATGGTTGTTTGGCACGACGCGCGATGCTTCGCTCCTCGCGCTGGGACCTTCTTCAAGACCTGAATTGAGCAGGTCACGCCGTATAAACGAGGAGGCAGTAGTAGAACCTCCCAAAACATTGGGCGAAACCTATGACATGGCACATAGCACGCTGTGCATTCCGAGAACACATGGGAGAGCTAGACAGCATCTTATTTTCTCTGCTGGAGAGGCAAGGCATTATTATTCGTGGTTTGCTGATATTTTGTCATTAAAAAAATCCTCTTCTCGGTTCTTGCCACTGGCTCTGCGGAGTCTCTGAATCTCTGTTGATGATGATAATGATGATGACGATGATGCTATTGTCCTCGTCAGGGAAATTGGGGAGAAATGGCACCTGTCAATCCACGATGCCATCATGGAGAAGTGCCACGACAACGGTGGCATCGTCCACATTGAGGTGGACAAGACCTCGCATGAGGTGAGCAGTGCAGCTGCTGCGCCCACCCCACTGCCTCCGATTAGGACAGTTGGCTACGTACGGTGCGAAAGAAGTTGAGCATACATACACGACTCATTCCGCCTTTCGTGTGCTACCCAGGGCTGCGTGTACGTCAAGTGCCTTTCGCCTGAGCATGCTGGGAAGGCATTCAAATCGTTGCACGGATCGTGGTTTGACGGTAAGGAGCACATCCATCACCCTCCGCACCTGGAATGACATTAATTAATGTGGTATCGCCTTTGCATGCGCCAATCCCACATTCCTATGTCGGGAGCGTAGAGGAGGAATTCAAAGAGAAAAACTTAGCTCCACCGGAAGCGATCGCCATGACCAGAGAAAACAAGAAGTGGAAGACGTTCATCCAGCCTTATCGTCGACTGCCCTGCGACGACTTTTGGAAGAAAAGAAAGAGAGAAATATCAGGAGGCAGTTTCCCCATAGGAACAGCCACTTTTGACTTGTCACGAAGTGTTATTAATTCTATCGACGCAGGAGGGAAAGGTGGGGCTGGTGGCTTCATTGCTGGAGGGACAAAAGTGGTTGTTGTAAACAAATGACTGGCGTTTCCTTTTACGTGAAAGCGTGTGCCACTGTTTCCCGCAGGCAAGCTGGTGACGGTGAAGTACCTGTGGTTGGAGCGGTACCACCAGCGGTTTCCGCACGCCGTCACCAGCAACATCCCCATGCAGCCGTCGAACCGAGCGGCAAACGCGGCCCCCTCCTCCTCCCCCGGCTGCCAAGTGGAGAGGCACGGCGACAAGACAATCTAAAAATCACGCTGCTTCCTCACCGCAACACCTCGAGGCCCCCTCGCCTTCTTCAAACTGGCCTTGCCTGCCTCAAGTTCTCTCTCCTTCCTTGACCGTCCCCTGCTACCCGCCGCGCCAACACTCCACTCCACTCCCCCCCCCCCTTTCCCCACCACGCTCCCTTTTTACGCATGGGAGAAATCACCCGTTGAGTCGGCGTTGATCTCAGACGATCGCTTGATGCCTCGTTTTTCTGTTCCATTTATCCCTCCTACGGCTCGACTTTTTGTGTTTGACCCTTTGGACTACTGCCTGCGAGTGCCCGTATGTACGCTGCTATTCTGTCAAAGTGCAGTATTACTAATGGGGGTGGGGGGGGGTTTGGCATATGCTTCTTGTTGTAGGACCCTTGAATCCACTCTGGTCTACAGATTCCAATCCCATCTGAAAAATGTGCATTTAAAAAAAAGCCATTTTTACAATAAACTTAATTGAACTCAATTTTCTTTTACTTTTTTATGTAAGAAGTAGCGTCAACCTTTTTTACATGCGAGAAAAAAATTACAAAAATCTTTTAAACAATAAGTCTGATGTTTTCTTAACGAATACTGCAAATTGCGGTGTTCCGTTAAATATTTTTTACCTTGTATATTTTGTCGCAAAGGCCTCCTTGAAAGCCGTGGCACCCCCGGTGGATTGTTTCGCCATGTCCCCGTGTGAGCCGCAGCGCTGCTTGATCACCGTGGGTCCACGGTGGGAGACGCGTTGTGTAACCGCCACGGCCTCCCTCTCTCGCTGGCATTCGTTTGCACAATAACGCCGGGGGGTCTTGCCTCTCCGCCTCCCCACAGGGGATTTCCAGGCTAAATTCCTCGCACCCCCGCCACGGTCTGCCTTTTACAATCGCCGAGCGAGAGACGCTTGCTGTCCGCCTTGTTGACTGGGGTCGGATCGCTCTGGACACCATGCTGTGTGTGCAAAAACACCCAAGTGTTTTGCAGTGCTGTGTGCGCTGGCCACCGGAAAGTAAAGCAAATAGGTTGCGAACAGGGTGATCCATTTTATCGACTGACCTGAGCTCGCGCGTGATTAAATGTGGTGTAAACAAGTCACACCCGCTACGTTGGACAGAGTGCATCGGGCGGGCATTGGTGATGTAATGGGTTGAATGAGATTGTTAGGAGACATGCAGGACGCTTCAAAATGAAGTTGTGCTCTCCTTATAGTTTTTCGCTTATTTAAGCGGAGTACCGGTAAGTGGATCGCCCATGTATTTCTCTTTCGGAGGACGAGAGTGTGTGCAGGTTGTTGCCAAGCGTGCCCCCCCCCCAACCCCCATGTCCGCTCGCGTGCAAGTGAGGAATTGGTCGAAACTTCTCAATTGCGGGACCCTCCTCCTGAGAGAGTCCCCGAGGCTCGGCCACGACTTCCTTGGATTCCAAAAAAATACAACGCTCTTCTGTACAACGCGAAATTGTCGTTTTATGACGTGTTCAGTCTGTTGAAGCGAGACGAAACAAACCTTGGGGCTGTGGTGGGGAATGAGCACAGGAGCTTGAGGATCCCCCGGCACACAGGGTGTTTTAAAATTCGTACTGCAAGCAAGATACGGCGAGTCACCTAAGCTCCCGTATTACAATTTGTTCCTGACGGTCCACTCTTGGTGTTGCGTTTGCGATGGATTCGTTTATTTTAGTTTTATATCTATATTTTCCTACCTAATCGCATATATTGATTTTCGTGTTTTTTTTGGGACCTGTTAATAGGTTGTTTGTATTGGATGCTACCTGCGTTAGGAGAGTGGGGGGGGGGGTGTTACAAATATTTTAAGTGGGTGCATCTCCCGAGTGTAAATGCAAACTGTACATTTTATTTTTCCGTCGGGTTATTTTGCAAAGATGTAAAGTTGTAATGGTGATGCTTCGTTTGCGTGCGCGCCTGTTGGGTGGCGATGTTGGTCCGGGGCAGACCGCGATTCCCCCATCCGGAAGCGCACTCGAATCTCACAAAATTGTATGAAACTCTTGAAACTGCTGAGCAACAATTGCGCAAAGTGTGAATTGAACAATTTTTTTTTTAAAGGTCTCGTTTTTTGTACAGGTTCGGTGTTTTATTTTAAAGCGTTTTTTGTAACGACAGTGCTGAGATTGCAATTCCATTAAAGCCATTTTGTGACTGAAACCATTATAAAATGCGTAATTGCAAGGGGCACTTGCTTTTTTTTTAAACAAATGAATTGGACTTTGTACATTTTTAAACCTTTTTATTATTATTAATGCATTTCTATTTAAACATTTTGCCATTTGCTTCATTTCTATTGCTGTGCACTTGAATGCATTTGCATTGCCGTCAAGAAGTGGCCGCATCGCAAGAGTTTCCGTTGGAGCCGTGGTTCCGTTCACAATCGCGGTGCTTCTACGAATACAACAAACAAAAAAACCACCACGTGACCCCTTGACCCACCATTGCTCACGACCTCTTCTCGGGCTCTTGCAAAAATATTTGGCCCAAAAAAAATCTGACCTCCATTTCCAGCATCTGTTTACAAAACGGGCCCTGTGAAACAACCTTGTACTGATAATGTTATGTGGTGCTTGGGTTTGGACAGCACAGTATATTCCAGGCTCAATTGTGTCTCCAATCCCCTATTTACACTGCAGAAAAACCGCTTAGATGTCCCAGTTTATTTCTTTTTTTAAAGTGCGCTTTTGTTCACCAATCACCTAAAGCCGGTTGTGGAAACGTTGACGTCCCTATTGCATTCGCATGATTATAGCCTTCTGTTGACAGCTAAGCAGCTCCCTGTTATATTTTTCTTTAAAAATGTATTTCCAAAGTATTACAGCAATACCACCGCATTGCGTACGTGTACCTAAAGTGCAAAGACATTATTAGACAGTGTTACCCAGCTTGCGTACTGGCGATGCATATCTTGTTGGTGTGCCTTAACTACAAAAAGAAACTGCATTTCATGCTTGAAGAGGCTGCTGTTTGAATGTTGTTGCACGGCGTTTTTTTTTAATAGGGGTGGTGGTGGTGGGGGGGGGGGATTCACGCGTAAAGTCATGTCGGTGTGTCTGACGTGTGTGTTCCTATATTACAAACAATAAAAAGGTGCTTTTTATTTTAAACACACGTGCGTGCACGCACGAGTGCATGTGGCGCGTCAGTTCGCGCGCGCGCGCTCTTCGTGCCGGGGACGGGGATTTGCGTTCACCTCGCTCCCTCGTTCGCGCACGTTTTGGAACACGGTTCGATTTAAATTCCGTGAACTGGTGTGAGTTTGGGGTTGGTTTGGCTTTTGGTTGTGGTGGCGGTGGAGTGCGCTCGGAACACGAGAGGATGCGTTGCGGCCGCTCGCCCCGCGTGGACGCGCGGAACTTTTGTCTAAAGGCTGCAGCCCTAAATTTGTTATCCGAGTACTGTACAAAGGTATTTAATTAAAAGTTTACTCATTTTTCAGACGCCGTCTCCTCTGTTGTTGTACAGTCACAGCTGCGCGGTCAGTGGTACAGGTTGTCCCGAAATTCGGAACACATACGGTTATTTCATTCTTTCAAACATTTTAATGTATTGTTTAAGTTTATATTTTATCTATTGATATATATTTTTTTCTTATTCCTGTGGAGGTCACCTCGTATGCGTCATTTACAAAACTGGACCAAGAATCCTGAATTAATTGAAACAAAACAATTGGTGTATGCTTCAAGATTACACATCTGTAATCTTTTTTTAAGTCCTAAATTAATTTCAAAATAATTCATGCATGCGTTAGTGTTCAGAGAAGTCCGTTGGAACATTTGTGAAATGGAAAAAACCCTTGTGATTTGTACAAATATAACCCTTTGTGCCCTGATCTGGGCCACCTTGTAAATTGTCCAATTTCAGCGAAAGCTGATGCACTGAAGTGGCTTCTTTATTCGGGTGGAAAATATAGTAGTAGGCAGTGTTGTACAAAACGAAATCCTACATTATATGTTGAACTTTTTTCACACCCTGCGTAGCCAACCGTGATAATCGGAGGTGCGGGAAACATTATTGACCAAATCCATCTTGAGAATAGTTCAGTGGTTTCCTACTGTTGAGCATGGTGCATTGCTTACTCAAAGGCCCTGAACTTGTGGTGGAAATGCCACACTGCTTTGGCAGGTTTAATACTTTAAATCAATAACTTGATTTCCTGCAAAGTGCTCATTTCATCAATCCCAGAGGAATGAAAAGCGGACTCCACCCCGACTTAAATTTGAACTTCGAAACTGAATTCGGAAGCCACACACTCCACTGCTGTGCTGTTTTAGTAGTCTTTGATATTGCTTCGTCACCATCAGCCATGATCAATTATCCACTGCAAGATGAAGGCGTCTGCAAACCGTGGTCGGCTCACGGATTCGAAAAACAACGATGTCATCAAGCTCCTGCACGCGAGCTGATGTCAACGCTCCATCTTCTTGGTGGATCCTCGACCACGGCCTGCTTTGCCCGCCATCCCTTTTTGCCACGTGTCCTGCGCAAGCCCACTCACGCACTTTTCTTAACAGTCGAAAATTACTCTCGCTTTTTGTTGGTTCTCGGATCCATGTGTTGCCCTTTCTGTCTCGCGGTGTAATAACAAGCCACGTGCCTTCCCGTGCTTCTCTGTGCACGTTTCAACTTTTTTGTTTGGTAACATACTGTACATGTGTAGTGTAATAGCGCCGGCTGCTGCCCAGCAGCGGCAACTGCGGTGGACAAACAGTGTACACGCCAGTGAGCGTATACACGGCTGTGTGAGTGTCGGCAGGGCGGACGAACTGGGGCAAGGGTCATGGAAGACCCCATCTGGAAGCCCCTGGAACCTGCTAGTGAGTTTCGAGAAGGGAGGCGCGGCAAGGGCGGAGCCAGGCTGCGCTGGGTGGCATAAAAGAGCTCAGGGCTGCCGGTTCTGGGAGTGAACTCGTCTCGTCGTCTTCGCTAGATATTGCGCGGCCGGATAGTTGTTGGCTGTCTCAGCCTGTGCTCAGCAACTGTTACATTCAACAACAACAAAAACATACAATTTAAATGTGTCTCATCTGATTCATTATTTCATTCGGCCTTAAGATTTACATTGAACTGCCTCTATAGGACTCACCACTGTGATCTCTACATTGGGTCAAACTTAACATCTCTTAATGTTCGACGGCTTGTACACCAGATCTTATTTATTCACGATGTACTTACAAAAAAATCCGCAGACTACCTGCTGGATCTCCTCTGTTTCAAAGAACAAATTTGACCTCAGGTCTTCGCTCATCTACCAGCTTCACATTCCCTATTGTCGTACAAAAACCGGAGGAAGGGCCTTTGCTATTGATGCCCCCAGGGTCTGGAATGCTATTGCCAATAAACTAACTTGAATCACTACGTATGAGATCTTCACTCAAAACTGCTCTAGAGGAGTTGTACACCCCTAGCTGCCATTGCTATTCAGTGGCCTAAAATAAAATAAAATGTTTCGCTCCGGATGATTGCTGCAAAGTATTATCTGTATTTTGATTTAGTGTGCTGATCTTAAAGGTGCATTGAAAAATGTGATACTCCGACTGATGCTCCTGATGTTGTGGAGTAACTCATGCAGCCAGCTGTGGCTCTAGGGTTTGGTGTTACATGTTATTTATGTAGTTTATTGTTAAAAAAAATCGGTCACAGTTCCTATGATCACTGTTACATTGCAATTATGGCTTTATTTTGGTGATTTCTAAAAGTTTTTTGGTTTGGCCATGTTTTTGTTTATTGTAGTACGGAGTTAGACTGATGGCCTTAATCTTAGTTGTCTTGTGGTTGTTGTTGTTTGACTTGCATCCCACTGGGATTTTTGCACACAGCGTTGGTGTACGGTGCTATTTCAGGAATATTTTGATGTTTTTTTTCCCTGGATTTTCTGTTTGCACATGCACAAAGTCACTTTAAGATGTTTTCTTGTTCATGTTTTTGGGTTTTTTTGTTTGTTGCGGTTGCACCCGATTCAAGAGCCGAATGGCTCACAGGGCTATACCAAATAAATGAAACTATGAAACGCATGAACTCATTCATTTTTTATGAATGACACTATCGATTCCAGCTGTTATCGATTAAAAATTTCCCCCCTTTCCGATTTCTACAGCCTCGCCGCTAAATGACATTCACCGAGAATCGATTCCTGCCCGTTTGTCGATTTACCTTCTCGTCTTATTTCATTGCGGGAACCGATTCGGCAACACAACGGCAAAAGGGCAATTGGAATCGATTTCCTCCCTCGCCACCACGTGACAAGCAGGAAGTGCCGCCCGCTCTGTGGAGTACAGCGGCGTTGGCTCGCTCCCCTTGGCCGCCTCCTGAACTCGAACGTCGTCTTCACGTCGCCGATCGGCTCCCTCGAATCGTTTCGTTTTGCGTCGAGGGTAACGCGCACACACACGCGCGCACATGGCCGAACTGCCCAAGCGCATCATCAAGGTGAGAGGAAATTGTTCGCCCACCCCCTCCCCTGACTCCATGTCCAGCCCCGCGGAAGTTGAAGGTTGACGATGACGACAGGGGGTGTGTGTGTATGTGACCACCATTGGTGTGTGTGTGTATGTGACCACCATTGGTGTGCGTGTGACCACCATTGGTGTGTGTGTGTGTGATCACCATTGGTGTGTGTGTGTGAGACCACCATTGGTGTGTGTGTGTGTGAGACCACCATTGGTGTGTGTGTGATCACCATTGGTGTGTGTGTGTGTGATCACCATTGGTGTGTGTGTGATCACCATTGGTGTGTGTGTGTGTGAGACCACCATTGGTGTGTGTGTGATCACCATTGGTGTGTGTGTGTGATCACCATTGGTGTGTGTGTGATCACCATTGGTGTGTGTGTGTGTGATCACCATTGGTGTGTGTGTGTGATCACCATTGGTGTGTGTGTGTGTGAGACCACCATTGGTGTGTGTGATCACCATTGGTGTGTGTGTGTGATCACCATTGGTGTGTGTGTGTGTGATCACCATTGGTGTGTGTGTGTGTGTGATCACCATTGGTGTGTGTGTGTGTGTGATCACCATTGGTGTGTGTGTGTGTGTGATCACCATTGGTGTGTGTGTGTGATCACCATTGGTGTGTGTGTGTGTGACCACCATTGGTGTGTGTGTGACCACCATTGGTGTGTGTGTGTGTGATCACCATTGATGTGTGTGTGTGATCACCATTGGTGTGTGTGTGAGATCACCATTGGTGTGTGTGTGTGACCACCATTGGTGTGTGTGTGATCACCATTGGTGTGTGTGTGTGTGTGTATGTGACCACCATTGGTGTGTGTGTGTGTGTGTGACCACCATTGGTGTGTGTGTGTGTGTGACCACCATTGGTGTGTGTGTGATCACCATTGGTGTGTGTGTGTGAGACCACCATTGGTGTGTGTGTGTGTGATCACCATTGGTGTGTGTGTATGTGACCACCATTGGTGTGTGTGTATGTGACCACCATTGGTGTGTGTGTGATCACCATTGGTGTGTGTGTGTGTGTGATCACCATTGGTGTGTGTGTGTGTGATCATCATTGGTGTGTGTGTGTGTGTGATCACCATTGGTGTGTGTGTGTGAGATCACCATTGGTGTGTGTGTGTGTGTGAGATCACCATTGGTGTGTGTGTGTGACCACCATTGGTGTGTGTGTGTGTGTGTGACCACCATTGGTGTGTGTGTGTGTGTGACCACCATTGGTGTGTGTGTGTGAGACCACCATTGGTGTGTGTGTGTGAGACCACCATTGGTGTGTGTGTGTGTGACCACCATTGGTGTGTGTGTGTGATCACCATTGGTGTGTGTGTGTGATCACCATTGGTGTGTGTGTGTGTGTGAGATCACCATTGGTGCGTGTGTGTGTGTGTGACCACCATTGGTGTGTGTGTGTGTGTTTGTGATCACCATTGGTGTGTGTGTGTGTGATCACCATTGGTGTGTGTGTGATCACCATTGTTGTGTGTGTGTGTGATCACCATTGTTGTGTGTGTGTGTGATCACCATTGGTGTGTGTGTGTGATCACCATTGGTGTGTGTGTATGTGACCACCATTGGTGTGTGTGTGATCACCATTGTTGTGTGTGTGTGTGATCACCATTGGTGTGTGTGTGTGTGATCACCATTGGTGTGTGTGTGAGATCACCATTGGTGTGTGTGTGTGACCATTATTGGTGTGTGTGTGATCACCATTGGTGTGTGTGTGTGTATGTGACCACCATTGGTGTGTGTGTGATCACAATTGGTGTGTGTGTGTGTGTGATCACCATTGGTGTGTGTGTGTGATCACCATTGGTGTGTGTGTGTGTGATCACCATTGGTGTGTGTGTGTGTGACCACCATTGGTGTGTGTGTGATCACAATTGGTGTGTGTGTGTGTGTGATCACCATTGGCGTGTGTGTGTGATCACCATTGGTGTGTGTGTGTGAGATCACCATTGGTGTGTGTGTGTGTGACCACCATTGGTGTGTGTGTGTGTGTGACCACCATTGGTGTGTGTGTGTGAGACCACCATTGGTGTGTGTGTGTGTGTGTGACCACCATTGGTGTGTGTGTGTGTGTGATCACCATTGGTGTGTGTGTGTGTGATCACCATTGGTGTGTGTGTGTGTGAGACCACCATTGGTGTGTGTGTGTGTGAGACCACCATTGGTGTGTGTGAGACCACCATTGGTGTGTGTGTGTGTGATCACCATTGGTGTGTGTGTGTGATCACCATTGGTGTGTGTGTGTGTGATCACCATTGGTGTGTGTGTGTGAGACCACCATTGGTGTGTGTGTGTGTGATCACCATTGGTGTGTGTGTGTGTGAGACCACCATTGGTGTGTGTGTGAGACCACCATTGGTGTGTGTGTGTGTGATCACCATTGGTGTGTGTGTGTGTGATCACCATTGGTGTGTGTGTGTGAGATCACCATTGGTGTGTGTGTGACCACCATTGGTGTGTGTGTGTGACCACCATTGGTGTGTGTGTGTGAGACCACCATTGGGTGTGTGTGTGTGTGACCACCATTGGGTGTGTGTGTGTGTGATCACCATTGGTGTGTGTGTGTGTGATCACCATTGGTGTGTGTGATCACCATTGCTGTGTGTGTGAGATCACCATTTGTGTGTGTGTGTGTGAGATCACCATTGGTGTGTCTGTGTGTGAGACCACCATTGGTGTGTGTGTGTGTGTGACCACCATTGGTGTGTGTGTGTGTGATCACCATTGGTGTGTGTGTGTGTGATCACCATTGGTGTGTGTGTGTGTGAGATCACCATTGGTGTGTGTGTGTGTGAGATCACCATTGGTGTGTGTGATCACCATTGGTGTGTGTGACCATCATTGGTGTGTGTGAGACCACCATTGGTGTGTGTGTGATCACCAATTGTGTGTGTGTGTGTGAGACCACCATTGGTGTGTGTGTGTGTGAGACCACCATTGGTGTGTGTGTGTGTGATCACCATTGGTGTGTGTGTGTGATCACCATTGGTGTGTGTGTGAGACCACCATTGGTGTGTGTGTGTGACCACCATTGGTGTGTGTGTGTGGTCACCATTGGTGTGTGTGTGTGTGACCACCATTGGTGTGTGTGTGTGTGATCACCATTGGTGTGTGTGTGATCACCATTGGTGTGTGTGTGTGAGACCACCATTGGTGTGTGTGTGAGACCACCATTGGTGTGTGTGTGTGATCACCATTGGTGTGTGTGTGTGACCACCATTGGTGTGTGTGTGTGGTCACCATTGGTGTGTGTGTGTGTGTGTGACCACCATTGGTGTGTGTGTGTGTGTGATCACCATTGGTGTGTGTGTGTGACCACCATTGGTGTGTGTGTGTGAGACCACCATTGGTGTGTGTGTGTGTGTGATCACCATTGGTGTGTGTGTGATCACCATTGGTGTGTGTGTGATCACCATTGGTGTGTCTGTGTGTGTGATCACCATTGGTGTGTGTGTGTGTGAGACCACCATTGGTGTGTGTGTGTGATCACCATTGGTGTGTGTGTGTGAGACCACCATTGGTGTGTGTGTGTCATCACCATTGGTGTGTGTGATCACCATTGGTGTGTGTGTGTGTGTGAGACCACCATTGGTGTGGGTGTGTGTGACCACCATTGGTGTGTGTGTGTGAGACCACCATTGGTATGTGTGTGTGTGAGACCACCATTGGTGTGGGTGTGTGTGAGACCACCATTGGTGTGGGTGTGTGTGACCACCATTGGTATGTGTGACCACCATTGGTGTGTGTGTGTGTGTGAGACCACCATTGGTGTGTGTGTGTGATCACCATTGGTGTGTGTGTGTGATCACCATTGGTGTGTGTGATCACCATTGGTGTGTGTGATCACCATTGGTGTGTGTGTGTGATCACCATTGGTGTGTGTGTGATCACCATTGGTGCGTGTGTGAGACCACCATTGGTGCGTGTGTGTGACCTCCATTGATGTGTGTGTGTGTGTGAGATCACCATTGGTGTGTGTGTGTGAGATCACCATTGGTGTGTGTGTGATCACCATTGATGTGTGTGTGTGTGATCACCATTGATGTGTGTGTGTGTGAGATCACCATCAGTGTGTGTGTGTGTGAGATCACCATCAGTGTGTGTGTGTGTGAGATCACCATTGGTGTGTGTGTGTGTGGGATCACCATTGGTGTGTGTGTGTGTGAGACAACCATTGGTGTGTGTGGGATCACCATTGGTGTGTGTGTGAGATCACCATTGGTGTGTGTGTGTGAGATCACCATTGGTGTGTGTGTGATCACCATTGATGTGTGTGTGTGTGAGATCACCATTGGTGTGTGTGTGTGATCACCATTGATGTGTGTGTGTGTGAGATCACCATCAGTGTGTGTGTGTGTGAGATCACCATTGGTGTGTGTATGTGAGATCACCATTGGGGTGTGTATGTGAGATCACCATTGGTGTGTGTGTGAGATCACCATTGGTGTGTGTGTGTGTGAGATCACCATTGGTGTGTGTGTGTGTGAGATCACCATTGGTGTGTGTGTGTGTGAGATCACCATTGGTGTGTGTGTGTGTGAGATCACCATTGGTGCGTGTGTGTGTGTGACCACCATTGGTGTGTGTGTGTGTGTTTGTGATCACCATTGGTGTGTGTGTGTGAGATCACCATTGGTGTGTGTGTGTGTGAGATCACCATTGGTGTGTGTGTGTGAGATCACCATTGGTGCGTGTGTGTGTGTGACCACCATTTGTGTGTGTGTGTGTGTTTGTGATCACCATTGGTGTGTGTGTGTGAGATCACCATTGGTGTGTGTGTGTGTGTGGGATCACCATTGGTGTGTGTGTGTGTGAGATCACCATTGGTGTGTGTGTGTGACAACCATTGGTGTGTGTGTGTGTGAGATCACCATTAGTGTGTGTGTGTGTCCAGACCACCATTGGTGTGTGTGTGTCCAGACCACCAATGATGTGTGTGTGTGTGTGTCCAGACCACCATTGGTGTGTGTGTGTGTGTGTCCAGTCCACCATTTGTTTGTGTGTGTGTGTCCAGACCACCATTGGTGTGTGTGTGTGTCCAGTCCACCATTTGTTTGTGTGTGTGTGTCCAGTCCACCATTTGTTTGTGTGTGTGTGTCCAGACCACCATTGGTGTGTGTGTGTCCAGACCACCATTGGTGTGTGTGTGTGTGTGTCCAGACCACCATTGGTGTGTGTGTGTCCAGACCACCATTGGTGTGTGTGTGTGTGACCAGACCACCATTGGTGTGTGTGTGTGTGTGACCCTACCACCATTGGTGTGTGTGTGTGTGTGTGTCCAGACCACCATTGGTGTGTGTGTGTGAGACTACCATTGGTGTGTGTGTGTGAGACCACCATTGGTATGTGTGTGTGAGACCACCATTGGTGTGGGTGTGTGTGGGACCACTATTGGTGTGGGTGTGTGTGACCACCATTGGTATGTGTGACCACCATTGGTGTGTGTGTGTGTGTGTGAGACCACCATTGGTGTGTGTGTGTGACCACCATTGGTGTGTGTGTGTGTGAGACCACCATTGGTGTGTGTGTGTGTGAGACCACCATTGGTGTGTGTGTGTGACCACCATTGGTGTGTGTGTGTGTGTGTGAGACCACCATTGGTGTGGGTGTGTGTGAGACCACCATTGGTGTGGGTGTGTGTGAGACCACCATTGGTGTGGGTGTGTGTGACCACCATTGGTATGTGTGACCACCATTGGTGTGTGTGTGTGAGACCACCATTGGTGTGTGTGTGACCACCATTGGTGTGTGTGTGACCACCATTGGTGTGTGTGTGACCACCATTGGTGTGTGTGTGACCACCATTGGTGTGTGTGTGTGAGACCACCATTGGTGTGTGTGTGTGAGACCACCATTGGTGTGTGTGTGTGTGTGAGATCACCATTGGTGTGTGTGTGTGACCACCATTGGTGTGTGTGTGTGTGAGATCACCATTGGTGTGTGTGTGTGACCACCATTGGTGTGTGTGTGAGACCACCATTGGTGTGTGTGTGTGTGACCACCATTGGTGTGTGTGTGACCACCATTGGTGTGTGTGTGTGTGAGACCACCATTGGTGTGTGTGTGTGACCACCATTGGTGTGTGTGTGTGTGTGTGAGACCACCATTGGTGTGGGTGTGTGTGAGACCACCATTGGTGTGGGTGTGTGTGAGACCACCATTGGTGTGGGTGTGTGTGACCACCATTGGTATGTGTGACCACCATTGGTGTGTGTGTGTGTGTGAGACCACCATTGGTGTGTGTGTGACCACCATTGGTGTGTGTGTGACCACCATTGGTGTGTGTGTGACCACCATTGGTGTGTGTGTGACCACCATTGGTGTGTGTGTGTGTGAGACCACCATTGGTGTGTGTGTGTGAGACCACCATTGGTGTGTGTGTGTGTGTGAGATCACCATTGGTGTGTGTGTGTGACCACCATTGGTGTGTGTGTGTGTGAGATCACCATTGGTGTGTGTGTGTGACCACCATTGGTGTGTGTGTGAGACCACCATTGGTGTGTGTGTGTGTGACCACCATTGGTGTGTGTGTGACCACCATTGGTGTGTGTGTGTGTGAGACCACCATTGGTGTGTGTGTGTGTGACCACCATTGGTATGTGTGACCACCATTGATGTGTGTGTGAGACCACCATTGGTGTGTGTGTGTGTGACCACCATTGGTATGTGTGACCACCATTGGTGTGTGTGTGAGACCACCATTGGAATTGGCGTGAGGCCACACGGCGATTCAATTATTCCCCCATCACCTAGGGGGTCAATTTAACGATTCGGTTGATTAATCCGTGAGAAGTTAACGCGCGCGTGTGTGTTGTGTGTAAACATCGCCACGAGGGAGACAAAGGCGGTTGGGCATGGTGCTGGCCACCCACCCCCTCGTGTGCCGTGCCGGCCTTCATAGGTGCGCGCTAACAACACTTGCCCCTACAGTGTGTTAAGGCTATACGGGGGATCTTTTGTCTTTTTTACATCTCGCTGTCTTTCGTTTGAGCCTGGTTGTAATAGATGTGTGTGGAGTGCAGCGTCAGTTTTTTTTGTGTGCGTGTGTGAAGAACGTGCCACCATATATGTTGCGAGACGCATCTTCAATTACGTGGAATGAATTACTGAGTGCCATTAAATGGTTTGGTACAGCGCTGGACGATTCGAGCTTCCGGCGCGCCACTTAAAACGATGGGGGCAAAGTTTCTTGAATAACCTTTGCGTCAAACGGCAACCCATTCTTCTTGAACTCGGGCCATACATTGGGTTCGTTCGATTTGGTCGATGGACAGGGAGAGGTAGCTTGCGGTGGGGTAAAGCGTGGGTACCCGACCTCCTAGCACCCCCGACCTATTTTCAAGTAGTTTCACCAGCGTGGAAGGGGTGAGGCCTAAATAACAAAATTGAACGATCGTTTTACTTTGTACCAGGTAAGGCCCCCCCCCCCACTGAGCTGTGTACCTCTTTTTTTCAGAAGCAACCTGGCCACACATGATAACCCAACGAAGTGGCTTATCGCGTGTGGAAATGTATAGCAGCCAAATACTCCAAACGCGTCACGTTGATTCTAAATGTGGAGGGGAAACCCGGAGAAGAAAAATCCACGCGACCACGGGGAGAGAGAAATGCAAACTCCAAATATACAGGCATCGGCAGGGTCGCGATCAAACCCACGACCTCCTGTATACCAGACGAGGTAGTTAACATCTTGCCACCACGGCGAGTCGAGAGGAACGGTTCGAATCCAGGAAGGAATTGAGGGGGGCAGGCAGGGGTGTCCTGGATACAACTCAATAACCCAAACATTTTGAAACATCACTTAACTCCAGCCCACCTTTGATCATGGTGACGATTTAACCAGTTCACACAACGATGATGTTATTGCATCATCTCTCCACAAACGTGACCATTCATGGAAGAATCGCTGACAACCAAACAGTACTGTCGATGTGTATCATAGCCGACAATGAGGACTGACCACGACCATGGCAATGTGGGACTTCCACCACGCCTCAGGGCCACCAGCTGAGACGATGTCTCCGTTTGAGCGGGAAGACAATGATGGCTACACTTTTCACATGAATCCGGGTCATCATCGGCAGCCATGATCTGTCCACTGCTGGATCAAGGCCTCCCTTATCATTTATGGCCATTCGACGCAACACTCTTTATTTCGCTCCTGCACGTGAGATGATCTCATCGGCCCATCTCCCCCCTGGTTGGTCGTCCTCCCTCCAGCCACGTCCCCACTGCCGCTTCATCTTGAGGCTGGACCACCGGCCAGTATTCCTTTCCTGCGACTTGGCCTACTTGCCTCCTTTCACAGTCAATGTCATGTTTCTAACTTGGGTTTCTCTGATCAATGTCTTCATCATTATGCCTCGCACGGTAGTTGCAAGCCTGCGTCGCGGTACGCTTTCAGATCTATATGTCATAGCAAGTTAACACACACAGTGAAACTTTCATCATGTCGCAGTTTATTTCCGTTAATCCACATGCCCTCTTGCTCTCAGTTTAATTACTGAGTTACACCTCTCTCCATTCTTCTCTGTATACTTTTCCGCTCGTCACACTTTCTTCAAAGTGTCCACGTGTAAGCTCGATAGGTCACAGCGCGGTTAATACTCACCGATTGAACAAAATATTGACTTAACTTTCGTGACTGCGGGAATTAATATTCTTTGGTTCTTTCGGCAAAGTCACGTAGATAGAATAATAATAGAAATGATTTTTAAAAAGCTATTAATGTAGATTGTAGCCTGGTTCTTCATCGGAGTAAGTGTACTGGCAGTCTATAATGTAGACTATAGCCTGGTTCTTAACCTCGGTGAGCATACTGGCAGTCTATAATGTAGACTGTAGCCTGGTTCTTTCAGTAATAAAAAAATAAATATACAAATAAAAACTAAAAATCTTCCTCGGCCGTCCGCAGGAGACGCAGCGGCTCATGACGGAGCCCGTGCCGGGAATCAGCGCCGAGCCGGATGAGAGCAATGCGCGCCACTTCCACGTCATCATCATCGGGCCCCCCGACTCGCCCTTCGAGGGCGGCACCTTCAAGCTGGAGCTCTTCCTCCCCGAGGACTACCCCATGGCGCCGCCCAAGGTGCGCTTCATGACCAAGATCTACCACCCCAACGTGGACAAGCTGGGACGCATCTGCCTGGACATACTCAAGGGTAAAGGGTACAGCAAGCGGACACTCGAGGTCGCTCCGTCGATCGTCGTGGCCGTCACTAAGTTTTAAAATTGATTTGTCTTGGCGAAAAACAAGCGTTTTGGATTTAAAACGCACCGTGCAAATGCAGGGTAACAACTCGCTTCCTGCTTGCCCATTTCCGCACTCCAACTGTTCACATTTTCGTAGTCTGCCACCGGGGCCCTGATAAAAATCACTCACAATTCACCCCAATCTCGTCAGATCTCGTCAGATGTCGGAAGCTCGGTAGGGCTGCGCCTAGACAGTGCTTGGATGGGCGACACTGGGCTACGTTGTAAACAGCATAGGGCAGTGCAACAAAGTACATTTCTGTATTGTATTTCCCAAAACCCCCCGCCCACCCCGTGTCTATTCTCCATATCTTCAACACACTGACCATCGTCAAGTATGGTCAAATAACCTCAACGACCCAAATGGTGTCAGGAAGTGCTGGCCCAATAATAGTTTGGCAAAAAGGGAAAGTGTATATGTTTGCAGTCTTATCCAGGAAATGTTATTCAGTGTTTTTTTCTCTCTAACAATGAAGGCCAAACAGAGCACCAAGGATCATAAAGACTGCCGGTTCCTTTCGACTCGGTAAACCATGCTCGGTGTCTCAGATGGTGTCTCATCACCATATACCGTTTTAGGACAGAGTTCTCACGCTCGTGCACTACTGCCACCACCCTCGGTTAATGTCTTACAACAGTCGTCACCAATTTAAGTTCAGCTCTATAATTCTTGCACCGGTAGCAGCCCTTCACGAGAATGCGAGGGCGGGGCACACGATGCAGACGATTGTCTTCCCTTGCAGACAAGTGGTCACCGGCGCTGCAGATCCGCACGGTGCTGCTGTCGATCCAGGCGCTGCTGAGTGCACCCAACCCGGACGACCCCCTCGCCAATGACGTCGCCGAGCTGTGGAAGGTTAACGAGGCCCAGGCACTTGAGAAAGGTGAGTGGGTGAGCGGGGTGGGTAGCCACGTGGGTGGGTGGGTGGGTGAGCGTGGTGGGTAGCCGCGTGGGTGAGCATGGTTGTTAGATGCGTGGGTGGGTGAGCGGGGTGGGTAAACGCGTGGGTGGGTGGGTGGGCGAGCGTCGTGGGTGAGCATGGTGGTTAGATGCGTGGGTGTTTGAACAGGTTGGGTAGATGCGTGGGTGGCTGAGCGGGGTGGTGACATGCGCGAGTGGGTGAGTGGGGTGGGTGTGTGGTTGGGTGGATTTGTGGGTGGGCGAGCGGTTTGGTGGATGCGATTGGGCGAGCGGGTGGGTCGGTAGGTAAGTGCGGGCGTGAGCAAGTGTGTGGGTGAGTGCGTAGGTGCGTGGGTAGGTGGATGCTTGAGCGGGTGATTGGATGAGTAGGTTAGTTTGTGGGTGTGCAAATGTGATGCATTTAGTGCATGGACGAATGGGTGTGTAGATGCTTCTGGGTGTATTAGCGAGTCGGTGGATGCATGAGCGAGTGAGCAGGTCGTTGAATTTGTGGATGCGAGGGTGAGTGGGTGGGCGAGTGCTTAGATGCGGATAGACAACTCGCCGCTCACAAAAGCTGCAGACACCCGCACATAGTGGCTAGATGTGTGAGAGCCCCTGTAAGGGAGCATCAGGTCTGGGCTACGTGGATTGATATCTCGAGGGTTTTCAGCAGAGGTTTACAGCGATTGCTTTCCTCGGTTTCACTGGGGGTTGTGATCGCTCTAGATTTATAAGCAGCGCGTTGGGAGGAAAACTGCACGTTCCCAACAACATGTGCACGTATATAGTTTTTAGAAGGGTGTAATTAAAATTGTTCAATTATGAAGACCTTCAGTAAATACCAGCCCAAGCCATCGTAGGTCTAAGGACACGGCTGTAAACAATGCATGTTTTCTACACTGTAATGCTTGTGATGTTATATACTCCCAGTAGACGGTAAGGCAGCACATCTTTTTCATGTCTGTGGAGCAGCCCAGATATTAAAAAAATGTGGTACCACCCCGAGACAAGCCTTGCGTGGTACGTTTTCATGTCGGGCCAATAAACGTAAATTACGTGATAACCTTTTCAAATGAGTAGGCCATCACGGGCTTGCTTAATTGGATATTTAATGAAAATGGTACCGTTTAATGTGTGCACTTAAGCTTCTACCAATCTCCAGTGACGCAGTGGAGTTGGCATGGGGCCCCCTCCCCTGTTACAACTCCTCTTCGTAGCCCGGCACATGGGGGCCCCTCTGGCCTGTAGGGCCCATGGCAGTTCCTATTTTACTAGCCCACTGAGCTTTCCGGCTTTTTTTTCAGAAGTGACCTGGCCACAAATGATTACTCAGTGAAGTGGCTTATCGCGTGGAAAAATTACAGCAGCCAAATACTCTCAACACACGTTTCTAAATGTGGAGCAGAAAAACTGGAGGACCCGGAGAAAAATCCACACGACCACAGGGAGAACATGCAAACGCCGAATATGCAGGTGTCAGGGTCCAAATCGAACCCACGACCTACTGTATCCAGGGCGAGGGAGTTAACATCTCGCCACCGTGGCTGCACACCCGAGACCTGTGCTACTGCCAATTTCTGTCGAGGCCTCTGGACTGTGGATGGATCTTGTGCTATTATAACCATATAATATTTAAGTATTCTAATGTCAACAAAATGTCACTGTGTTTACAGCAAGGGCTTGGACGAAGCTTCACGCGAGGAGCAATCAGTAAGGAGTGCACTTGAGCCGCCGTAATGCTTGAATCTTCTCGACAGGATGCTTTCCAACTTGCGACTAGCTGTGAAAACGCACTCTAAAAAACTCTCACTCTGCTGATGTATGCCGTTAGGTTCACTATTAATAGCGTTTTGGTTTCCACGGATGTGTTTTCTTTTTTTTTGCTCGGCAGGATTGTTAAAAGCACCCGTGCGCGCTCCGCGTACTTGCACGCCGCCCGCAGCAACGCGCCGGTTGTGAAGTGCGTGCGTAAAAACTGTCAAAAAGATGAACGACGGAAGGCCCGTGTACGCTGCTTCAAATGATGTGCCTGTTAAAATGATGCTCACCCACAACGGGCCTGCTCCGATTCACTTCGCGCGCTCATTTGCACGTGCAATCTATGGCAGCATGCGCAGCCAGATTGCAGGGTAGTTGCGTTTGTGAATGGGCCTTTGCAATTAGTCCTTTCAATTTTCTTCCTTGATTCAATGTCATAAAATGTGTGTTGCCCTTGGTATTGAATTCGTACTTGGAATTGCCCGGCATATCTAGACCTCAACAGTTCATCAATAACACTGCCCTAAATAAAAATATATATACGATAGGTGACATTTTGGGCAATGGCCCTTCAAATTGGAGGGATGATCTCTCTGCTCATGAATGTGTTGGCTTTTTGCTGTGTGTGCATCACTGTCAACGCAGCATCACAACAACATGTTTGGTCATGTTTGGTCCAGCTAGAGCAGCAGGCTTATAAGAGCGGTGTACAATTAAAAAGTCAAAACAAATTATTAGCGTATCAATTCAAGCTACTTTGTGGTTGTGCATAAATAAGGAATTACATCTTCTTTGGTTCTTTCTTAAATCGAAATTTAAGGAATTACAGTTCAGGAATTGCTTTTCCAGAGGTGGAAAAGGACTGGGTATAACTGCTTGCACGCCATACGTAACCAACCATGCTAATCAGAGGCGTGGGGAAGGACAAACTAAATACAAAAAGCAGTTTTAAAGAAATGTTTTCAATCTATATTTTAAAGTGCATTGCTCTAGTGGTTTCCTGATATCGGAAGAGCGTTTCAGACTGCCACGGAGGTACATCTAAAAGCGCGTGATGGGGTAACTGCCTGACGGCTAGCCAAGGATAAAAATGCTCTGTCACTAACATTTTCTGCTTTCAAGCTGAAAAATGCTCCAGTCTGCTAAAGAGCAAATACCCAAAATGTAAATGTAGTAGAATCTTTTTGTGAATCAGTGGTTGGCGTACTGTACGATGAACTTACCCAGGTTCAATTCCTGGCGACTGCGAGCAATGGCATGGGCTTCCCCCTTCAAGCCACACAGACCAGCGTGGTGAAGCATGATCAATAAAATCCCTGCAACGAATAAGCCATTGGGAGGCCTTCATCCAACAGTGGATAGGCAAAAAACTGCACATTACACTAAAGAAACTGCCGATGGTGGTGGTGAAGTATCTCCAAACAGATGCATCTTCGGTGACATTGCCCTTGAATTGTCAAGCCGCTCCCCGTTTACACCAGGTACTTAACACTTTACCACACACTATCCAATCGAATTTCTCATGTGACATCGGCGCTTTGCGAAACCTCTGGCAAAGCTTAAGGTTCCACTGTGGCTGCTGGTATGCTGTTTATGAACAAGTTTGCCCTTCAACCTTATTTACAGACCTTACTTACCATTTTATTTTTCAATTGCGATGCATCTGACCACTGGATACACCGTTGCGTGTTGAATTCTTGAGTGTAAATCTTCACGCTCTTTATTTCTTAAATAAATATTTTTAAAAACTGTAAAAGGTTGAGGTTTGGTTCGAAGGGTGTGGATTATTACACTAATAAACATTGTTATAAATTTGTTGAAAACAATTCTTAAAAGTTGTAGGCATAAATGTGGGGTGTCCCCCCCCCCCCCAAATAATAGACACATTGCTTCACTGGAATTATGTAAGACGACAAAGTAATCTCCGTTGTGTATTTGCGACTTAACTTTATAAACGAGTTGTTGCATCATGGGAAATAAAGCACGTGAAAGGGTTACAACGGAAAGGACGGCTCGCCAGTTTCGTTTAAATTCTAGAATGACTCCATATTGCAGGCGAGGGGCAGTGTTGTCCAACACGCAAGCCTTGGCTGTAAGTTAATATCAGGAATCCGGTCTGTCTTTGGGAGGATTTTTTTTAATCCTCCTCAGGTGATACCTGCAATGAACAAATAAAAGCTTTTAGCCACAATGTACGTCAACCCCACCAATGTGCACCAACCCCACAGTGTACATGATACTAAATCGGATACTTTTAAGTAGTACGTTTTAATTAACATAGTTGATATATTCATCGTGTACGTGTACAAAACGTCGTCAATCCACTTTTGGACGAGGGCTTCCCCGCACCAAGCAGGTCGGGGGGGGGGGGGGGGGGGGGTGTCGTGACCACGCTGGCCCACGCCGGCCAGTGCGGGATGGTGAAGGTGGGCACCGTAGACTTGCGCGCACTGAAGCGCCGCACGACAGATTTTGCTGCTCACAACGTAGCCCTGCAAGCCCTATGACAAGCTGTTTGTGCGTGATGGGTCACCCACTGTTCAAGCACTGTCAAAGTTTGACGCCCCCCCCCCCCCCCCCCACCACTTAGCTTCCGATATCTGACGAGATTGGGCACAAGGTGGCACAGTTTGCCCCATAGGCAGTCTGGATGCAGTTATTTAAAATGTCAACTTACTGTCCGACAGGGAACCAGCGGTGCTTGCTGGTGTAGAACAAGCGGCTCAGCTCCTCGATGGCGTGGTGTGGTTTCTTCCTGAGCTGCGTCAGCGGATTCACTTTGAGCCGAGCCTTGAGCATCTCCTCGTAGGTCTCCTCCGTGTTGTTTGTGGGGTCTGGCCTGGGCATCGGCTGCATGGGGGGGGGGACAAAATTTAATGTGGCGTGAAGACCGAGAGGAGACCGAAAGGAGGGGAAGACAATGGAAGAGATGGCAAGATGAACTCGAAACGTTTGGTGACCACTGCTGGATAATAAGAGGAACTAAAGATTGCAAGGAATGGAAGTAAATAAGAGAGGCCTTTTGCCCAGCAGTGTTAAGTTACAGGCCAATTACAACTTGTTTTGCGGTCGATTATCTGGGCCCCTTTCAAAATGACAGCCTCGTGCCCCCCCCCCTACATCCTGCCTCCCACAAGCCACAACCAGCGCGACGCGGCCGATGTTCAGTGACCAAGCACCGCCAAATCACCTCCCGTCCAGCGGTACGTGTTATTCGATTCGTCCAGCAATTGAACCGACAATTGGTCGAGATTACCAGGCATGGCAATAAACAAATACGATGGAATTGCGAAGTACAATTTAAAAGTTAGGGGAAAGTGATCTCGTGATTATCGTCATAGCGTGAGAACTGACATTCTATCATATATGTCGTAAAAACAAAAATGTTGTAGCGCTGTTGTAGATGCAAGCAGCACAAACCTGTGACAGCTCGTAGGGGAACTCCAGGGCCGGGTGGTGGCAGACGATGGTGCGCCCATCGGACGTCAGGGCAAGCTCCACCTTGCTGTGTCACGTTTTAAAACATAAAATATAAATGAAAAGAAAAACATCAATAGCACTGCCCTAAGAGTAAAAACTGCATATAAGACGTTCCTGGCAATGGCACTTCTTCATGGGCACGTGTTTATGGATCACACATCTATTTTCTTGCGTATACAAGTATGTTCCGGAGCTCAATGCCAAAAGTCGAGGTCTGCTAGCCACAACGAGAGGGCCTTCAGCAGAGAGTTGGCGTAGTTTTGCTGTTCCTCCTCATCTGAAGGAGCACAGGCTACAGTGAATTGATTACTCGACGGTCGATAGTTTGGGTTGCATGGCCACAACTCAAACTATGGACAATTTAGTGAAACACAAGCAGTATCACAAAAACGGTGTTTACTAATAATAATTCTGATAACATCAGTGTTTAATAATAACTCTGGACAGTGTGTTGTCCTTCCCCGCACCTCCGATGAGCACGGTTGGCAACGTACGGTGCGTAAGAAGTTCTACATTCTTACATCACAAGCACCGACTGAGCCCATGTGAGTGTAAAGTGAACTTCGTACCAGTTGTAGTCATCGGGCAAGGCAGAGTATGAAGACTTGTAACACGGGTGGAGCCAGCCTGCGTTTCCAGACCACAGTTCACACGAGATGTGACCAAATTTATTTTAAAAGGTAAATCATCAAAACACAAATTAAACCACGGGCACGTAAGTACAACTTACTTTGTTTCATCAAACCCATGTATTTATTAACGTTACATATTTAATGATTGAGAACCAAATGGGTTTAAGAATCATTGGTTTAAAGCAAGCCATGTTCACAGTTGAGTGTGCACATCAGCCAGGGTCACTCCACTGCTGAATTAAGGCCTCCCCCCGTGCATTTGCCGCCACCACCACCTCTCTAAAACCTGCGATGCAACAATCCACCTATGCACACAGCACCTATAACACCACGAACAGACTTCATCGCTCCATCTCCTTGGCAGACGTACTCTCCTGTATATCACCAACGCCCAGGTTGTTGCGTGCTGGTGAAGTCACGTGAGTGTCGACGTGGGGAGCATACAAGCACAGTGCAACAATTATTTGGCTGCACCGCCCGCCGTTGACGTACAGGCCCTCGACAACAGCCGCCGCCGCCACTCAAAGCGGAGGTGGCACCTCGGCACTTGTGCCAGGCTGGGTGCACTTCGAGGCCACGTGAAGTGTCGAAGGCTCGCTGGGCAGAAGGTGATGGGGCAAAGGCGGGTGATGAGATGTCATTGTCCTACCCAGGCGCCTTTAATAATTATCCCGCTGGGCTACACGTAGGGTACGACAAAAGGGTTAAACACACGCATTATTGGAAACCTCATTTGCCAGTAACAAAATATGATAATTGTTTTTTTTACCCTTTTATTTGGGAACAAAACTGACACCTTTTTTTTACAAGGAGTCATGTTTACATTGACCACAATACCTGCGTTCGGAACGCAAACAAAAAACAACTCTGATAATGTGGCACTGTCCTTGAAATTCATTGGTCCACACCCGAGACGGCTTTCTTTCGAGCCTCGTCTCACATTGGTGTTGGACCAGAAGACGCCAAAAGGCGCACAACTCAAAGACAATGCACCAGCAGAGTATGAGAGCTTGGGGTAAGCATTTACACCAATTATCATATTTTGTTACTGGCAAATGAGGTTTTCAATGGTGTAAATGCTTACCCCGAGCTCTCATACTCTGATGGTGCATTGTCTTTGAGTTGTGCGCCTTTTGGCGTCTTCTGGTCCAACACCATGTGAGACGAGGCTCTAAACTCTAAAGAAAGCTGTCTCGGGTGTGGACCAATCAATTTCAAGGACAGTGCCACATACATTATCAGAGTTGTTGTTTTGTTGTTTGCGTTCCGACCGCAGGTATGGTGGTCAATGTAAACATGACTCCTTGTAAAAAAGGTGTCAGTTTTGTTGCCAGATAAAAGGGTAAAAACCCAATTATCACACACGCATTCTTATCTTCCGAGATGACAAGAGGCCGCGTTCACGAGGATTGACGCGTCCAGCCTTTGATCGATCCACTGCTGGATGAGGGGCCTCAATCTACGCCTCCGTGGCAGGCCAGTTCGGTGAAACAACGCCTTCAATGTTTTTTTGTTTTGTTTAAATGTTAAACAAAACTAAAACAGGCGCCGAAGGTAGCCTCGACTCAATGTTTGAGGCCTTCACCCCCCACCCACCCCATCGCTCGTCGCTTACCCAGCCGAGGCAGAAGCGCCGCTCTCCGCAGCGCGGCCAGGCGAGCCAGCGCGTTCATCTCCTGCTGCGGGCTCTCACTCTCTTTAAAAACAAATGTAGTTAACAGCGGTGACGAAACTAAGAATGGAGTTAAAGTATCTAAGGGCTGTGCCGAGACGTCGCCTGGCCACGCGTGGAAGCGACCTTGCGTGACGTCACGCTCGGAATAACTTTATTGGAACGGGGCAGTATCTTCAAGGCCCCGCCCCCTAGGGGTGAGCGTTGGAATAACTTTATTAGAACGGGGAAATATCACCAAGGCCCCGCCCCCTAGGGGTGAGCGTTGGAATAACTTTATTGGAACGGGGCAGTATCACCAAGTCCACTGCCCCGCCCCCTAGGGGTGAGCGTTGGAATAACTTTATTGGAACATCGGGCGATGCGAAATATTGAAATATTGAAGCATTGGGCATACCGTAAGAGGTTTTTTTTAAAAAATTGTAGGTTAAATAAAGATGCGTCGTTAAACCCACCACCACCAACCAACCACGTCACACGGCTAATTAGCAAGGTGTTTGTCACGTTAATTAATAAAAAAACAAAAGTGCCAATTACGGTAGTTACGTTTTCAGCACACCGGCGTGTTGGATAATAAAATGTACAATTGATCAAAAAGCATCAACATGCTCAAGGTTGAGCCAGCGGCGTGATTCGCGTGGGGGTGTACCAGGCAGGGGGGGGGGTGTACCTTGGCCCTCCTGGTGCGTAAAGCTGCGAGATGGGGCTCCTTCCTTGACAACCGCCATGAAATACAGGGCGATTCAAAAAAAATCCTAACACCTAAATGGCACTATCGTTTTTAATGGAAAAAAAAGAACGGAAAATACACTCTAACACGATAACAGATGTATGTTAATAACTTCAAAAAGCTAAAGAGAATCCTACTTGTTCGCCATCATTGTCAACACAATGCCTGGCACGTTTCTTGTGGCGTTGTTGCAAATTTTAAGAAGTGTTTATAAAAAAATGTGAAGCACCCTGTAGTTGTTTAAACAACAGTGTAACAGGAACAACAAACTCTAATTTAAAACACGGTTTAAATTTATTCTTAGGAAAATGCTTTCATGTTACGTTGCCACGTTTTATTTTAACTTAATTAGAGCAGTAAGTCATATTCTTAGCTCTTTCGGTAAAGTCACGTTGAAGGGAAACAATAAAATAATAAAATATAGTAAATATATAAATTGTTATTGTTTTAATATATATTTTATTATTTTATTGTTTCCCTTCAACGTGACTTTACCGAAAGAGCTAAGAATATGAATTACTGCAGTCACGAAAGCTTTAAATCAAAATTTAGAGCAGTAACGTTTGGCTTCCGCCAAAATACGCATGGCGTGTTTGTTTGTACGTTGTAGTCATCATCATTAACACATTCCTGCGGAGGGAGCTGGTAGGAACGTTGGGTTGCTCGGTCAATGGCCAGGGTCAATGGCGGCACCACGTGGTGCATTCCGCAAATATGCCCGACTGTGAGGGCGGGCATAAGCCGGCGTGAGTAGGTTAAACGTTGAGTTTTATAAGGGCACCACGGGGTGACCAGCCCCTCCCCACCCAGCCCCTCCCCACCCTCCCCACCCAGCCTCTCCCCACCCTCCCTTCCCCACCCAGCTCCTCCCTACCCAGCCCCTCCCCACCCAGCCCCTCACTACCCAGCCCCATCCCTCCCATTTTTAGTTGCACGACGGACGGACGGACACAATAATCCCCTATGGGCTGGTGTAACCAGGAGGTTCCTACCAGTATCGTCGTATAACCAACAGGTAGCAGCGCCGTAGTGAGCGAAACGATGCCATGGAGGCAAGAGGTCAAATTTAATATTGGGGCCCCACGGGACCAATTTCCGCACCACCCTGAGTCAATAATGTCGTCACTACTACGCCATTGGGTTGAGCACGTTACATCTCTGGGTCCCTTTTCGTCGGTATCATTTGTGATGTTCGGCTTTTGGCGTTCTCTGGCCTATCACTGGTTGGTGAGACAATGCCATCAAGGAGGCCAATCAGTTTCAAAGACAATGCGTGCATTATTATCGAGGCATTGTTGTTTGCATCTTTCAACCACAACCACGTGCGGTCAATGCAGACTTGATGCCCTGCAATAATGGGTGTCTATTTTTGGTGTTTGAACGTCTTAACGTCTTAACACCTCGTGCATTTCGATTTAAAGCTTTCGTGACTACAGCATTGCCGGAAAAGGGTAAAGCCTATTATTGTATCATCAGACTAAAACGTCGTAATTTGCGTGTGAAGACGCGACGTAGTCTTTGCTTATCTTTGCTTGGAGTATTCAGATGTTTGAATATGTTATTATTTACTTAATTTAAAATACGTGGGGGTCATGGTATGCGTTGTAATAATATAATCCCACACAGGGGCACATCGTCTTCATCCTCATAGTCAACTCGGTTTTTAAGGCCCAATAGAATCAAAGGGCCTGAATTGTCATCAGCCATGATCAATCCACCGCTGGATGAAGGCCTCCCAAAGCCGTCACCGACTATCTCTCACGGTCCTACAATGCCACAACTCCATGGTCGTGATGGTGGTGGTGGACGTCCTCCCAGCTCTGTTCCCTACTTTGGCTGCCATTCTGTCATCAGTCTCGGCCGCATGGTTTTATCATCCGTTCTCGCGACCATGCTCTGACCAAGCCCACTTAACGATAATCAATATTTTGATTTAAAGCTTTCGTGACTGCAGGAATTCATATTCTTGGTTCTTTTGATAAAGTCACGTAGAAGGGAAACAATAAAATAATAAAAATATAAAACAATAAAATTCTCACGACGTTTCGACTTCACCGAAAGAACCAATAATATAATAATCAATATGGTGTCTTCACCTTTATTTTTTATGTGTTCCGGCCAGTGTGAATTCCTAGCAGGCAACTTCACGCGCTTCTTTGTGCACTTTTCAGCTTTTGGTTGCATTTTCATCGTGTATATTTTTTTCTCAAATCTATGTGTCATAGCAGAAAAACGTTCGTGTTGTGTGAACACTTCCTTTAAGCGTATCGATACGTTGCTTTTAAAGAGTTCAGCAAACACTCAAAGCTGACTGTCTCGCTCGTCTCTGTCGTCATTGTTGTCCAGGTGTTTGAAAAACTGACCTAGGGCATTCTACTCTGATGTGTTTTCCAGTCGATGTCATGTACTGGCTTCTGTTTGGTGGCGAGATGTTAACTACCTCGCCTCGTATACAGGAGGTCTTGGGTTCGATCCCGACCCTGACTGACACCTGCTGTATATTTGGAGTTTGCATGTCTCTCCCCGTGCTCGCGTGGAATTTTCTCCGGGGCCTTTGGGTTTCCCTCCACATTTAGAAGCAAAACGCGTTTAGAGTATTTAGCTACTGCTATACATTTCCACGTGATAAGCCACTTCGTTGAGCTATCATTGTGGCCAGGATAGTAAGATAAAAAATATCGTTGAGTTTAAATAGTTTTAGTTAACTTGGTCTCCTTCTGCAACAAGTTATTCAACACTGTTCTATCGGTTTCTATACCGACTGGCATCAGCAAATTTCAGACGGTTAGTATATTCATGCCTTTATTCTTTCATTCTAATAGTCTGTAAACATCTTCCAATGTTGCTCTAACTTTCGCGAGTGTATATCTCATTGCCCGAGGCTGCTAATGAATGTTACATGTGTGCACTGTTTTCAATTTCTTCTGTAATGCATTTAGGGGGTTTGTTTTGCTGTGATTTCTATATGTCAGTTTAACACGTAACAGGCTTTTGCGACCAATATTTGCCATAATAGAGGTTGTTCGGGTGAGATCGCGTAAATGTGTCGCTAAACCCGCTACCACCCGACAGCCGATTAGTACGATTTGTTACGTAAACAACACATGCCAATTCGGTAATAGTTCAGCACACCGGTGTGTTGGAGAGTGAACCCACAGCATTTACAATTCGGGTACGACGTTTCTGCCGGTAATTACAACCAGCCTCATCAGGCGACAGCCAGATAAATCTGGCGGGTTTAACGACGCATTTATATTTACGCGATCTAACCCAAGCACCAAAAAACCCCGTCTATTACGGATTGTGTGGATATGGGCGACCCCGCGTTTCGCCTCTAGATGGCAGTGTTGTCAGTCGAAAGTTCTCTCGCGGCGGGCACGTGGAGTGGCGGATTCACGTTCTTACCCCATGCGCTTTGCGCGTCGAGGCTTCTTATGGCTGGCTTCCCTCCCCACGCACGCACAATAAATTCATAACAAAGTATTAAAGCTTTCGTGACTGCATAAAATTACTCATGCGTTTTTTCGGTAAAGTCACGTATGTAGAAATACAATAAAATTATATTAAAACGAAAAACAATCACGACGTTTCGATCACAACGCAAGCGATCTTCATCAGGTGTCAAGAACAAATCACGGAGGTAAATACAACAAAAGATGAGAGACGAGAATTCAACAAACCTGAAAAAACATTATGTGAAGCACATCCAGTCAGGCCAACAACACAGACACTACCTGGCGGACCACGAATTTCAAAAGTGTTAAACGAAATTGAACACTCTTCTGAAATTCGTGGTGCGCCAGGAAGTGTCTGTGTTGTTGGCCTGACTGGATGTGCTTCACATAATGTTTTTTCAGGTTTGTTGAATTCTCGTCTCTCATCTTTTTGTTGTATCTACCTCCGTGATTTGTTCTTGACACCTGATGAAGATCGCTTGCGTTGTGATCGAAACGTCGTGATTGTTTTTTGTTTTAATATAATTTTATTGTATTTCTACATACGTGACTTTACCAAAAAAACCAATGAGTAAATTCATAACAACTCACGCCACGCAAGCTTCAAATGTTAATTGGACTTACACACTCAGCAGGAAGCGGTGGGGGGGGTACGACAAATCACCCGTTCGCACCGATTCTGTAAATCCAACACGCCTTTGTCCGTATACGTTTAGTTAATTTAAGAAGCAGTGCTGTATATAATAAGATGACGGATTGTGACGCCAGGCAAAACCGTCTGTTCACACTTTGGACTTTTGGCGCAGATTTTGTTTTAACTCTCCCAAGTTTTAGGCAACCCTTCAACGATGTGGCCGGATTTCAACAGCCTAATTGCCTTATAGCAGCACACCGTTACATACAGTATACATTCTAATTTATATTCGAATTAAGTTTCCGCCCAACGTGACGCGACCGATGTCGATGTCGCCAGCGAGTCCCGCCCGTCACCTCCCGTCCAGCGGCACACGTTTGCCCAACTATCTTCGTGCTCTCCGGCTAGCCGAGTAATCGATCGCTTCTTCGTCTACTTGCATGACGGCGAAGACGGATCGCCAGCGTGCCTGTGTTCAAGTCGAGGTTGGGTGGGTGGGTGAGTGAACCACCACTGAGCCACACCTCCGATTCTCGCGGCTGGCTACGTAGGATGCGAAAGAAGTTCAACGTTCTGTACATAACAGAGGAGTGGCCTCGTGGTGTGACTAACTGCGATTGTGCCCGCGAATCAACGAAGCGGGCAATGGCGTGATTGTGTGCGGTCCATGGTTTGAGATGAGACTCACGCGCATATTCATAGACTTACACGGACACCTAGAGACTCGCATAAGAGACCCATAGACTTACACAGAGACCCCCATAGACACCGATAAACTTGCACGTGCATAGTGATCCAGACAGCAACGTATCTCTGTGTTCATGTTGAGGTCGGCCAAGTGAGCCAGTGGGTGGCTTCAAGAGTCACCGCACGGCGGATGTCTGCGGTGCTGCCAGAGGGAACGATAGAAGCGGCGCTGTCAACGTGGCCCCTGGCTCGAGACGAGCTGGCCGCAATTTTACTGTGGGCGATTGATAATCGTCCATCGGACGGAAGATATCCCCTATCGATCACTGAAAACCATCGGCTTTCCCAGCTCTACGCGATTGACCATGTTGCTGTCACGATGGCTCTGTCTCGTCATTTACATATTCTTCCAGGCTAAATAAAGATTTTGATTTATTCGATCGACAACTATTTACAGACAGGGTCGCCTTGTATGTGTGAGATGTTGTGAGCTGTTGAGCCGTTGAAAGGGGGAAAGTGCCAAAGACAAAGATCACCCGTGTAGCCTTAGCAGACTGTAGGGGCAAGTGCTCTTAGCGAGTAGCACCTATGAAGGCCGGAACGGCACACGAGGGGGTGGATGGCCAGCACTACGCCCTGCCGCCTTTGTCTCCCCAGTGACGATGTTTACACACCGTACCAGGTACTAATTGAAATCTGAGTCGACCTAGACGAGGCCATGACCGGTTCAGATACTCGCCACTGGTGTTGGCCGTGAGCAGGAATCGAACTCGGGCCGCCGGGTGCGTAGCGCAGCGCCCGAACAGCAACACCGCCACGACCATCACCACCACCACCAAGACCGACATCACGAGGGGCAGCAGCAGCATCAGCAGACATCTGAAATGCACCGTGCCGGAGGAGGGCAGCACGTGAGCGTAATTCCTGGAAGCTTCCAAGAAATCGGCTCGGAGAGGAGGCAACGCTCTCCACAAACCCAGCCTCCACGCGAAGTCAGAAGGAAGAACCCACGCCACCAGGCGTGCGCCGGATCTCAGATTGAACGCTCGAGGCTCCGCACGTCGCCAAACGGGGCTGGGTGACCGGCATCGAAAACAACAACAACGTCGTCGTCGTCGCCAACATCATCACCTAACAGTTGCAACATCGTCAAGAGCAAGCGACGGACGCAAGGACGGAGATAGAGGGGGGGGGGGAGCAGTAGAGGACGAGCAGGAGGAGATACGGGTTCGCGTTCGCGCGCGCGCGTGCGTGCGCGTGTGTGTCTCACTGGATGTGAAACTCTTGAATCCTGGTTTGCACCCGAACAAGTGCGGCAGTGCCACGAAAGCGCGAACACATTTGTTACACATTGTTACACATTGTTACACGCGCGACAAATTTGGCAAGGGTGGGCTCTGGTGAGAGTCTAAAATTAAATACCCCCCGACAAAGTCCGAGACGATTCTACTTCGCGTCTCAGCAGGCGACCGGCCGTCTTCTGCTTTTTTGGGCGCAAGCGACACTCGACCACCGCCCGTCACTCGCAATATTTGGTAAGTGTGCGGAGCAGCGGCAGCAGCAGTAGTTGATGTTGCAACAGTCGTAGTGAGTCGTTCTCGTCTTCCCAATCGTAGTTCTTGTGGGCTGAATTCACTGCGTCTGTTTGTTACGCCTGTCTGTTCATGTCGGCGTGCATTTGAAGACGGCCGGTGTTGTCCACCGGGCACGTGTAAACCGGTGTGACGGGTATAATTGTTTGAGTATTTGTTTAGTTGTGACTGGGAGCGAGGCGGACGAATCTGGCAGTGATTTCCACTGCGTCTGTTAGCATGATGCTAGTCATCTTGAACCGAGTTGAGTGCGCCCACCATTATATTGCGCATGAACAGAACAGCACGTATCGGTTCAGAGGTGTCAAAAATAAGGCAATTCAGAACGCGCGCAAACCGCAGTCGGTTCGCGTGCAGGTGGATTGTGATACCGTGGGATCGCACGAGGTGGTGGTGGCGGCGCCTCGCCGAGGCATTAATTTAAAAGTGAATTGACGATGACCCACGACGACAACGACGATGATGGTGATGATGATGTTGATGATGAAAAGCGAATTAGATGCCAAACTCGCGCGCGCGCTCGGGAGTTTCGCGTCGTGAGAGCGCTCACAGTGGGCAGCGGTCGTGTGGCAGTGGTGAGCGGGCCGCGCTACGAACCCAACCACCCGAGTTCGATTCCCGTTGACGACCAAAAAGCAGTTGACGGATGTCTGAGTCGGTAATCTGGGTCGCCCCTTGGATCGACTCAGCCTTAAACCAGTATCTGGTGCGATGTGTGTAAATATTCGCCGCTAGGGAAGACAAAGGCGGTCGGGCGGGGTCTTGGTCACCCACCGCCTCGTGTGCCGTGCCGGCCTTCACAGGTGCGACTCGCTAACAGCACTTTCACGAACCGTCTGTTGAAGGCGATACGGGGGATCTTTGTCTATTCCGTGCGTGCCTGCGTTCGCCACAAGAGCAAAACCCGTCGTAAACCCGCCACTGCATCTCGTCCCGAAACGTCGCTCTCTTCGGGTGGAACGAGTGCTCGGCGTGCCTGCCTGGCTGCCTGCACGCTGATCGCTCGCATTGTTGCGCCTCGGTGTCGCCTCTTCGCCGCGTCGAACGGGGGGAGAGTGGTGGGGAGTGGTGGTGGTGTGGAGTGGTGGTGGTGGTGGTGTGGAGTGGTGGTGGTGGTGTGGTTGTGGTGGGGAGTGGTGGTGGTGGTGTGGAGTGGTGGTGGTGGGGAGTGGTGGTGGTGTGGAGTGTTGGTGGTGTGGAGTGGTGGTGGTGGGGAGTGGTGGTGGTGTGGAGTGGTTGTGGTGGGGAGTGGTGGTGGTGGTGGTGTGGAGTGGTGGTGGTGGGGAGTGGTGGTGGTGTGGAGTGGTGGTGGTGGTGGTGGTGTGGAGCGGTGGTGGTGTCGAGCGGTGGTAGTGGGGAGCGGTGGTGGTGGAGTGGTGGTGGTGTGGTGGTGGTGGTGTGGTGGTGGTGGTGTGGAGTGGTGGTATGGAGTGGTGGTGGTGTGGAGTGGTGGTGGGGTGGTGGTGTGGAGTGGTGTGGTGGTGGTGGGGAGTGGTGGTGGTGGTGTGGAGTGGTGGTGGTGGTGTGGAGTGGTGGTGGTGGTGGTGGTGTGGAGTGGTGTACCGGTTAGCGCGCTGCGCTACGAAGCTGGCGACCCGGGTTCGATTCCCGCTCACGGCCAACCCCCATGGAGTAACGATTATCTGAACCGGTCCTGGGCCTCCCCTAGGTCGACTCAGCCTCAAATGAAGTACCTGGTGCGGTGTGTAAACATCGCCACTGTTGAGACAAAGGCTGCCGGGCGTGGTGCTGGCCACCCACCCCCTCGTGTGCTGTGTCGGCCTTCATCGGTGCTCGCTATAACAGCACTTTCCCCCAAAAGTCTGTTAAGGCCACACTGGGGATTTTTGGTGCCTCGCCTCTGATCTCTCTGTGCGCGGCGAATTTTGCCGCTTTCGAATTTGACGCTCACCCCGAACCGACAACGGCGGCGGCAGCGGCGCAAAATTCTCATCAAACTCCACGCGCGTAAACGTCGCCGCGCCTGCGTGTCCGTGACAAAGATCCCAATGTCTTTTTTTACACGTCGCACTAGGTACACATTTTAGGCTGAGTCGACCTAGGGGAGGCCCAGGTTTTCCGATTCAGATAGTCGTCACTGGTGAGGGCCGTGAGCGGGAAGCGAACTCGGGTCGCCAGGTTCGTAGCGCAGCGCGCTACCGCTCCCCGCCTTTTACGTCAACCCACAACACACACGCACACACATATGTGTACATTCACAAAAAAGACAAAAGATCCTCTGCATCATAGCGTTTAACAGACTGTTGGGGCACGTGCTGTTAGCACCTTATGAAGGCCGGCACGGCACACACAGGGGATGTGGTGGCCAACACCACGCCCGGCCGCCTTTGTTGCCCCAGTGCTAATGTGTACACACACACCGCACGTTCTACTCATTTGAGGTCGAGTCGACGTAGGGGGGTGGCCCAGGACCGGTTGAAATAGTCGCCGGGGTTTCGAGGCGCAAGTTGCGCTCACCACGAACAAACCCCCGTCGTCTTTGCAAACACACGCGTACGCACTTCGTACGTGCAACACAGCGGCCTCGGCTATTGAACGTGCCTCGTTAATTATTCCGCAGACAATAATCGCAGTAATGAATGCGCCACGCAGGCGTGCGGTGAACGCACCAAAAAAAAACAAAAACGCGCTAGACGCAATTACCCACGGAACGCTGTCTGCGAGCAAAGTGACCAGAAACACCACACGACTACACATGACCCATTGTGTGTTCGTCTTGCTGTTGTTGTTTAGTATGTTCAGTCCGACATTGGTGGCATGTGTTGCTTCTTTGTCTCAAGTGTTCCCCGCCCCAACAATACCTCCAGTGGAAGTGCGACCTCGATGACTAGTTCGTGGATGACAGCGCGGGACGGACGCATTGGGGGAAAAACGGGATAACTCGACACGGATTGTTACAAAACTCCGGGATAACTCGACACGGATTTAAACAAAAAAACACCGGATAACTAGACACGGATTTTTTTTAAACGGGATGATTGGACGCGGATTTTTTTTTTAAACGGGATAACTCGACACGGATTTCTACAAAACTCCGGGATAAATCGACGCGAATAAAAAAAAACCGGAATAACTCCATTAGATTAAAAACAGGATAACTCGTGAACGGATTTCTACAAAAATCCGGGTTAACGCGACACGGATTATAACAAACGGGATAACTCGACACGCATTGAAGAAGAAAACCCCCAGGATAACTCGACATGAATTCCAAGTGCGTGATAACTTTGACACGAATCGAAAAAAAGACTCGAAGCGAATTGAGCACGACCGGTTTTGACGTGTCGCTTGTAAGAACGATGGTTTCTCAACGTGTGCAACCTGACCGCCGCTCTTTCATTAAACCCATGCGTAATAATCGTGAGTAACCCTTAGCGACAAATGGCAACGCTTAATCAGATGCGCATGAGTAATGGGTGTAGAAATGATGCTCTGACTAATAATCACTTCATTTTAGGCTTGGGGGGGGGGGGTTGTGTCGTGGGGCAATTGTGCAGGGCGTAAACTCCACGCTAACTGCGTCTAAAACGGTTCAATGTTGGCCGTAATTGCAATTCTTAAAGATACCACCACCACCACCACGCTCTGTCGTACGTTGTACGGGGGGAGCGGTGGCGCGGCGGTTAGCGCGTTCGATTCACCGCTCACGGCCAACATCAGTGGCGATCGTCTGATCCGGTTCTGGGCCTCCCCTAGGCCGACTCAGCCTCAAATATGTAAACGTCGCCACTCGGGAGACAAAAGGTGGCCGGTCGTGATGCTGCCCCCCCCACTGCGTGTGCCTTGGCGGCCTTCATAGGTGCCCGTCAACAGCACTTGCCGCTAAAGTCTGTTAAGGCTACACGGGGGAGCTTCGTCTTCCTGTTTTCCTCCCCAGTTATCGCCGAGTGGATAGCTTTAAAACGCGAGATACGTTTAAGCAGCTCGGGCGGTTGTTCAAAGAACAAAGAGAGTCCCGTTTTATAGCGAGCGACACCGGCATTGACCCCCCTACACCCACACAACGCGGCCGCCTCTGCCTCCCTCGTGGAAACGTTGACGCATCGCAGCAGTCACTCGTTCGAGGCCGAGTCGCCGACACGAGCGAGCGAGGCCAGGGACCGGTTCGCATCGCCGCCACTGACGTTGGCCGTGAGCGGAGATCGAACTCGGTGTCGCTGGGTCACGTAGCGCGAGTGGCCTCCGAGGCCACGGCGCACGAGGAGACGGTATGGAGGATGTGTCCCACGTCCACGGTCGACCTTTGTCTCCCCCAGTGCACGATGTTTTAAACAAAAATTGTGTTGTACACAACGCACCAGGTATGTAGAACCTTAACGACACGGATATCGCTCGCCACCGGCGTTAGCCGTGAGCAGCGTTGTTAAAAGGCAACCGATAAACCGGTAAACCCTGTTTGTTGTTGTTTTATAATTGATAATACCGGTTATCAATTATAAAACAAGTTAGGGAACGCCAGGAATCGTTTTACATTCGAATTCTAGATTCTGCTGGGTGGACACAGGACACACGGAAAACGTGGTGGGGGTATGGGGGGGTTAACAAACAAACTCAGAAAGTTTCTCCGATTGACGCGTTCCAACTGCGGCGTGGGGAGATGGAATCGAACCGGGTGCCCCTTCCAGAATGCCAGGTTGTGTGTGCTGGGTGTGTGTGCTGGTTGTGTATTTCAAGTTTCATTTATTAGGTATAGCCCTGTGAGCTATGCGGCTCTTGAGTCGGGTGCAACCGCAACAAACAAAATATGAACAGAGAACATCTTAAAGCGACAACGCGCAACAGAAACATCCTGGATACACCAGTGTGTGTGTGTGCTGCGTGTATATGTGTGCTGTGTGTGTGTGCTCGGTGTATATGTGTGCTGTGTGTGTGTGTGCTGTGTGTGTATATGTGTGTGCTGGTTGTGTGTGCTGTGTGTGTGT